TCAACTGCGAATAGCGAAATATTAATTATACTGCAGTGCAAATTTGGATCAGCTGTTTGATGTTTGCTATGTTTGCTATGTGTATTGTATATTGCAAAATGCACGTAGTGTAGTGGAGAATCGAGATGCAAATGGACTCACAAAATATCGGATGGACTCACAAAATATTTAGCAAAAGCACGAATGCCACGATCCTCGGATTTGCAAACATTCCGTTACCGGGCTTCGAAAAGCTTGTTGCGTGCGTTATTTTTGATTTCTGTTCGCAGCACAGTTGAGAAACGATTATTAGTACTTTCTCAACTTATACTGTTTAGCATCCGAGACCGTACGTCTCTATCAAAAATGACAACAGGTGTAACATCCCATTGTTTCCGCTTCTGTGGTATATTTGCTTTACAAATATATATGTAAAATGAAATTAAACGTTTATGACAGGAAACCTTGAATTACCTATAACATACGAGCACATCAGATAAATATCCTGTAAGATAAGATGCATAAGTGTGTTCATTGCGCGTTTTGTTTTGTTAGCCAGTGAAAACATTTAAACGAAGAAACTGTGATTATTATAATACAAATATGTTATACAAAGGGCGGCCTATTAACTATTGACTGTGTACATACAAACTCGTACTTTTGTGGTTGCTCGGTTCAAGACTTTTTAAGCTTCTGCTGAAAGTGTATAGCCTAACTTTACAGTTAATCTAAATAAAGCAAATGACATCTAACAATTAAAATGCCCATAAAGCTACGTGTTCCTTGCTAGCGCAGAGGCTGCGTTAACTAATCCAATTTTAAAGTTTCTACGTAAATCTAGAATAGTATGCGTATGTGCAATAAATATACTGCCTCATTGTCTTTTGTAGAATAGTGTGCATATGTACAACAAATATAATATACAAAAACGTTTTACATGAACAATTTATTATTACAGATACGTATGTGTAAAAATTTGTTTTCAGGTCTCTACGACTGACAATTGTTATAGCAAATACTGAAATACACTATAACATCTTGCAGTTGCACTGGTCATACACTTATTTTAATAAAAACTCACCAGGGCACATTTTCCGGGTCCAAATTCAGAAAAATCTGATCTTTGGCAAAAACAAAGTATACCATCGTAGTATATTAAAAAAAATAATTTCAGCTGCTGACACTCAAAGGGCGTGACCAAACAAAATTAATAAGTAAGTAATACTGCAGTCTGCATGTTATTACAATGCACTAGCGCAATACCCGCACAAGCGTTTCATAAAATAACATATCAGGAAAGTTTCACCTCTTGCAGAAACGTAGCATTTAGCCACATTATGGTTAATGAAAAATTTCATGTACGAACGTTAAGACGACACAGTAGAAACACTATTCTGTAGCTGCGATTCTTTGCGGTAGTGCAACAGTACGTACCACATACTGCCACTATACTTGGATTCTGGATTTTGCTAATTTCCTCACTGTGTGCAGTGTGCTCCCGAAACTTGTTAAATATTAAAGTTCATTATCTTTTAAGCGTGCTATAGTCGTACACTGTCATTCGGTAAAAGATGCGTTCCTGATTTATTATTATTACACTGATATAAACAGCTGTTCGAGTACTACACTAGTGCAGTGCAATAGTATGTACTATTACTTACTTATTAATTTTGTTTGGCCACGCCCTTTGAGTGTCAGCAGCTGAAATTATTTTTTTTAATATACTACGATGGTATGCTATGTTTCTGCCAAAGATCAGATTTTTCTGAATTTGACCCGGAAAATGTGCCCTGGCCAGTTACAAGTTATAGCAGTAGCAAGAAATTCACAATATATTACCGGAGTTCATATCGTAAAACATTTTGCAAAGCACATACTTTAGGGAACTATGTTTGCAAACATAGTACCTAGAAGTTGGTTAGCGTAATCAGATCAAGTCCACTTTAACTAATTCTGTCACAACAGCATTGTTAGCCGAAATAAAACATATACGTATATGTTTTATTTCGGCTAAAAGATACCGCGTATACGCGGTAGACGTACATAAAAAACATAGTCCATTAACTTGGAGTTACCCAGAAGATTCCAAACCTCTTTAGGCTTCTTTACATTTCGGCGAACTGGGTGAATGGATTTAGCGCAGGCATACACGTTATTCCGTAAAGAAAATTTGTATGCCCGTTTACTTAGTTAGTTAAATTCTCCAGCAGAAACAGTACATAACGAAATCGTATGCGTGAATGTAAAGTACTCTTAAGTTGCCCAATACTGCCGTACAGACCGGAAACCCTTATCAAACGCCAATCCCGAAGAGGAAACAGATTATTGGGATTACGGCCTTGTCTCCTGTGTTTGTTTAATGGCACAAAGAGCAGCCCAGTATGCGGTCCCCGAAGAGGCACACATTTCATTATTATGTTCAAACCCTTTTTGATTGCTAATCGTACATTTGTTTAACAACATCCCGTACAAGAGCTGACTGCCCACAACCCGGTTTTTCAAAAATATGGATATCTTTAATATTACAAAATCTGAATCAGTATGCAAGTTGAAAGACATATATGCAGTAAGATAATGGCGGGTATTATTGGTCAAGCAATGCTGAAACGTAATCTCCCATAACTAGTTTACTACTGTAAAATGTCAAAACCACTGTATGTGCAGAGTGAACCTCTCCGACCTAAATTATATTAAAATTTACTGCTGGTACATTTGATACTTTGTAATAATATAGTTATGCATAACTTGCGAATTACAGTCACGAAGCGATCCCAGATAATTTTTTATGGGAATTAGTTTAGTTTTGAATTTATGACCTATAATGCCACACTTCTTATGGTAATAAAAAAGATAATCACAAGACTTTGGATACAAAAGACACTTCATTTGATCTATTACCATTGTAAGATGTATGCCAATATTTTATAGCAGCTGCAATAATGTGGTCATTGCTATTGTCTAATAAGGCTTTTATAAAAAGCGCTGATAAGCTGATACTTGCGCATCGCCCACGCATTAGAGTAGTGAATTGCGAGACTTTTACAATTTTCTTCGCGAATCTTGGGCATAACTGCCTTTATTATCTCTAATTGGTATACGCAATATGATATTGTACGTGTTACCGTGTACATCTGAATACAGATACATACAAGAATGGGAAATTTAGCATCACCAAAATAATAATAATTATTACGGTAGATGTAATGATGTACGTTTAAAAGAGGTAACAAAGCATGAGGTAAAATCAAGCCACAATCTTACCTTGACCACACAAGGTAAACTTTTTCTCTCTGAGATAAAACTAGTATTTGTTGTTCACAGGCTAAGCTTCTTTGCTTAAGTTTCAGCAATTAAAGTGCAACATTTCTAAATTTCTTTAACCAGTTGATTATGGAGAACCCAGACATATTAAGCGCGGGAATTGCGATTCCCATATGGACCACACACGACTAAAAGCAACAAGCATAAATGCGCTGCCAGATTTCACATCTAAAAATGCCAAATTCATGAACAGGGGGTTATAAAAATATTTTTGCGGGCCTTTACGTTGGTGTTCGTTTTTGGAGATGCTAACAAATATCAGTTCATGAACTGGAACCGATGTTGCATAAGAAGACAATTAAAGATTATATCCAAACAGCATGCGTCTACACTTTTTGGCAATAGTTTTAATAAGACAACGATGCAAGTTAGTCGCAGGGTGGGAGGTTGACGGCATATCTACAAGCGATACTAGCTGTACATGCACATGAAATTATTTTTAGATTCTGGCGATGGGACGGCGAATAAACATTTTTGCATGCTGACGCACGTGCTTTAATTAATTCTGATGGTTTTAGGCGGCAAACATGTGAGTTATAGCTTGGTAAATATTTTTCAAATAGTTTCGTAAGTTTTGAAATGCTGTAAAAGTGTGAATAGTGGCAGCTCTAAATGCCGTGCTTTAAAATTTTCAAAATAAATTAAAGAAACGGATCACAAAACGTGCAACAAAAACGACATCTTCCAAGCAGCTAATCACATATGTCTGAAGCCCACTTCACTTAGCAGCAATTCAGTGTTTACGTGTGTGTAAACCTGTATTCACTTAATTCCAAGCCGCCAAGATAAACAATACTATTACGTTATGCGCTACGATTGTATACATGATTTGGTAAACTTTGCAAATGTTTCGCGCCTGACAGCTTGTAGGTAGCATATTATTTGACGTATTCGCTTGTCTTTGCGCATATTTGCTGATAAATCATCGAAACGCTTAAGATTTTTGCGCATGCATTCAAAAGCCTACGATAAAACAATAACACGGGATTTAATAAATTGAAACCAACGCAGGCGTGCAACGTATTAAATTTTAAAAAGCAACTTTTGGTGCAGAAAAGCTTAATTTGTTTAAAATTAAAAACAAAAAGAACAAGCATCTTAAAAAAACATAGAATTCAAAATTACAGTACAGTATACGGACTTTTAGATATCCTTATAGGAGTTCTTTATTCAATGACAATTAAATTGACTGAACCACTTTTTATACATGTTTCGGTGTTTGAAAATATTTTACTTGAAATAGTATGTTTTTACGAATATGAAAGCAAATCACTTCCAGAATAAGCGGGCAGCTCGCTACGGCATGATAGCTGATGAGAAATTCAAGACAACAAGACCGGTGTGGTTGACCAGGGTTTATGCAGCGGAATTGTAACCTAACACGGTTGCAAATTTTCTCATCGCTTACGCAAATGTGTAATGGCCGCAAACGAGAAATTTGTCGCTTGTTTACATACGCATACGATGGCGGTGGAAATCACATTAAAGGCAAAATCAAATGTACGCCAGCAATTACATGGACGGCGCTGCCATACCGCTGCTCGCCATCACATCAAGGTCACTTAGCAGGTAGCGGAGAGTCAAGGTCAAGATGTGGACCCAAGGGGATTGCACGTTGCGCTAATTTGTTGTACAGCAGCTGGTAGTACGCTTACTCTATAACCGCAATAATTAGACACATGTACAGGATATCTCCTCACCTTGCCGGATGGATGCTGGAGCGATTGTAATCCATTGTATCAACTGACGAATAATTATGTATATGTATGATGTAATCCGGTATGTGCTACATTCGCTCGCTTTACAGCGGATCGTTGTAACAGACGTGCCAGATGTGTTTTGGGTAGAAATTACTTAGTTTCTACTAGATAATTAGAACGACATCCGATCGCCCAGTTAAACCAGCAAAGAGCACTGGTAGAGAAAAACGTAGGCGCCTGGCACAACAATATACTGCCAATCGAGATCAACAGCACTTATGTGTGCTGATCGTAAAATATTACGTCCATCCAACCAAAAGATAGAATAAAAATACGCACAAGCGCCGTAGCGCGCCAGCTATAAACACTTGCCGTCGAGCATCCATGGCTGTTACAAGCGGCTGTAATAGTGGAATGCAGCCGATAGATGGATATGTAATGAATGATGGCGATGGTCGTTTCCGTCGTGTAAACTTGCTGATGATGCTCTTACGAGCCAGTATTCCAGAGTGGTCCACGCGGGTGTAACGAAAAATAAAAAAATTATCCACCTATCGCAGGTAATTACAGATATGCAGGCACTGCATACGATATCTTGTCTTAATTGGCTGTGAGTTAAGGTCAGCCCGCCGTTATGTCAATCGTCAGGAAAAGCCGGGTTCCAAACATGAAGGATTATCTTCGCTAAACACCAAAAAGATCCCCAATGTCCAAATTAAATTATGCGATGAGATATACGCTGTATTTTGACGGTAGCGTCTCCGTTGCGGTAATAGATGGATTACCGGTTGCCAGCTCCGATTGCATATACCGTATGTCGGCTAATCGCAAGCGCGAGTATAAAATTCAGTTGAATTTCTTGAACGGAATCGGTTTCTTGCTGGCAACCATCTCTCACGCACTTTAATGCTAACGAAACCGATCATCTGTCCAGTGTCGTCAAATTACTGCGCGTCTTTGAAGTCGACGTCGCTTATGCACCGCAATACGACGACGCCGCTTACTTTAAACTTTCGAATGGTGTTGCAAAAAGCTTCCTTTGGCTAAACATTAAAAGGTGTATTTAATGGATAAACCGTCTTAAGCTTACAGCAGCTGCAACCAGCAGTGGCAGTAATCGCATTCCACTAGCTCGGTTTCAGACATTACTGTAACACGGTATTTCGTAATTCGTACGATTATAAATACGTATTACTTGTGTACTACTGTATTCAAAATCTTTGTTAATATAATTATTGAAACAATGATGAATATTTTCTAATAACAAAAGCTATTGTACTCCTACTCTATACTTTAACAGGGTTTTTCGTAAAAGTTATGTACGCAGTGAATTATACCGCATAAGGCAAAAACGGCGCTTGATTTTTTCAAAGGCAGGCGGACGGCAAAATTAGCGAAAAACAGAAATTTTGTTTTATATTCGGTCTTTAGCTTTCTGATTCCAGCATATTCTGTTTATGCAGCTGGTAAGAGTACACGCTTTTAGCGTTTCTGTTGCTACTCGTACAGTAGATTTCTGATATAATTCAATTATCACAGGAAACGTAGGCAGCCATAAAGGAAGTCTAATGGCTTCAGACTTTCCAGTTATTTTGTAGTCAGAATATGATTTTTTTTCAAAAAACTGTCTACGCGGTAAATAGGTATGAACCGCTAACGTTGGAAGTTGGTTCCTGATTAATCGATGAAATTTTCGAGATTGGGTTATCCAGTGATAAGACAAGCATGTCTTAAAGAGAAACAAATTTATTTAGCGCCTGCTTCCTTATCCTTGTATTAGTGCTTTGGATGAGTGATAAGCGTTTGCAAGAACTGGAATTTAACCTAAGATATCAATGGTCCAGTGCGTGACACCATAGATATCTGCTACATACTAGTCATACCACCGATTCAGTCATTTTTATCGTGATGGATACTTGCATATCGCGTTACCAAAGCGTTAATGCTATGGTGGTAAGGTAGTTGTACTGTACATTGTTTCCTCTATGAATTAACACTCCGATAGAACTGTTCGGAAACTCCCACATTTTCGCTCGCTATTTAGTACTCTTGCTTGAAGTGGTCATAGGAAGCGCGCACATTTTTGAAGCCTTGTCTAAATTTGCTGAAATATAGATTATTTGCTGCGGCTGTATTAGGCACTTCCGTGTGATCCTGATTTGATTTATTTCTTCAAAGACTTTTAAAGGTCAGCTATCCGAAAATGGGAGAAACCAGCCAAAACTGCGTCAAATGGCTGATGTTCATCTTTAATTTCATCTTCTGGGTGAGCATAGACAATTTGTTGTTACACCTAAATTTCAAAACTTTTTAATGATATTGTATGGGTGAAAGATTCAAAGATTTAATAAAGTAACGGTTTGAATAGGCTAGCAATATGTGGTAAGTGCCTCAAACTGGATTTCTTTTTTTCTACAGAAACGGTTAGGTTTCTGAAATTAATAACAGTATACCGACGCTTCTCAACGCTCTACGCACCGAAACCGAAACTAACGAGCACACTGATTCTGTCTTTTATACATTACTCGGTAGAAATTACTGAGTAAATATTGTTCCCTAAACTGGATCAGCTTCTCTTCCTGCATAAAAAGTAGTCATAAATATTGGAAGTGGAAAATTAAACACATGCAAGACAACTTTGCTCATTGGTGTCTGCAGATTATCGGTCTGGGACTTATAATTGCCGGAGCCATCGCCCAGACGAAATACAAGGAGTATTTCCATCTGATGGATTCTGAGAATGTCAGCATTACCGCACCGGTTCTGTTGATTATTGTCGGTGTCATAATTTTCCTCATTTCTTTCCTGGGATGCTGCGGCGCGGCTCGAGAAAGTTACTGGATGCTGATAACGGTATAACGGTATAATTTCAGTTGGAATAGACGACACGGACGGTTACTAGGTAGTAACCGAATTCTGGCAACTGCACAGGTCTAATGCTGTTTCCGATTCTTTTAGTTCTCCTGCTTGATGGGTCTGATTTTTGTGATGCAAATCGCTGGTGGTATCGCTGGGTTTGTGCAAAAAGGAAAAGTGGGTATATTTGTTGTTTTGGGTAGAATAATTCAACAAATCGCCAGGCCAAAATTTAACCCTGAAAATTAATTTTTAAAATAGGTTGAGGACTGGATTAAAAAGGGAATGAAACACGACATCGAAGTGTATTTAAATAAGACCAATCCAGATTCTAACCTTCTTGTTGACACACTCCAGGAAGAGGTATGCACAATGTAATTCTGCTTGCGCACCGTGGTAAGCTTTCCGGTATCTATAGAAGTAGCCTTACAATGCCTACACGTACACTTTTGCGGGCTTCCGAGTAATAATTAATTGGCTTCCGAGTAATAATTAATTCAGGATGAATTATTCCGTAATGTGCACGGCTTTACTTCCCTGATTTTAATTGCCCGTACAAAATGTCTTAATATCCTTAAAGACACAATTAACATTACAGTACTCTGTACGTTGCTGTGTGTTTAATTAAGCTCATTTGTGATACCGTAACTGATTTTATAGCTCCATTGTTGCGGTTCAGAGGTGTTCACCGATTGGGGAGCATATAAAGATCCCACCACAAAGAACCAGGGTCTCCCGCCGAAATCGTGTTGCAGAGTACCAAAGGAAAGCTGTAACATCACTGCAGAAACAACTTATTTGAATACTACCTGCACGAATCCTGCCCCCGAATCGCAGTGCGTCGTCTACACCCAGGGTTGTGCTCCACAAGTGATCTCTATTCTGGGAACGGGTCTGGCTGGAGTGGCCGGTGTTGCACTGGGCTTGGCTGTTATTGAGGTAATAATTATTGCTATGATCGTGCAAAGAAATGTGTATTTGTAATAAGGATCCGTAATACGAATGATGCGCGATCTCACAAGCGTAATCTTTCTAGCTCATTGGGATTGTTATGGCTTGCTATCTTGGGAAACGAGTCCGCAGCGGTTATACCTATGCATAAGAAACGACCGAGCAAATGTCACAATCCCGCTGAATGCCATTTCCTGGATTATGGAATTCTGTTTTGTCTTATGGTAGTAGTACAAGGTTTTGTATGGATTAACGTATAAGACAACTGCGCATTGTTTTCTTACCATTTGCGTTTGGTTTTGCAATCCTAATTGTAAGTCACAATAAACAAAAAATGAAAAAAACGACGCAATCCATATTAAAGGGGTAGTTAATTGCTGAATACTGACAATGTTAAAAAACCTTACCGAACTGCTTGATGAAATTATTCTGTTTTAGCGCTTATTTGGGGTTTCAGTGATCTGTAATTTGAGTTTAACCTATATCAGTTGTTACTAGCTAATGAAATAAGTACTAACACTTCAGATTAAACAGAACTTCCGCCAAATATGTACGATGTAACGCGAGAAACAGTCAAAGAAAAAGAGAAATTACATATGAATTATAAACTACGATTCTAACTGCTGCTATTTTTTAAACTGAATTATATATTGGCCATTTTTATACAGATTGTATATCCGCCATGCATAAAGGAGTACCGACAAGGCTGTAAGAAACCAGCTGTTATCGGTAAATGTTAAGTCAGAACATAAATTAAAAAACCGACGTCAAACAACTGAGTTTCGTTAGCTTTTACTAAACTAAAACCGTCCAAATATAAGGGCGTATCATGAAGGGACCGATGACAACGGAGCACCTCTGTTCAGCATATCCACAATCACTGCAAACAAGAACGTATAATTGCCACTATTTAAATGAGCATGACCTCTAGGTCATAAAGTCGTAGGACTATAGCAATATAGTTATAACTTTTTGGTTTCTCCTAATTTTAAAACTACAAATTGTGCTAACGTACTGTAAAAAGCATATGAAGCCGTGTACGAGGTACTCTAGTATTGTAGATATGTTTTCGCCTGTGTGTATTCTTAGTTCTACAAGTAAATTACGATTAATTGTCTCTGATAAACTTACTTTTCAACGGCGGCTCAAGATATCGCATAATCATGCTGACAACTCTGGTGTGTGATAGAAATCTTGCATTATCATCCGCGGTCTCCAATAAATCATTAGCGTTTTTACTGCCGATTCTATTGCCATTCGGACTGGCCAGAATGTGGTTCATAGGATGGTTTTCAACTGGACGATCGCGAAACGGTGACCTTGGCGGAAGTGTTCGAACAGCAGTGCTTGGCGATGTGGTACGCGTCAAAGGAGACGTACTGTCGGTGAACGGGCCATGCAGGAACTTCTCAAACAAAACAGTACGGAAGGTTGTGGGCGGCAGTGCGGTGGTCGACGTGGTCGGTGCTTCCACACTGGACGTTTGAGGAGCCACAACGATCGCGTCGGCGGACATGTACGGTCGTTGAAAATGTTGCTTAATGGTACCTACAACCGGCGCAAACGAACAGCAACTATCAGATAATTGTGAGAAATATCACTCGGACTGCAGACGAGGCGTAAGTGCTCTTGAAGGAATAGGATCGAACGGTGCGTATTAATCGCTCTTTTATTTTCAAGGTTACCGATGAGGTCTTTATGCAGTTCGGTTTTTTGTTTTTGCGGCATTTTTGTTAACCAACAACTGGTATCTAGATTTATGTTATTTTACTACAAAGCGAGCTTCGCTTAACAAACATGATCAAATGAAGAATTTGTCCCAATTAACATGGGAAGGGACCATTTATTTTTTCTACTCCACTAGCTATACGTAGTACATACTTCCCACAGCCGGTCCATTTCCGGCCGCAATATGCAGAGGCATGGAAAAATCGTATGTTATGCCGTCGACAACCCGCACTCGATCCACGAGAAACGAACATCCCAGGATGCCGTTATGGATTGATGCATTACCCGGAACGAGACCGATCAACGTCGGCAATCGTTGGTTAACGTACGCATTTGGAACGTTCTTAGAGTTGAAAACACCGGCACCTCCATTGTGGTAAACGCATTCCGTTACTAATGTCCCTCCCTAAATGTATGGTAGCAAATTTAGGAACGAAGTTTCATTCCTCATTTCGAAAACTTCCTCATAAGTACCTTTAAACTTTCTTATTACGAATAGTAAGAATAAATGGTAAAATACGGCGAATTCGATACAACGACAATTGTGCAAGATAATTACCTATTTACGGTTAAGAAAAACACACTATGTGTGGTGGTCTGTTATGTGCTATAGAATTTGTAGGACTTTACTATATTATGAAGCCATTGTGGGAAGTTGGTCATAACTACGAGTAGAAAAAAACTGCGCACTTGTAACTGCAGGATAAGACTACTCGTATCTCTAATTTAATTACCATTTTTTGTCCTTCGGGGTTAAATCCAACCCCAATCCAAAAATTTTGTGGACGAAATGCCGGAGGCGTTCCGAATAGTTCCATAGGAATTTTATCGCTTGTAGATTCATCATGAGAAAACTTAATCAAAATACTGCACTTTCCGGCAGCCAAACAACCATCCTCCGGAAAACCGATACAACCTTTTTCGGTGCCGCAGTCATTCACAGGAAATCCGGAAATTACAGTCGGAGCCTGGCAAAAACTTTGCTGAATATTACTTAAAATTATTAAAAATATAATGCATAGAGTCATTTTCGACTTCTATATATTTGCGTATTTTCGAATCCGATTTCAAAACCTTTTGGTTTGCTAAAATCAGTCAGCGGCCCACTCCTAGCATTGCAGACTTTATAGACTTTTCGAGTCCGTACGGCATTCAAGATGACCAGTTGATGCGCTAACTTGAATAAAGTGGTTTAAACAAAACCCAAGAGTACAAACAACTTTGCATAACAGAAGTTCTTTTGTAGTGTCTGCCAGTTTGTCAACATTCTCATGTTGTACACTGTATGTTTCCGGATTAAATAATTCATAACCAGCAGCACACGTTTCATGCCGGACCTTGCAAATACGAGTGTTATTACACTATGCGACATGCATACGAGTACCGTATCTCTGCACTGTAACTTACACATACCGTACCTTCAAATTCGCGAAAGTATAATATGTAATTACTACCTTTTCGAGTAATTGATTTCTATCAATTTTGACAATAAACACTTCGGTATCGAAGTGCAGTCACTGAGTGATTACTGAAAACTGGATTGCCCGCTGCTGCTAACAATTACTATTCGATAAAAAAATATTAGGTTTTTATGGTTCTAAAAGAAAATCAGTTCTATAAGATTGTATTATATTTATATACACAACATTTTTTATTATTATTGACTGTTATAAGTATTCAACAGATTTCCCTGAAAAACAAATCTTTTTTAAAATCTTTAAAAGTTTAAAGCTTCTTTAAACCTTTTGTTATGTTTTTGTTTTTAAAAGTTAATTCAGGTTTTGAAGTGGTCAATGGTCAATCGTTAATTATTTGCAGTTCAGTACCTACGTACTGGAGTAGGTACTTTTATCTTATCGTTATATAGTAATACGAGTACGTACACGGGAGTAGTTTAACCAAAGTGGCATTAAATTTGAAACATCTACTGTAATGCGTTTAAAAATTCATACGAATTCTGGTGCAGTGCCCTCCCCGAATTTATGGCAGTCAGCTCACAATCAGGTTTTGAGAGCAATGGGAGGAAGGGAAGGTTGTTGAGGACAAAATTTAATACGTGCCAGTTTGCACGCACCAATGAGGATCCAACTCTTACCGTACGTACCCGAGTTGTACAGCGTCTGCCATCCGCTCTCTTAACCAGGAACTATGACGTTCAGTCCGGCGTAGCGCATACGCAGTGAACCCCACTCAAAAGGCCTACATAAAAGTGCGCGACCCGAGCGTGGTGAATCTTTCAGTAAACAAGTGCTTTAATTCCTGCAATTTTTGCTTGAAAATCCGCTTCCAACTCATTTGCTTGTGTTTTCGAATCGTTTTTAGTCAAAAGTATCTTTCTCCAGAACAGGAGCAAAATGACTGGAGGAGACTGCTGCTGCAAATGTAAGTTTTGCGGCTTTTGCATCATTTGGTTTTTAATGGATCAAATATTCTTAAGAATTATTACTGTATCCGTAAAGTGCACTGTTGCCACAGATATGTTGGCATGGCATATTAGTGTTTTGTGGTTTAGAATTGTTTTGCTGATACAACATGCACATTCATTGTTTGTCTCTTATTTATACTATTTTGCTGGTTTAAAAATACCATAATTTACAGCCGGAGAGAAATGCTGCTGCAACAGCACCGATGGACAGTGCAGATGCGCTGACTGCAAGAGCTGCCCGGATACCTGTGGATGCAAGAAAAGTGGATCCAAATGTCCTTGCACTAGTAAGATTCGTAAACAAGGAAAATTATTAGATAATACATTCTGTAAACTGAGCACTCCTTAATTAGGTTGCAACTGTGGGGAATCGGGAAAATGCCAGACTGGAGCGTCGGGAAAGGCATGTGGCTGCTGCGAGCACAAGTGAAGAATCCATAAATCAAGGTCAATGGCCTGAGCGCCTGCATGCTGTGTGCCGCTGTATGTCGGTATCGGTAGTAAACGGTCTATCAAGGCCATCGAGGTTATCAGCATATGTTTAGCTCGCAGTTTGTGTGTACTGAAATGCATGGCGTTAGATTTCACTCCATGATTCTTACCGTTGATGTTCCATTTGTTTACGATTCCTTTGTTTGTGTACGTTTTTTCCATGTTGATGTTCCAATTGGGATGTATACGTACTGTACTTTACTTTCTTTTTCTCACATACTGAAGGAATGTGGTTGAGTAGTGTTTTCGGTTGCCATAAATTCGATTCGAACTGTTCAAAAGTGCTCATTAAAATTATTATAGATAGTCGATCGCCTGGGATAAATTAATTCACGTAAGAGAGTCGGAATAGTATACCAGTATTATAAGAGTAGCGACAGCTGACCAGTGTATGAAGGCAAGGATTGGCTTTCGTAGAAGACCAAAACCTGACGAAATCCGTAAACATGTTTCATGCGGCGGTGCTTTTCTTATGTAGGTACATAACATAGTCATATCTATAAAATTATTTAAGTTCTATGTACGTTACGAGTAACATATATCTGTATACCGGGTACTTACCGGCAACAGCAAAAAAGTCGAAACAACTAAAACCTCGAATATTTCCTTATATATATAGATATACAGACGTGCTGACTACCTTACATTGATTTTAATTCTCGCCATTTAGCTGGAACGGCAAACTTGACTACACGGTTTACACCCATTTACTTAGAATTCTACACGTTGTGGACTACAAGCCTGCAGTAGGCTGGGATGGAAATACTGTAAAATCATAGGCAGAGTGCCAAGTTTATTGATAAATTTTGTTGTCCTTTGCTTTCGGAAGATTATTGGAGATTTTAATAGATTATAACCACCAAATTAACACAAGGTGCAAGCGCGGGCACTCAGCTTTGCAGTCAAAATTTATTAATGGAGACTTATTCATACGTCTGCAGTCATAATACTGCTTATTTTTAATACTAGAAATTCCCTAGTACGCTAGTTTTGACTTTTCGCTTCATGACTTATAATTTTGTAACAGCGGTTTGTACAATATAGGATACAGTAGTTACAAGTCAGCTACGTGCAGTTTGCCGTGAAAAGACAGAAGTTTAGAGTGAGGGACCCTTTAGTTGCGAAAGCTGCTGCTTAAATTATCATAGTGCTAGAAATTATATAACAATAGCATTACTTTACTTTAAGCGGCAACAGTTAGCTATAACATAAATAAAATGCCCAGACTTGTTTTGGCTGCATGAAATTAACTAACTGAATTTGATACGAACGTGTTCAAACAGCAGCCCCATATTCATCGTCAGTTCGGAGGTAGCTCCACATATGTAAGTCAAATTATTATCATTGTATAACTTGTATTAGCATACCCGTTTTTAATAAACGTAGCCAACAATCGACAATACATAAATACAATAATAGCAAATTTACAATGACATATAAAGAATAAATGCTTACAGACTCTGTGGTTTGATTTATTTTTCACCAGTACTTGCAACTACCGGTAGTAAAACACAGACACTCTTCATGTATTGTACATACTGCTTTGTCCGTTTGCCGCTAACGATGGAACATACTGAAATTAAATTGCCAACAGCAAACAAACGACCACACTTATTGTTATGTCCAGTATCTTTCAAATTTAATTGGCTCCGACTTTAGTTGTTAAGCTTGACCATTCGTACGGTGACCTTTTGATGTGTTCTCAGTGCGGTTCTTCGTATGCTTGCTCGTGTCGTTGAACTTCCTCTCCTGGCTGCAGTAAGTGTTTTTGTGGAAAACAAAATTTCAGTTTCAGTGCACTGAATTTTGTCTGTGCGCCCACGAAGGTCAGCGGCAAGCGGAATAAACATGGCTAATGTTGCTGTAAATATGTATCAAAATCCTATTGCGAATTGCGCGAAACGATAGGAAATCCATTTGTACTGTAGCAGTTGATGACTGTCAAGTAGTGTGGATTGCGGAGATATCACCCACGCGTGCTGCTTGAAAGACAAATCTAAATTACCCGTACATGATATAAGGACCGCTAAAGAAGGTAGCGCTATTGTTGTCAGTTTTTAGTTAGCAACTCTAAAAGTTTTCTTACGGATCGCGTTCGCTTATTATAAAGTTGTTGGCTGCATGACAGTGACAATGAACTATGTGTGAATAAGCCGAAACGCACAGGACGGAAGATCTGGTGTTTATCCGCTCGACTGATATAGCGATCATCGTAAAAACATCCCCGAAGTACCGATTGGCAGCTTTTTCTTTATGAACTAAGCGCCATAACTCGCACCTTATGATGCAGTATCCAGCAGCAGATGATATATAATTAGCACTTGAATATATCCGTTGATTATCACGGATCACTGCAGCATATAAGTGCACGTAAGCGTCCACGCGCGACATCGCTGTATTTTATGTACTACCGGACCAATCATTTTACAAAACTGACGAAACCAAACAATCTGGCTGCCGCATTGTCAACACAACTTTTCAGTAGTCGACTGGCCAGTGTACAATTGCAAGACTGGTCACTTCGATCGCGCTGTTGCACTGTATTTCGTTTTATTGTAACGCTACAGTAGCCGAAGCGTTTTACTCTTCTCCTGCCAAAATGATCCCTTTTCTAATACTGCATATTTTGGTTTTCCTTCTTGCTCCCGGCATTGATGCGGTAAGTATACGAATAATTCTTTGATTTGTAATTGAATTTTTTCTTGTAACCTTTGCTAATAGCGGCTTGTTGCTTCTGAAGTGGTTTATTTCTATGCTACCGATTTCAGTTTTGTCAGGATGTGAAAACACAATTTGAAACTACAATAACTTTGATAAAAATTGGACAGAAAAATAGTAATTATGTAAGTACATGTAGTAAATACAATCGCGCGATTACGTGTAAATTTCTGAGCCCATACAGTACAAGAATATTAACACAACAATAAATACAATATGTGCACCCAGATTGCCGACCTTAACTGGGTTTCGTGCTGTAATTAATTTTTGCGTATGGGAAAAACCTTTAACTTACATCTAGTTTCATGCTTAAATAATTTTTTTTCGTTACTCTGCGAACTCGAGTTTACTGTAATTCTTGTTTTGCATAGATATGCAAAAATGTATTTACCGTAGACGGCGTAGTGTACCGACATTTTTAATGTTACTACGATACCCATGATAATATTACAAAAAAGTGCTTGCACTTCTTTCCGACGTACAATAGTGTATGATTCAAATTTAAACGAAACTCTTTTGTCATCATCATATTCAGCTAACAACATCACAACAACCTTTGCAATAATTAACAATAATTTTGTCATTTTGACACCTGTGACAGAAAAAACGTTTCCCTTTAACAATGGTGTAATTGTGATGACATGTACAGTTGAAAAGTCATTGACAGTTCGCAAATTGTTCATATCTGTTTGTAAGCCGTTTGTGCGCCCGACGAAAATAATAATTAAAAATTTTGATTGCTACAATTATCTACAATGAAAAAATGCAGATACGATATCTGTTGCCTAACGCATGTCAGAAGACTGCGAAACCAGCATTTAGATACCTCGTACTTGCGCCGGTTTTTTTGTTTTCCACAAGTGAGCTGCGCGCCTTGGCGTCAGACTGCCGCTCTCCTGGGCGCTTTTGCTTCCATCTACTCGAGTAATCAGAATTTTTTAAGTTTCGCAGTTCACAACTGGCATTAAATCTCTTTATCTGTACCAACAGAACTTTTAGATTACAAAACTTAGGGAACGATTGTACATCTTAGTCAAATTAAAAGCGAACCAAATCAGAACTAAAAGAAAGAATTGTTTGTTGTTCGATGACCCTTACTCCACCGTCCATCTTTTTAACATTCTTCCATCATATACGTCGTAATCCATACTGTCTGTTTTATGAACCTGGATCGTTATGCTCATAATTTTCTTACATATAAGGTTACCCGTCTTCCTATTCGATGGGCGTTGGTCACCTTCTGTCCAATACTTATACAGCTACAGATAAAGACGGCTTACCGTCGTATTCGTATTTATTGCAATCCAATCGACTAATCTCTTGAAATTGACTTAACAGCTCTTTTATTTTTAGTAGTTTATTAACCATGCACATTATACGGAATTGTTGAAACTGTTGCAGTAATTTATGTTAGACCTTCCTTGATATCGCATACATGTACCGTAATACACGTACAAAGACTGTAACAATATAATTATGCAATTCCCATATGCGTAACTGAGCTAATCGTTAATTTAGAGAAGGTCAATTGCAGTGTATAACACCGCCACCGGTTTGCGTTACAGAGGCATAAAAGGCAAGTCCCCTTTCCAAATCTGAATGACATGATCAACCAAGCAGCCAGTAATGTATTCCAAAGAGTAACGTCGAACATAAACAACACCTTTCCTTCTCTGAACTTCTTCCCCGTGAACCCACAGCAGCCTTCCAACAGCGCTAGCAATGGAACATTTGCTCAAGGGCGCTCCTTAACCGAAATTTCTTCGGGCCCTGGTGCGACAAATATTACCATTAACGCCACCGTCCCAGTATTAAATAGCGAAACCAGTGCTTTCAACAATATCTCCATATCATTAAGCTCAGCTCCCACTAACACGTCTGGACCGGAAAACCACACGGCGATCACCGTCAATTCAACCCAGCCGCTAGCGCTACTTAACACCACCACCGATAGTTCTGTGCCGGCTTTGAGCACCCTTGAAGCTTTTACGATGTCGACTACGCTTCATGACCTTAACAGCACTAGCGAGAATATATCACCAGTGACGAGTGATGCCGGAAATGTTACCCCAGGTGCAACGACGGAGGACATCGTGAGTACGACCGTTGAGCCAAACGCAACTAGAGAAGCTACCGTGACTGATGGTGTCCTTAGTACAACAGCGGCTGAGCAACTGCAGGTTACAGTGCAACCCTCCTCACAGACGACGGCGGTCAACCAGACCGCTATTCGTATTCAGTCGGAAAACGATACGTCATTAACCACCACAGTGACCCCGAATCTTACTCCCGCAATTACCGTTACAAGCGGTCTCGCTGAAGAGATCACACCACATAATACTTCAAATGAAGTGACGACCCAATCCGGAATTTCTACGGAAAGCGTGATTACTGCAGAAAATGTTACGGCAACAGCGTCATTGGTGGCTACCAATGCCTCGGAAAATGCGTCGACTGAAGTTAATTCAGGTACTGGCGAATCTTTGCTGGAAAACACCACGGCTGAAATGCCAGTCGTAATCGTATCTCAATCGGCGTTTAATGCAACGCTTGCTAATCTGGACGTCGCACCTGATAACGAAACATCGAGTTACGGCATCATTCGCCACACTACTACGATGACAAATGAAGGTACTCAACCGGCCAATGTTAGTGAAATCGCTACCACAGTGGCAACAGTTGTTAACACCACCACCAACGAAACGGCTGCTGCGACCGACAACTTTGCAACTGTGGCTATCGCAGAAAGTACTACCGTTGCAATCCTAGCGGAGAACAACATGGTCACTTCGGAAAATCCCATCCTAACAGCGGAATCATTATCTTCCGAGGCTAATAATGCGAGTGTTAAAGTAGACGAAGAACATACCACCGATGCAACCACTGCCGCAACTTTAACCACGTCAGCTATTCCCGCCGAAAACGCCACTCAGGGAATTCTTCTAATCAATCCCGCAACAAACGCTCCAGCAGCGCTAATCGTAAACAACATCTTTGCCAATGATACCGGCTTTCCGCTGAACGCCGCAAACGCAGCAGAGACATCGGAATCAGAATCTTCACTGAATGCGACCTTAGCTCCACTGTCTGCCAATGCAACAGAACACGAAAAATTTGTAAACGCAACCAGTGACGTTCCTGTCGAGACTACCACGACAGAGGAGGCGATTCGTTTAACCACGGCATCAATCGAACCAGAAGTCACAACGGAGCAACCCTCGGCGGAAACAACGACAGCTAACGTATCACAATCCGCTTCCAATGAAACGCATTCTAACTTAGAAAGCGCATCGGAAGATGAGACATCCGGTTATGGTATTGTTCGACATTCGACGACGGTAGCGAGCGAAGTCACTTTTTCTACGAACGCCACGGAAATTGCCACTACGGTAGCAGCGGTTGTTGGCAACAACGAAAATACCAGCGCCACTGCAGCAATTACGACCACAGAAGCAACTTTAACAGCCGCCACTACACAAACAACAAACATATCGGAAAATTTGACCACTGGCTCCAATAACTCTTCAGTAGTTCTTCTTGACCAGAACACGACACAAGCCACCGTAAATGTGACACAATCCAGCTTTCATTCAACCCCACCAGCCATTAGTCCAACCACCCTCGTTTGGACACTGCCGGAATTCCAAGCGGAAGGCGACAGTCATCTCCCAAGCCGCACAATGCTAATCTTGAACGGTAAGACTGTGTGACACTGTGCGTAACTGCAGTTTACAGTTTTTTATTGGTTTACTCTACAGCAAAGAATGGATGGAGGGAAAAGAACCAGCAACTAATTAACCAGTTCAAGCCGGAAAAAATTATCCAGCTAAACAAAAGTGAGTAAAGGCTTACCGTTATTTAAAACCACAAAGTTCGATACAAGATAGATTCCACAAAATAAGAAAGCCTGGCTTGTTTTAAAAGTGTTGTTATATTTGGTCAGAAGCCAAGAAATCTTGAAGACATTGACGTTTTGTTTTCTCAAAAAGCACGTAGTCATGCGTATTAATCGCCTATAAGCACGTTAACAACTCATGAAAGTTGTACTATGCAACTACAAGTCCAACTGAGCGTAAGTTATAGCGTGAGAAGAAACTTTACGATCCAATTAAAGGTCATCAGTGCGAAATTATTTCTTGCTCCCAGATTAATAGTCTTTTATATCGATATCGTATAACAACTTTTGAATAGCATGACAATTATGTTTTCTGCACTCATAATTTTATCGTGTTCATAAGAAAATTGAATTTGGTTGTAGCTTCCGTTGTTACCGTGACTTCGCCTTCCGATGTTGCAAAACATCCCGACGCAACAACGTCCACTAACATCCCCATTATTCTCGAAGCACCGCAAATCACTGCTTCGGGGAAGCCGAAATATATTCCCAAAGATCCCGCTGATGAGGAAAAATTTTGGAGTATTATGCGAGCGGCGGCCAAAGCTACTCGAGGGAAAACGAGTTTCCCGACTCTGAAAGAAATACCGGCTACGTCGTTTAGCTGCAATGATGTCAGTCAGCCAGGTTTCTATGCCGACCCGGAAACCGACTGCCAGGCGTTTCATCGTTGTGACATTTACGGAGGACAGTTCCGGTTTTTGTGCCCCGAACGGACGTTGTTCAGTCAGTTGACGCTGGTCTGTGACCATTGGTACAACGTTAACTGTCAAGAGTAAGTCGATATTTTGTTCCCACGTAAACGGTCCAACCATTAGTCCAACCACCCTCGTATCATCTTTCTAACTTATTTATGATGTTTCTTTCTGTAGCTTTTTAATTAATTCATGTAAAGTACGGTTGCCAAAACGTTGATCCTTATTCAAGATTTTTCTTTGCAGGCAGGTTAAATATGCTGACTACATCAATTCAAGAGCATACGACTTTAAGCGATTTGGTCGTTATTTGGGACACGAAATCCAGGACAGTTCCAGCGATTTACAGCCTAAAATGAGTGTCGCAATATCACAACTGGTGCAGGATAATCGAGAGTTATTTAATATTACTGAATCTAACAATCCACTGATGAACCTACGATCCGGTAATATCACGGCTGCCGAAAATTCCGTAAACGCAACATTAACTCATACAGGAAATGCCACTACGGTTTTGCCGGCAAGTACGAATGCAGCGATCAACGTAACAACAGTTCCTACCGGAATCGAAGAGCCTAACTAAAGCAAAAACCCACAATGCTGGACAATACAGAACGAAAAATCAAACTGCACGACAATTCCGTGTACGAAGGTCATTGTATACTGTTGAAGTTAACGGTCGATGCGTCTTGTGAATCCTCTCACCATTTTTATCTGTCATAACTGATACTTTGTTGATTATTTTGTTGATATGCTTATTTTCTAATAAAATTCTCTGGACGGGCTAATGAAAAATTTTAATGTCATTTTCGGAAACCCAACAAGTTCTAGACACCGTATAAGCCCCAGTAGTCAGAAATTCACGCGCATGCAGTCATGATTACGTCTCAGTTTGACAACTGACAATGAGATAAACCAATTAATACTGACTCTTTGCGGAAAAGCGCGGATACATAAGCAAGACAAAAATATTGTGCGATGAATCACCTGCTGCATATGCACAGATGACAGAACCACCTTCTATAAAATCAAACCCTTGAGCACCTAATACTAGGATGGCAATTCATCTTATTTACAGAAACATTTACATCCATTGAAGTAAACGGCATACATCTGCACCTGAAATTTTAACGTAAAAAGTATCGGTTTGTGCGATGTTACCACGTATTAATATTACTAAATACCGCCTTTGTGGAACACGCTGAAGGTGTACACCTATCGTACAATAGCTATGCCGGTGCATATCTATACGTGCACCACAGAAAACAAAATTCGTACCTACAGGCTACAGTACCGCAGACGTTCGTTCTACCGCGTAGGTATACTTCATGTACAATACAATTTGTAACAAAACTGAGTGTCCACAGACAAGGAAACGATGATAACCAACAAATAGTCTGCCATTTGCTGTTAGCTTATGCCAACCAACAGCGATCCTACCATCGCAGTCAGTATACGGAAAGCCATTTTTGTCCACAAGTACTACGGACACCGCACATTAGATGTTGTTTTATTAATTAATAAATTTCTGGTATCGCTTGGAGCGTAAACACCATTACCTAGTCGCAAACGAGACTTTCGTCCTATCTTTACAGCAGCACGGAAACAAACAAAATTTTTTTTGGAAACGTGCGGAGTTTGACGACTGCGTCGATCACATAAGTAAAGCTCCACCTCAGTTCTTCTCAATTTTACAGATATGCATATAATAAAATACAGTATAATATGCATTTTTGCAGTCTTCGCTCATTACTGTGTAGTACCGACTCTACCGCAATATATATATACTGTGTATTTCTGATCCACTAAACGTTTCAATAAGCACACTTAATTATGTCTTGTACCGGTAGTACAGGTAATGTCGACAATTGTGGACCCATTACTGTGTACGTGGTTGCGAGTTTAACGGTGTGCAATGGGACCTGTAGATGCTTCATTATGCTGTGAGATTATTATTATCGTTTCGTTTTTGCAGTAACTCTGCCCTGACGTAGTCACCGGGTTCTCGTTGTTAAGTCGTTAAGGCAATGCAGTCAATGCTGAAACCTAACTGCCCGTTCCAGCCGCCTCATTTCGATCATCTGACCGAACGCTACGCGAGTGATCCATGGAATACCTGGACCATAGATGGCTTTTTGATGCGGCTGTTAGCGGAGTGGCCGGCAACAGCCGGGCTGAAGCCGGCGGTGACGTGTCGATCACGCAACACCAATTTCCTCCAGCTAGATATAACATCCGATGCCTGGATGCGAAAGCTGCATCATCATCACCAGCAGCCGGCTCGAATAGCCGTGGCAATGGATCCCTCTCTGCATTTCCCTTCAATCATACTGGGGATATTAAAATGCGGAGCTTCCTATCTGCCCATATCCTCCGACTGGACTGACCCTTTTATACAGAAAGTGCTAGCGTATTCTCAACCGTCAATGTTGATATGCGACGATGTGGAACGATACTCCAAATTATCCACTACACTTCCTTGTCTGGATTGCAGTAACGGGCTGATAATAAATACCGACTATTCGGGTAAATCGCCATTTCATAAAGGTCGGTCTGCACTGGATCCAGCTGCTACTTTTGTAAACGATTTGGAAAAAGTGACCCTATGTACGCATCGTGCGTTAACAGAGCACGTAGTAAAAAATTGGGAAATTCTTCCGCTTACAGATGACGAGGTTTTGCTGTCAAAAGCAACGGCAGTTAATACATCGGAGAGTTTATTGGAGGTTTTAGCCTCTGTTTTATCTGGTCATCGATTACATATTTTGCCGCTATTTGTTCGAAGAGACCCGGAAAAACTTTTGGACATATTATTGGAATTTAACGTTCGCCGATTATGGTTACATCCTAACTATTTATTGCGTTTATGTAAGATTTTGACTAGAAGAAAACAGACATTTTCCGCAGCATTACGCCTTATCACCATTACATCACCGCGCATTCCGCTGGACATTGCGGTGTTATTCTTTCAAGCGTTTTCCAATGTGAAACTCGCCGTATGCCAACGCATGCAAAGCGGAAACAGCGATCAGCTGTGGGACGTTTTTGATAATCATCGAGATTTACTGAAGGCCTTCTACGAAGACACCGTGCCCCCGAGCATTTTGCTAAGAAACTTTGATCTACCTATTAACAGCAGTCAAAGCGTGTCAGTGAGAAAGGACACATGCGGCGGTATTTATGTGTGTGGAAAATTAGCGGGTGATCCCGCGTTGAATTATGTTATCACGAAAACCGATGCCGGTTGGGTGCAGTGTGAAAGCACGGGAACCATTGATGCCAGCGAATTCCTACAACTGTTCGCCGGCATGCCGGCATCCAAACGCATCTCCACCGATGAGCCGGTAAAAAAGCCGGTCCCTCCAAAACCGACGATTCCGACGCCCAGACCAATTGATTACGTGGTGGAAGACATCAACGAGGACAACATGGACGATGTAATTGAGTTCCTGGTACGCAACACATTGATGGTGTCGATGAGTGATGCGGTGCCGGTGCCGTCCTTCAGTGACTTACAACTGTTTACGCGCGTTGTACTGGAAGAATCCAATCCAAAGGAATTGCTGTTTGTCCTGCGGCGAAAAAACGAGACAAAAAGTATAATCGCCGTTAATGTCGCTTTTGATGCACATGAAAAATCGGTTAACTTACAAAATCTGACTTCTCCCGATATGGATCCAAAGAATCAAGTTCTGGCATGGACGCTGCTGCCACTGTTATCGCCTCTGGTTAATCGTGCAGGTACAAAAAGACGAAAACATTTTTGTATATTTAAATTAATTTCGTACAGTTACTAACTAATATTTCACATTATACGTGCGTAAATAGCGCTAAGATACCTTAGAAATCGGCTAACCACATTTGTATAAATAAATAATAAATTATTTTGAACCAATATTGAATTGTAGGGTTGGCTAAAAATTATTGATTTTCAATATTGTTTTAGTTTCTTTTGATTAACAACACCAATTTATTTCAATATTGTTTTAGTTTCTTTTGATTATCAACACCAGTTTATATATGGGCCGCTCCGATGTGATTGATTGCTAGTTTTTCGACTTTTTGGGTGGGGCAGTCTTATTTAGTATCGTTAAGGCACATAAAACTGACGATTACTGTCAAACCATGTTCGGATGGCACAATACAATAATTGTTCACTTCATGATGCTGCGGACTAGTAATGCATTTTAGTGTAACCTTTAATAATTACTTATTTTTCCTTAAGGGGTAACTGTGGAAAGCTATATGATGAGCGTGGATTTCATGCTAGAAAAACAGCAAAGATTCCAGTTGGCATGCCAGATGGACTTAGAATTATCGAAGCGAGCACAGCGCCTGGACTACAAGTACATAATCACCAAAAACTACGACGGATTTTCCAGGGTAATACAGTACTCCCATGAGTATTGAATTTAATACCGGATATGTCTATTGCAGACTGAAAAAATTTGCAGACGTGCAGTACCGTGGTGTATCTATTATGCTAATGGGTTTGTAATTAACTTTAAGTTTTTAACTGATGTAAGCCGAAGTATGATGCGGGACATGGTACATAATACAGAAGACTGCGCAAACCTAAGCTTCACCAGAAATTATAACTGTTATCTGCCAAATGGTGAAAAATTACGTTTTGTTTTACAGAGTGTTTCAAAGATGTCAGGATATGAACGGCGCGCATCATTTCAGCTAAACCGGCTGACACTGCCCGACGGAAGTGTGCCTTTTGAGAACTATCCCGCATCCAGTCGAATGACTCTGAACGTTCTAATACTCACCAGCTACCACGATGGTATACCGAACTGTGATTTGGACTCCACTAGTCAAGACAACACTAAGACAGTAGAATTTCAGATTTAGAATTTTCGATAGAGCACTCCTGGCTTAGGCTGTTATCTTGACCTTTTTATGTTTATTGCAATACAGTACATTACCGATGATCTCAGAACTAATCATGCAGAGTTGGCCGCTTGTTTCAGCAGCTGCTACGTATACTCGTACAAATCACTTTTTCGTGCTTTGTAAATGCGGCCGGCCACCTTATTGTTATTAGGATATAAAAATATTTTAACAAATCAATCCACTGGAGCGTCAACATTATCAACTGCCGGCTCGTCTACGCCACCTTAAATGCCATGATTATAAATTATTGTGCTCATACTAAAGTGTGGATAACTATACAACAATGATGCAAGAAAACAGAGTGTGTCCTAATCATCCAAATCGATTTCGCACCATGGCGACCCTTTCTGTGGTTCACTTGTCCAGCTGTCCTGACCTCCGCAGTCCCAGAAGCCGAAGCCGCTTCCTCTGCGGTTAAGCCCGCCGCATCTGTTGTTGTCCTTCAGTGCAGCTGCATCAATAACTGAAACATGCCTATACGTTACAATTTAACCTCTGCCTCGGTGCGTTCATTTGATAATAAAATGAAGTTATTAATATGTTGTAAATATCTTTCGAAGTTAAACACAAGGCGCTGTAGATTAGTTGAATTTGGCAGACTATACGGTCATTGTAATTAATATTCTTACTTCGATTTAGTTCGGAATCTTTCGTAACCGTTCTTCTACTTGGCAGCACCCAGCTTTTATCATATCCTTCAAATGGCTTAATTAGGCCAATCCAGGGCCCATTCCACCACGGATAGTTGACAGCTAGAGCATTAATAGTACAGATGTAATTTGTGCATGCATCATACTTAGTTCCAAATAAATGTGTCCCATTATTCCTGTATCCGGCTCGATTTTGATAAAAACAGTCAATAATAAATCAATATGGTTTCTGTTTTTGATATTCCCAGGAAGTCCGAAAGACATCGGCCGGCGAGCGCTTTTTAATTTTAATCTTTATAATAATTTAGTACCATATAGGCGTAGTCAGCGTAGATAACATAGTGCATACAGTTATTACAGTACGTGGCTCCAGGCGCACGAATTGACGCCAAAAACGCGATAATTCTATGTAAACATCCCGTTTCGAGCACGGGATATTTATGTAGAGCAACTAATGGTAAGTTAATTTATAGGTAAGGATTACTTCGCTTACGGAACGGTACTATAGCTTTAACTGCAAAGCCGGTAATTAAAAGCGAAAAAACCAAATGCCGGCAAGCTGCTTTGGGCAAACCGGGAAGTGGAAACCATAAATATTTTGCTAGAGATCGTTTTTATACGACTGAAACTCATGTCCCGTAATAGTTATTGACCAAAAGCATTTGCGAGTTACCGGTTGCGGTGATGTAGTTGTATTCTTCCATGCTGTTGAATTCAACCAAATGTGCTCCGAAATTTAAGCAAAACGCCATGGCATCGTAGTACGTCAGTCTACAATTATCGAATGTTAACAGCTTGGAAACCCCGACATCGTCCACGTAAACAAAAAATCACATACCTGGTCCAAGCCGTAGCAGCAAAATAGCAGCTTTTAGAATGTTTGACCCAGCCATAGGGGCAGTTTTTATCGGCGGTCACGGCGCAAGGAAGAAGCAGTATCATCATAATGCAAACAGCGACAGCTTCCGTATCAGCCGTTAAACGTCTCCAGTGACCACTTCCGGTCATATTCGGCATTTTCCCCTAAGATTATAAGAAAGCAGTAAAGTTTTACTTTTGACGTACAGTATTATTGTAGACTGGATCCCAGACTTAAAATCATCACGCAGAAGAAGCGTAAAAATGGAACTGGAGTGGAAAGTCTGCCATTTTTACGCACATAAACATAAATAGACGACGCGTTTCTGGTGCGAGCGCAGATTTACTAATGGTCATTACGTGCCGGTTGTTACGACCGCTGAAACGCTGTTGACGTGTCTTTGGTAGCGCAGTTCCATGTTTTGTGGACGATGTTGAGTGATGAATTACACAGCACGCGTCAATCACGTTGTTGTGAAGCTTGCCGGGAAAAGCCACTTGATGGCTTATCTTAAACTGCTTTTTAGTATTAATTAATTGCAAGTTTGTATTGTGTCCTTACTTACATACTTTATGTGGTTATCTGTACATTTGGGCATTTGACCTCTTCAGTTGCTATTAAAATCCTGCATAAGGTAAGTATACGGATAAGGATGATAAGAAGCAAAATTTCACCATTTTTTAAATTTAAGGACTCGCAGGCCGCATCTTATAGGGTACTAAGTTGTCTACGAGTACCAGCACTAGCAGTAACATTCAGGCGTCGGGGACCAGGTGGTTACCGTGACGCGGTACCGGTCAGGACCGTGACGCGGTACCGGTCAGCCGCCCTTCAGTCAGCACTCTGGCAGTGTTTGGCGCGCACAGCGAAGTGGCGGTTACGTGTAAAACCACGACTCCTAGGGTAGGACCTGGATTTTATTTTTTGGTTCTAGTTTCTCAGAACTTACTTATTCTTTGATGCAGTTTTAATTTTGTGCAGGACTTTGTTTAAAAAACAGTTTCATTTTTGTTTTGAACTTTCATGTCTTCCCCTTTGTGATAAAATGTTTGGAAGGGATTTTTCTAGATCCCTCTCTAGCAGTAGTTTACCGCGAGCGCGAGAGTCTCGGCTGAGTTCTGACGGCTACTACTATGGCACGAGTTTCTTGAAAGACAGTGATGCAAACGGCGTTGTTCTGAGCCCGAAAAGGCGGGATAGTCCGCTGGAATATACCACTCATATATCTTTATCAAAGGACAAAGGATACAACTCCTTATCCCCGTTAGACGACGGCAGAAATCAAAATGTGCTTCAGCCGATTAGTGCGGACTATATTCGTCATACTTTCCACCAGGAAGCCCAACAGAGATTCGCTGATCGTAAAAAATCTTGGCGTGCTCGTACGTCTGCGCACTACGACGAGCTGCTTGGCAGCCCACTTTTCTCGTTTACACCAGAGGAATCCCCATCTATTCCTACTAAGTTTAGCGTCGAAGAGGACGATCAGCCTAAAACTCCGTGCACGGAATCCCCTACCAAAAACATCCAGCCTGTGCTGGAGAGCAGTTCGCCGCCGTGGTTTGAGTATAGTTCACCTGGCCATCCAAATTCCGAGTCTACACCCGATTCTCCGCAGATACCCTCACCATCATTCAAGGAAGAGCCTTTGCCCACGGCGACGTTCTCGGAATCCACATTTTCAAAACCGACTACAGCGGTCGAAATTCATGAACCAGTCGTCGTCGAAACTCAGGAGCAGAGAAATTACTCCGTAGTAGAGACAGTTGCTCCGAGCGATGTCCCTGCGCCGCAACAGGTAGGCTTGACTTCGATAGTTTTTAGACGTGTATATCTTCAACTCCAAACTTGTATAACTTTCTTATAACTTGATCTTAATATTTTTGGTAGGTTTTTATTGTGGTTTGGAATTTTATTTTCTTAATTTGCTGTCTTTCGTACTTGCTGGTTTGTTCATCTGCTTTTGGGTTACGCTTGTGGTATTGCGGTATTATAAGATTTCTAAATATTAAAATACTCATTTTAATTTGAGCAGCTGCCTTAACAATATCTGCGTTGAAAGATTTTATTTAACCATTTTAAATATTTTATTTAAAAGGTTTTGTAGTGTCACTGCTTATGCAAATGTTGGTATCGTGGTCGTAGAAATTATCCTGTTGAAATTAATCAGTATTACTGATTTTTTAGTCTTCCTCTTTGTCTTCGACTGCGCCGCCCTTGGCTACCGAAGATCCTTCACCGACCAAAGCATCTCCGACCAGCCGACAGCTGGCCGAAGAAAAGTACGCAGCATACGTAGCCAAGGCAGTACAGTGCAAAGGGAGCTTTCACGATTTAGACAGGGATACAAATCTCAAAGCGCTCAAGAGCGCCGCATTCTTCGTCAGTAGCAATCCGGTAACGATATGCTCCCCGAACTCCCCAATGGAGATCGTGGAGCCTTATCGCAAGGCTTTTTTCCTGCTGCGAGGTTCGCGGATGGAGACCAACACCATTCCTGTTGCCTTGTCGGATCATCCGCAAGTCGTCCATTTTGTGCGTTACAACATGGCCAAGAAGTTTATCGACGTGGCCGCGCTCCAGACAGAAGAAAAAAATGAAGTTAAGCTATTTGCCTTGGCCACTTTGCTCACAGAATTGTGGGCTTGTGATCCGGAGTTTGGAGAGGTGTTTCTGGCGCTATTATATACGGAATGTCCGTCTTTAGTGCCGTAAGTGCATTGAATTTTTGATTCGCTTATTTCTTCTTGGGCGCCCATGTTTTTAAATTGTAATTTTTAATGTAGTCTTTGCATAATTTGTTTAAATTATATACGATGTACCGTTATAATGAGTTTTGCCGTTACTTACCGTCAGCACCGTCACTAAATCCATATCGGTATATATACTCAGCAGTTTATCTTCTAACAGTCGTAAGTGTTACCATTTTCTTTTATGCGCTTTTTAGAGTTAGCTACAAAATGGAAGGCAACGTGGAAGTATATCTGCGCCGTTTAGGTGCATTATCCAAGTTCTACGCCGCGATAATGCAAACGGATCGTCGTTTGCTACTGACACGCGTATTTCCTACAAAGCAGTTTCATTGCGCTAATCCACACGGTGCCGAGGCCGCTTGGGCATTGCTAGCCGGGATAGTTAACGGAGAAGTCCAGCTGGGCATCACTGTGCTAGTTTTGCGTAATTTGCTCAACATCGCTGGCTGGCTGTTAGCGGGAACATACGGGAAGCAGTTTACCAAAATGGTTCACCTTATATCTCGCCAGTTGCTCCCACGTATTCGCAAGAGAACTCCAGCGGAACTATTGGGCCCTGTCGAGCGACTAGCCGAGTCTCTGGCTGATTTCCATCGCCTGCAGACGTTCCCCGTTCCTGCCAGTAGACTGGACAAACGCTTTTGGACTTCGTAATAATGTTGTTTAAATTGTTCTGTGATGCTTATTATGCCTTTTTGGAATTTTGTGAAACGAATGAGTGGAAACCGACATTCTTAGTCGCGAATGCGCAGACATATTGTTAGAAACTTTTTTGCGGAATGCATTACTTGTAAATAAATATCAGTAAAATTTACTTCGTCGGACGTATGGATGATGATGTATAAGAGATAATGACTATGACGGCATACTACCCGTAGTAGTATTATTACAGAAAGAAGCCCTAGAAATCTCGTTCAAACATTGCGCAGAACTTCCGAGTTCCGGTGGTGTAATCTGCAATAATTCCATCTTTCGTGCAGTTTTCATGAATTACGGATATTTGCCGCCTCTTATCAGAACTACTTTGCTGAACCCGGCGGTGTTATGAATTTTGTACGCATCATGACGCTTTCCTTCGAACACAATGACTAGTCATTCTAGTATTGTCTGTTCTTATCGAGTTTGGCTTTACTGATAATCCTAAAAAGAATTTGTAGTATATCGTTTTCAGTTATTGTTCGGTACAATGTAGTCGCAGCAAATTCACAACTTACAATACGGGTGTAATATTTATCATTTACAAATAGTACTGTGCGCATGCCGCCTCGACTGGTAGAAAAATTTTATTTTCGGTCAGCTTTTTATTTAATTTTAAACAAACTTTTTCTGACGATCAAGTGGTAATCGTTAGATGGCTATGCACCGTACACAGCACATTCGTTCTTATCTGTATTCTGCTTCAATATTCGTGTGCTTGTTAGGTACGAGTTTTTGTGGTGAATAACGCAGCACCTATACTCCATTTGTTTACAACATCAGCAAAACGTCAAGTACCGCGAAACTCTTATTTTTACAGGTACAGTTGTGTTGGACAACGTTTCAGCTGTAGGAGGCAACATCGATGCGAACGCAAGGTCTGGCGCAACCGGCTGGACTTACGATACATGGGAAAATCCAGGTAAAAACAGTATAAAGAAGTATTTACTATGATTTTGCAAGCACCTCTGCGGTTCTAATCTACTTACATACGGTAAATTTTCGTAGTCCCGTGGATAATTACTCTACATACTTCACCATTAGTTTTATTTTCACCTGCTTCATTTCAGAGCCAAATTATAGCGGTTGCGATCATAACAAATACAAATATTGTTACTTTTTTCCTTCAGGCCTGTACTACAGTACAAAATAAAGAGGCTTAGTTGTTGAAAGCCTTTCTGATCATTACGCCAATAATTCGTATCCATTTACATTTTTCTTCAGAGTCAAAACTTTGGCCAAACGAATGGCATATTGCTTATCCCGCGTGTGGCGGTGCCAGGCAGTCGCCAGTAAATTTGACCTTTGACGGCACTAAGCTCAACCGTGTTCGTTTGCCGCCAATATACGTAACAAACTACGGCGAAGCACCAAGCGGATTTAAATGGAAACTGGAAAACAATGGGCATACCTGTATGTGGCAAACATTTGTTATTTAAGTACATTGACGGCTTTATGGGATGCTCAGCAGTGGCGACTGTATAGTTAAAAAGATATAATAATTTTTGTAGTGCAATTAAGTGCCCCAAAGTTCACAAAGATGCCGACGCTTTCGGGAGGAGGCTTACCACAACTGTCCTACACTTTTCGGCAGATCCATGTACACTGGGGATCGGAAGATGCCCGAGGATCTGAGCATTTCTTAGAAGGAAAACAGTTTGCGCTGGAGGTACGTCCCACATTTTTTAATCCTTTACATTGTTCAACATACTGATACAGATGTTTTACATTAAATTAGATGAATGTCAGGTATCGGGACATAATGTTGTCATGCATTTTGATAATGCCAGTATAACATTTTGTTTCTGCAGTCCATGTATTCTTAAAACAGCTCAGTACACGAATTCTGTTTTGTATAATGCCATTAAAGGTTTTCCCTTCGTGACCGTGCAGTACATGTCCGCACATTTGCGTAGATGCATCTCGTGCATTACATGGATGGCGTTCCAGACTCCGTGGTTACCAGCAATCCGGGTGGTATTGCCGTGTTAGGAATACTGTTCGAAGTGGCACAGGAAAGCGAAGTTGATCCGCTGTGGGATGACTTAATAGAGAAGGTTACGAAAGTTGCAAAGCCGGGTACGCATACTGTCTTCCCTTGTACATGTACAAGTACAGCGTATAAGAATACAGTAACAAAACAGAAATATCGCTTTATGCAATTTTAGTAAAATTTATTGAAACTTAATCAGAATCCTTAATAATGATTACAACCTTTCATATCTATCCACCACTCGAAACGTCTATCGAATTAACTTTTTGGTTTTTATATTTTCTTTAACGATCATTATATATTTCAGGAGCTTTGATAGCGCCAGTTCCTCACTTTGTCCTGGAAAGGTTACTTCCGACAAACCGGTCTTTCATGCGATATTATGGTTCGCTGACAACGCCGCCGTGCACAGAAGCTGTCGTGTGGACGGTTTTCACCACACCCATCCGCATCGCGGCGAGGCATTTAACAGTTTTAAGATCACTGCGAACCGAATCCGGTGGACATCGGATTTCGAAGAAACAGCAGTTTATGGTCGACAATTACAGACCGCTTCAGCGCTTAAATAATCGCGACATCATATTTCATCATGAAAAGTAGTGATTACCGGCGGAAGGTGAATCTGACACGAACAACGCGCTAAACAAAGCGGTTTGCATGACCCATTTGTATAAATTAGAAAAACATACTTTTGCTGATTGATGATTTGTTTGCGCATTACCGTCGACAGCAGACCGAAAATTAATCCTTTATTATCTTTCGACGTGGGTTTAGCAACCTTCTTTATATAAAAAACGCAATGCAGAGAGGCTACAGTGTACTGCAGTAATAATTTCACATCAAAAGTAATTTTTAAAAAAAATGCTCTTAAAATTATAAATGAAATTAAAATCTGAATAAAACTGCTTTCCGCAAATAACATTGGACAACTGGAAAGTGTACGTGCCCCATGCACATTTAAGTATGGTGTGTAATATTCAAAATTTCGCAAGTAAGCGTTTTAGTTGGAATGCCATAAAAATCATGTTACTGTAACAAATGTTGTTTTTCTAGCTTTTTAGACCGTACATGATGTCGAGTGAAAATATTATTAGTGTGAGGGGCCGGCTCATCTTTTGTGGTCATAACAATAACAGCACAAGTGGCCGCGGCGTCACAGATTGGCTTTTATGCAAGTTATAAACTGCTCACCTGGAACCACGCTTCGTCCATTAATGGCGGCATCGAGTTACAGATGGCGTGTATCTGTACGCGAGAAAAAAGTACTTATTGAGTTCGCGAACGGCATCAACGCCGAATGGACAATTCAGTCGCCAGCAAATTTTGACTGACAACAAAAACACACATTACATTACCGCCTGCACAATAGTTGGAATAATCATATGCTTCCGGCTAGTGCAACACCATTTGCAGCAAACCGTCAATTGGCTAATGCAGCTGAATCTCTGCGCATCTCCATCTGCCTGCTCGGACTAGCCGTTAAAACAAAAAGCGTTTTGCTTTCTATGTCCTTTACATAATCTGTAAATTACGCTTTCTTTCAAGTATTAAGATAAAAATCTCCGCAATGCTTCTCCGGATCGCTTCGATTATATTTATTGGAATTATTAAAACATTTGTGTTCTGCAAGGGTGAGCAGCATGTATGTGCATATATATATAATTATGGCTGTTACAGTAAGAGTTTTAGACAAAAGTATGCTTTGGAATCGAAATACATGCATAAAAACGTAATTTAAAGTGCATAGATAATAACATACGGATATAATGTGCAACTTAGTATTTTATCACATGCACAACTTTTTATGTGCCTTAGCCGTAGACTATACTGAGCTGTTTTTAATTTTATTGTAGAGCCGCTAAATATCAAATGCACACTTGATCCAGTTCAAATTACCGTGGAGATCTTTGTCTCAAGACCGCTGTATAACGTGCAACTAAAGAATGCTGACCGAAGTAAGCAATATATAAAGTGGCAAAAAAAGTTCCGTTACATGTAACTATCCCCTTGCGAAGTTAGGTTTACTTATGCTGATCTTTGAAGTTTAAATATGAATTTCAGCTTGTGATCCTCAAGAATTTACGCCCAATTCCATCAAATTCGTTATTCAGAATTATCAATTGGGAATGTGCGGCTTCGTCCGGTCGGACAGTTCCACGGACGGTTTAGACGGTACATTCTGGAATAATCTCATTTGGAAAGAAAAGCCCACCTCTAACAAAACCAAAACTACCAAGATTAAATGCACTCACAAAATGAGCGCCATCCTCAGCTCAGCCGCCCAGCTGATCCCCATGCCGGTGCGCGTGCAGGTGATCCATTTGCCCTTTGGGGCGTTCCCCAGCGCCTTTAACGGAGATGCCGCACCGCCCATCTCCGCCACGTCGTCTAATCCGGGATCGGAAATGCGATCACCCTTCCCACCGGGAATCAGCCCGCTCGGTTCCGGTGTGATTATGGTGCGTTCGCGACCTTTGCGGACGTCCTCGAGTAGTGGACCCGGTGGTCCCATTCCCGCGGGCGTAGTGCCCTTTGACGGATCTTCGTTCTCCAGTTTGTTCCCGTCCGAGGTGCCCATTATTCGTTAGTTTAAATGCTCGTAAAACTTTTGCATTTGTTTTTGCAAACTTTGAGAGCGGAATTATTAACGTTAACGCCACAATGTTTTTGCGGCTTGGGATGAGCACAGTACGTGCCGGTGAGCGCGAAAATGACAGCGCCTGTTGCTTTGGTACATTCAGTGAATTTCATTGAAAAAATTTATATCGTGCTTTTGCGCAAAAGATTGGAAGACGATCATAACCGAATTAGTGCAAACACATAGCTTTCGAGATCAGTGCCGGCACTCTCAGGTCTGGTTTGAAGCTTCCATTTTGTATTATTTCAGCAATCAGATTAAAGCAAAGTAAATCAAAAACTGGCAAAGATATCCGTTGCTTGAGTTCTTCTATTAAACATTTAATAAACTGCGCTGTACTAGAAGTTTTGGGATTTTTTTTACGCAACTCGAGCAGTAAAGTACAAATTATGGCCATACACTTGGTGCTGTTGGAACCGTACAATTCATTCTAATACGGTATATCTATATTATTTGTTAATAACAGTATTGTAATCAAGTCACAAGTGTACAGTATGTATGCACAGAAAACACAATCGTCCAAAGTAACTTACGACGTACTGCATGCATTGTGCAGCTAAAGGAGTAAATTTGCGTTCAATGCGCTATTTAGTACAAAGGACTGTGGTCAATTAATCAGACAGTTTATTGTTAATGCTCAAGTTAGCGGCGTATTTCCTGTTTCTGGTTTATTGTAACAAATACCTCCATCTGTGACCTATCTTCCAACATTAACAATTTCAAATAAGTATCTGAAAGCTACGTTCACTGGGATAGTTCTTGTATGCAGCTGTTCCTTGTTTTTTTATATGCAGATTTTTTTATAAAAGTGGACCCGAAATTGACTCGGATTTTTTCTAAATTTGTCCATTTAACCTGCACAGATTAAAACGCCTGCTAATACATATTATCTCAATCTACAAAGCCCCGATATGCTATCGATATACACTACATCATTTATTCTGCTGATCGGTGGCCAACTCCAGTTCGCACCACGGGCTTCCGCCGCGGCGGCAACGCCAGAATCCAAAATCCTTGCCGCGCCGATTATAACCGCCACAATCATGGGAACTATCTTTCGCAATTTCCCCGAACACTGCAAGTCCCCATTGCAAAAAGAGCAAATCGTTTGAAAAATACACAAAAGCTTTAATGGTAAATTAAAGTGTCGCTAGTAAATACCTGTAATGTTAATTTTTTTAATTGTAGTAATTTTGTAATCTTTTTCGTACTTTTGTTCAAATCCACATCCTGAGTTTCCGTCCGTATGGATGGCAGAATCCAGAACTCGTCACCAAAGGGGCGTAACATTCCTATCCAAGGTCCATCCACCCAACTCACCTGTTGCGCTACATAACGTAATTTATCACTAACACATAGAAGGAACTTCAAGGAAGCCTTGGAGGGATCGAGTAAAATATAAAAAACAGAAATCTGTGGATAAATGTGCTTACTGATTTTTCAATATACCGATGTTTATTTAATTTTATTATTTCTGAATTACACCTGCACCTCCTAATTTTTGCCATAATCTTTTATTAACATGGCAAATCAATATTTACTGATGTTTTATTAAAAATATAGCTATAACAAAGAGACTAGTACTGTTAATACTAACCAGCGGTATCTATAAAAGCGAGTTCCGCTTTATCATTGATTTCCACGAGATGGGCCCCAAACGACTGGCAAAATGCCGCTGCTTCGTACCACGTTACCCTAAAAATGCAAACTTTGGCATGGTGATAACACCAGAAGCAAAGCAAAACTAACTAGCAAAGCAAAACTAGGAATCGCTTTCTAATAAGGCTTGCTCCGATTCATCGGTGATTAACTCTTCGATCTTTAAACTGATAATCCTTTTGTCGCACAGATTAAGAAATTTTTGCCGTTTAGATGGTGGGGCCATTGCAGAAATCACAACAGTTACTGTCACTAGTTCATACACGTGTAATTAATTTCTGAACTCCTCGCAGATAAAAAACACCTCCATTATGGCTGGCGCAGCGATGTCTTGCTTATGCCGGCGCATGATGCAGGCTAGCTCGTGTGGCGCCGCATTTGGCGTTAAATGTAACTGTTTTGTTTCCACTTCGGTGGTCAGTTTCCTTCCTGGCACGCAAACATACTTGTCTTATCATTTGTTGACAGTTTTTTGGTTGATTCATCAGGTTGTTTTTACTTGTTCTGGCCTTTACCCGACACGCATCGATTACACAGAAGATTTTGACCACCCATAATGTTCGTTTGTACGTCTATGGAATAAAATTGGTACACTGGAATCAGATGTGCTTGAAAAGTTATTCCCTGAAAACATTTTCTTCTCGCAGTTATTCAGTGTGCGACATGAGTTTTTAAATGTTGTTTTTAAATGTTTTTAAAGTGCGAAATTCATAAATTAAAATAATTTTTAAAACTAATTAGGAATGTTTGCAGCACTGACCCGTTGAAGCGCTCGCCGGTCATGTAACAGCTGTTGTTCCGCTTTGTCCAGTTCAGTGGGCAAAATTTCGGCATGCCAAAGCTGATGTTGTCTCCCAAAGCAGCATCCAAGCAAATAAGAACACTTCCGAGAAATATAGTTTGCAGAAAACGTAATCGTAGTCCCATTTTTAATGATGTTCGAGCAGTTCCCTTAAATTTCAATGTATGTACTACAAGCATGAAGATGACCCCTGAAGAATTGCGTACGCTGACAAATGCAACAATACGGAATTACAGTAGTACTACTTTAATGGTTCCGCTCAAAACATCACGCGTAAAGCTGCACAGACTACTGATAGAATCTGTTTTTGAAGGTCGGGCAAAAAGATTAAATTAGAAGAAGCAGTATAAGTAGAAAATTATTTTCACAAAAGCGCGTAGGAGGGAGGTGTGTATGGAAAACGTCTGAGTGTATAAAATTAATTATAATACTGATCTTCAGCTTTACGAGATTGCATCGGTTAGCTGCGGTTAACTGCGGTTAGAGTATAAAGCGTTTTCTTTGCGAAGCGTTTGGATATGCTGGTAATAATGCTGGCAAATCGCATCGTCATGATATTAGTATAAAAACGTTATTATGCGTGGGTGTTTCTCTGAGAAAAGTAATTTCAGCAAAACACAGCAACCGTTTTGGCTTACAAATGGTTAAGGTTTTGGTTTACAAAGAGCGACGTTAAGCAGGATTGTTGCCGTCCCGTGCGCATACTGCATGCTGTAATCAGATTTCGCCATTAATTTACAGCAGTCAAAAGCTGCAGATCCCGTACTACTCTGTCTATTTCAGTAACGTGAACATAACTTATTCAAGGGTGGTACTTTTACCTCTCTATTTTGCACATATGGTTTAGTCAGTAAGTTAATGCTAATACACAAAAACATGTTGATAGAAGTAATTCTACAAATATAATACAACAACGATCATTATTCTTAGCTTATTAAAGATTCTGATTTATGATCAGCAAATCACCTTTGAAATGAAGTGGATTGGTAAAAGTGCAGTAAGTAAATAATTAAATAATGTACGCTCTACCGTACTGCTCTGTGGCAATACATCAATGCAATACATCTCGAATACTATATTATTTTTGTCGTACAGATGTTATAAAGCGTGTTTTCGTTTCAAGCTCAGAATGCAGTTTTTCTGTTAAAACGCATCGAGTACCTCCGTGAGAAACCGTATACAATTGTTACTGTTGTACTTTTGCATGACATTGGAGACTGGAGAGTATAGTGGTGCACGCAAAAAAGGCCTTGATGGATTACGCCTGAGTCTGGTGTACAACCACAAATTCACTATGGGCATAATCTGCCGTATAGTAATCATGTTCTATCTATGAAATATCCTCGGTTTCAAAGGCGGACACTGTTTGTAAACACAAACGCCGACCCATACGTAAAAGACACGAATTGTCATCCTACCAAATGCACAGCAACAGGTTACACCTGGCTCAAAAAGACAAACACTGAATCGAGTCTAAGCAACTCCAATTCCATCCAAACCACTCCATTGCAGATTTACTACCCATCCAAAACAAATAATTACAGAACGTATGGGATTTACCGGCATTTCTTTAAAGAGATTCATTCTGTATTCTAGAAGATAATATTGACAGAAGTTCCTTATCTTTACTTTCAAGGTATTCCTAGGAATTTGCTTTCGCAAGCAAGAATCTGTTTTCTTTCAGCAAAAATACATACGAGCAAACGCTGTATATATAAACCACCTTGCTTACCTAATCCCGATGTCTTGTGGAATAACGCAATAACTTTACCGGTTAGCACATAAAAAATGATTTCTATAATACTCTCGATTTTTCTGGTCGCATGTATTAGCGGCTCCTTTGGTCAGCAGGACAGCGGATCAACGGGATGTCCTCAAGGATGGATGCAGAACAGGCAGAGCTGCTATCTCACAGGCGAACGATTTAATGGGTACGAGAAACTGCATTCGACTATCGTCGGTTTAATAAAATTTATAAGAAATAAATAAAGTTAAAAAATAAATAATTATTCGGTTTGCCGCTGACAGTATGTCTTCTGTGCATTCTAGTCAAACATGGTATTCCGCAGCGGCATTTTGTGAAGCGCTGGGGTCGCATCTGGTGGAAATCAACGACGCCCAAGAATTTAATTTCATTCAAGGCCGAAGTAAATTTTGATGGTTTTGCAGTATTACCAGAATATGAAAAAATTAGTTAATTGCTTGCAGTAAGAGCGGTAAGCTGGGTGGATGGACCATGGATCGGAATGATTCGGTTGTTTGGAGATTCTCGTTACTATTTCCCTTCCACTCACGGTCAAGCCAGCGACAGCAGTTTGAATAACCGTAAGCAAATGCGCAAAAAATTAAAAAGGAAACAAATAGTTAAGCCCGAATTTGATTGGTTACTGTATTTGTTACGCATAGAAGTAGAACTTAATATCTCATTTTGTTAAACTAGTTTAAAAATGCCATATTTTGCCAGAAATAAGCCAGCTAGCCAGCCGAGCAACCAACGATTGCGGAGGATTTGACAAATACGGAAACAATTTCGGCTTCTGGAGATGCCGAAACGGAGGAAGCCCCATTTGTGAAATGGAATTGTAAACGTCAACGTGCAGAATCAAACATGATGTATTACGTTTTACGGGATACAGAGTACAATGGTGATCTGCTGTACCATAGTTGGGTGTGAAAAATACTATATTTTTACTGCTGTGTATTGTTAATATTACATTACCGCACGATTTCGCTATCTGTTGAATTAACAATACTGAATAAACAATGCTGGTTGGTAACCGTAAATTGTTTCATGGCACTGTCTTAATTGCGGCAAATTATTAACCGTAAGGAAACACGCTATCCCGATGATCGGCATCTAAAACAAATATCGCTCAAAGGTCAAAATAGTTTTAGCCAAACCCTTTATAAACCCTTTAAAAAATGTAGGGTATTAAAAGGTCACTTTTATCCAATGCACACAGTACGATAAAATTTTTCTTTATCTGTTTACACAACTTCAATAAAAACCGGTTGAGGTGGTTATATATTCGCAGACTGTGTTTTGTTTGTCCACAAGCTGAATTCGTGCTGTGCAAACCAGTACACAATTTGCTGACAATCATGCTGCTGCATCCATCATTAAAATTAATTAGAATTTATGGATGATAAATGCAAAGCCTGACGAAGAATACGCAGCATAGTTGGTCATTTTGGCCGAAATAATGTTAATATAATTATCGATGCACTGAACCTGTCTATGTTTTAGAAGAGAAATGACTGGCCACCTACCAATCAGAACCGGTTATTAGTCGGCATTTTAAGAAATAATTTGATTAATTTAACGACGGTCGTATTCACAACTGTCAGTACAAAATGAGCGAGTGATCAGTATAAAAGCCAAGCAGCAAAAGGCTCGCTAAATTGCGTAGGTGTTGTTATTTTTGTCGCTGCGTGCGTACTGCTTATTTTAATTTTAGTTTGCAAAAAGGGCAAGATGGCAAGTAGGTTATACATTGCAGCTATTTTCATTATCGCAGCAGCTTTTCAGTCTGCCAATGCTGCATCGTGCCCAACGGGATGGCAGGCTTTTGGTAACAGCTGTTATTATTTCGGAACGAATTTCAATGGGTACGTACGATTGCAAAAATTACAAGTATACCGACGTCTATGCCCAGAAAACTGGACAATGTACAAATGCTCACCCGCTTTTCTGACAGAAGAAGCGACCTTACTTAACCTTCAATGTTTGCAACTGCAAAATATGATTTATAAAGAGGTGCCGTGTGTTTTCTCCATAACCAACACCGATAATTAGACGCAGTCGATAATTTATTGTAACGTTCACTGGAATGTTCATAATTTGTAACAGCACGGTGTGCGAAATATCGGTAGTAATGCAACGAAGAATTTATTACACCAACAAATTCTGAATCTTGCAGGATGACATGGTATGATGGATCCGCGTTCTGCCAGGCGTTTCGCGCCCACCTGGTGGAATTAAACGATCAGGCAGAGCATGATTTTGTCCAAAATAAAGGTGACTTTTAGCTTTTATTTTCATGCCAGAAGCTTTCATTTAATGTGCCAAAAAAAGGTGGTCGCTGTATAAAAATTCTCATAGCTAATAAAAGAAAATTTTGCAGTGAAAGCACTAAGCTGGTCAGATGGGCCGTGGGTGGGAATGGTCCGCGTTAGCCCTGGAACCAACTGGGTCTTGTCTTCTACGCGCTCCTCAAAATCGAACGATAACTCTTACAACCAAAGTAAGAACGTCATGCGCAATCTGTCCAAAATTCATAAAAAGACATTTCCCTATGATAAGAGACAGCTCATGGAAACAGCTCATATTATCTGATACTTTTAATTCAGGGATGGATGGTCTGGCTAAAGCATCCTCGCATGATTGCGGCGGTTTTGACAGAAGAGGAAATATTGGATTCTGGAGATGTAGGAATGGCGGAAGTCCCATTTGCGAATTTGAGGCATAAAGCAGACCAACCATGTGTCGGATCAACCACACTAACGCCGTCATAGGGACACACAGTGACCTTTAAAATAATTTCATGTTACGCGATTGTGGATATGCGTATTTATATAATTAAAAACAACCAAAGCGTTTCTCGTCTTTTATATTTTTCTATCAATTTGTTGCCCCACATTACAAAACGAATTGTTAAACGACACGAATTATAAAAGTTTCAGCGTGACTACACGTATTGACAGTATCAAAATTTTTATAAAATGCGCAATATACTGTAATCCACATGTCTGGTATTAGAGGAAGTCCGGTATGTGGTAACAATACAAAACGTACTCGTTCACTGAGAAATTCACTCTTGAACACTTTCTGCTTGTTTTAATATCTCATTTTGTGGCCGAATGATTTGTTCATCTTCTTTACTAAAGCGACTGTGACGTGCCGTATGACAATCTTTTGGAATGTGGATGGTCATCCCGGGCCGACAGAATGACCCCGGAAAGGCCTTTTCCGCACAAATTTGTGTTCTGTCTGCTTGGAAACGTTCTCGGGACTTCTGGGCTATCGGCTCCCCTTGGCTCTTATTTTATTAGGCTCGATATAAAACCTGAATAAATGGGAAAGCGGTTTTCGTGCACCCATCGTTCGGTTTAATTTGCGACTGTTAACAAATCGCGAATCAAAACGGCAAAAGCGAACCGGTTGCACTAAATATATTTGGAGATGCCTGTGCTCATCTTTCCACAAACTGAATTGTTGTGGGTGTTCAAAAGAATAAACAACTTGCTGGCAGTCATGGTATAGTCATTCAAGAAGCCAAATTCTAAAAACCTTCAAACCATAAAAAATTAATGAAACTTATCCTACTAGCAAAGAACAAGTGGCTCTAATTTTTTCCTTAACAGAGATATACTTTGTACTACCAGTGATGCGCAGAACAGAAAATGGTCACGTTAAGGCACGATACAGTGAGTGGCCACCTACTTGTCAGAACTGGCTGTTCTTGTGTCATACTGACTTAAAAGACAAGTATAAAGACTAAGCAACGAAAAGTTGGCTAAAATTGCGTAGGTTTTCTCGTTTTTGCCATTGTACGTACTGCTTACAAATTTGCAAAAGGAACACGATGGCAATTGCGTTGTATATTGTCGCTACTTGCGTTATCGCAACGGCTGTCAAGTCTGCCAGTACTGCATCATGTCCGTCGGGATTGGACGCTTTTAGCAATAGTTGCTATTACTCGTATTTCGAAATCGGTTCCCCGGGTATCTACCTGCGCATTCTGACAGACTAAAGATGCAATAAAATACTCGCAGTCGGTAGATTGCAGAGTGACCTTTCATATGTTTTTTGAACGGTACACCTATTTTTTTTGTGCCAAACCTAAAAGTGGACATAAATGATGGTGAAAAATGTTTTGCTATATGGCATCCAGAAATTATTCCAAGATGCTCTTCTCATTGCAGGATAACATGGTCTGGTGCAGCGCATTTTGTCAAGCGTTTCGTGCCCATCTGGTCGAATTGAACACTAAACACGAGAGCGATTTTGTGCAAAATAAAGGTGATTTAAAGTTTTATTCATTTATGTCATTGAAAATCTCAATTATGATCTCAATTTGTGTACGTAAATATCATAATACGAATGCACCGAGCAAATTATCGCAGTGAAATTGCTTGGCTGGTCGGATGGACCGTGGGTGGGGATGATACGTATCGGTGCCGGTACCAACTGGATTTTGCCTTCCACACGTTCTTTGAAATCGAGTGATGCCGCGCTCAGCAAATGTAAGTACTCGTATATCAAGGTGCTCTACAAAATTTGTCTTTGTATTTTTATCTGCAATGTTTTGATTTTAGCGATGGATGATTTGTCCAAAGCCTCCGTACAGGATTGCGGCGCTATGGATAAAAAGATTCTGTAGTTGCAAGCTTGGTGGAAGCCCGATTTGTGAATTTGAGATATGAAAATTAATAACACGCCAATGAATTAAGCATTTGATAAAGCACAGTCAAATACGGCCACAAAAAGAATGTATATTATTATGTATGCCGCTGCGATATAAAAATCGATAAGAATACATTTTAACACCGACCCTCGTCAAGTACTTTATAATAAAAGATTTCGCATCACAGAAAAAATAAAGGTGGTTCAGCATGAGCAATTCCAGCATTGTTCCTGACAGGCATAATAAACTGAACCGCTACAGACATCTTTCACTAACTGCGCATCATAAATTACCCGAAAATCATAATGAACTACAAAACATCGCAGCAAGAATACAAGCTAACACCATAATATTATTTTTATTAAGAAGCGCCGCCCCTCCGTGAGTTGGTTTTATTGTATGAGCGATCGTCGTAGAGTTTGGCACAGTTTCCGCTGGGGTTAACATGGTTGATGTCAATGGTGACGGCTCCGTAACGGTATCATAAGGACGATCATAATCTTCCGGCTGAGTAATTGCCACCATCGGAAGTAATGTGGTGATTTCCGTAGCATTCACTGTTGTCGTTTCTGGTTCGGTAACCGGCGCAAATACTGTCACCGGAAGTGTCACTAAACTGTTTACTTCATTCACGATATCCGTCTGCGTGGCATTGGTAACGGTTACAGCCTGCGTTATGTTGGTAATCATGGTCACAATCTCTGTTGGAATCTCGGTACTGAAAGGTAACGGGCTGGTTACCAGCGTGCTGCTCACAGTACTTGGTATCGTGGTGGTTGTTGCCGTCGTGTACGTCGACGTCTTTCGCAATAGCGCGGTGGTCGTCGTTGTGGGAACGGTAGTGGTCTTGGTGGTGGTGTATGTTGGTCGTCGCGTGTGCGGAACAGCCACAGTACCGACCATGCCGGTAAGCAGCAAGGACACCGTCGCCAGTGTAACGATCGCGGAGGTTGATGGACTCGTTGTTGAAGCCCGGGAACGTGGTTTCCAAGGTTTGGAGGTTGTGGTCACTATGATCTCAGCTGGGACTGTGGTCGGCGGCGGGATGGTTACCGCTGGCGGGTTAATAGTTTCGGCGATCGTTGTAAGTAATGGAGAACGCCCAGTCTTGCATCTGCCATATATGTCATCTTGTCCGAGATGCCATATGAATACACTGTGGAAATTGTGCTCGGTAGCCCATAATACCTGGAATGGTTAGTGTTGGTAAATATTACTTATTTTCACATTTTCCCAACGTTTTTTTTTTTATTTTTTGCATAATATGCCGGCCAAGGATAACGTTTGCTCAATGTTAGCGATTTCTTGTACAGGCGTCGATAAACGAGATGCAACTGTAATTACTTAATTTGTAGATAAATTTTGCTTTCCATGTGCTGTAATGTTAAACAGCGCGACCTTTACTGTACCTTAGTTTTGATGGTGGCGAAATCATCATAATTTATCCATTGGTCGTTCTTTCGTGCCTGTACAATTTGGTTGCTTCTGTTCACTTGAACCGTCCAGCCGGGATTGAGGGCAGGACAGTACTCAGCGTACACGAGGATACCCGGCTCTTTCGACAGAATACCGGCTTGGCCGGGACCGCTCGCCGGATGACCAACAGCCGCCGAATCCGGTATAAATGAACCGGAGAGGGTCCAGGATCGAGCATAAAACGGAATTCCGACCGCTAATTGTGGTGCTGGGATGCCGGCTGTCATCCATGCGTTCATGGATGCTTCCTAAATCGAAACAACGTTAACAGGAAGCCTGATCGACTTGCAAAGCTTTGTATGCCAGACCAGCGGACAATAATAAGAAACTGCTTCGCAACAATTGGCTGAAAGGAAATGCATACGCAGTAAATTTGTTTTAAAAGCATATTTTTCTGTCCTGTGATATTCAATGTAAGAATAGATTCTAACTAATTCTATACAATAATAGTTTTACAAGTCGACAAGATCATTATGAAACGGTTTGCAGCAAAAATGCAATGCACTAAATCCAGCAGTACGTGTGCAGTTGAAGTACGTGTAATTTCTTGACGATAAAGATACTTTTTGAAATGGGTTACACCTGCACCTGAGAAGTAAGTAACTAATTTTAAGCGTGAACTTGTTTGGGACGCAACATTTGCACAATAGTCTGCTTCTAAGATGCACATACAGAGTATTATGTCAAGCAAACATGTTTGTTTAGAAGCATTAGTTAATGTTTTACGATGGATGTAGTTTTTTGGAAGGCGGTTAATCTAATTAGATCAACATTAACAATATTTACAAATAGATTAAAAATTAATGGCATTCGCCTGCAAGCAATAAACTGCCAAAACAAAGTGACTACTTTAACGTATTAATTACTCAATATTACACAGGTATTTGTTGGCACTTACGACATCAGGCATTCCGGCATTGTAACCGGTTATATTGTCTTTTCCCCACAAACCGCGATAGTCATATGTCATCACGTTTACAATGTCGAGATATCTGCAACAGACACCCAAAATGGCGTAATATTTTGTCAAAATTTTATGGCTTTACAACGTTAATTTTTATTTTATGCTGGCGATTGCTCTGCCAGCCAACGGGAAAAAATTAGAAAATATTACCTTTTCATCTCGGCGACATTATAACCGGGCAGCACTTGATTGGATACAGCAGCGGATAATGCCAGCCGCGGCTGTTTGGTGGCGTCGGCGTCGGATTCAAATGCATACCTGAGATCCTTCAAGCACAACATATGCACTAAATTGCCACGTTTGTATTCAATAAATCGAAGGCGGAAATAATTGTAATCTGATTGCTATGATGGCGAAAACATTTTTACTATTAAGTTCTAATAAAGCGCTATATTATCACGTGGCGCGTAAAAAGGGTCAAGCTGAAAACAGTCGTTCCTTCGGTGAACCATATGTTTTGGTTGCATAAATTTAGCCACAGGCACTGCCGAAGAGTCGCAAAAAACTAACATTACCGTACCGTTAAAATTTACAGCCGTCGCACGATGCCATACTAAGCTATTTTGTAAATTGTAACTGCAACATAATAGGATAACCCAGGCGTTTACTCTCATAAAACTCTATCTTTATCACATAAAGACTATGCAGTTGTAAAGTATATACTGTAAATGCAGGGAAATTATTGTAGATAATTACGGCCGTAAATTCGCAAGTCCATATGCGTAGGTGACGGACGCAAGCAATAACGTTTAAAATCTACTGATCTGGCAAAAAATTTTTTAAGCGTAAACCAGCTGATTTCGAACTTTAATATTTTCACTTTTAGAATTTGTCTGTTGTACCTTTAACAAAGCCATATAACTCTCTCTATCTTTCTCTTCCGGAAACTCCCAGTCGACATCCAGCCCGTCCATCCCCCATTTCCTTAAGTCCCGTACAACTGAACCGACTAATGCCGCGCGAGACGAATCATTACCGGCAGTACTAGAAAAATTTGTGCTGAAACTCCATCCACCAACACTGAGGATGATTTTCAAATAAGGATTCTTCAGCTTCAGATCGCTTAATTGCTGAAAATGCCCTGCAAAAACATATGTATATAAAGTACTGAAAAATACTGAATATGTACTATCGCAAATTTCAGTTACAAAAAACATTCATAAGAGCAAGGTTTAGCAAACAACATTGGCAAATTGCAACGGATACAAAATTTTCTAACAAGGGGACGTGCGCAAGCATGAATAGCTCGGTACGCTGCGGGATACAGCCATACAGGTGCGTGTGAAGGGTGACGTATTTAATTCAGTTTTTTTGCCATAATTATAGACCTTACCTCGAAACTTATTTCCGTCAGGTGGTTCAAAACGGTTATCGACAAGTTTAAAAAATGCATAGATAATAACATCGCATCCTCCGTTAGGATTAATGTCTGATATGCGAAACGATGTGTTGGCGTTATTGTTGAGTGACCACGACGCCAGGTAACACTGCACTTTTAATGTACCTGTAATTCAAATTCAAATGGACACACAAATAAACAAGCGTTACTGAAGCACCTTGCCATAATATTGATAATAATAATACCGCTATAACACATATTACATCTCACAACACCGTTTTGTGGTCATTTATTCAGCACGAAAATCTTGTGAAAGCATGTGGAGCAGCATACTCGTAACCAATAAAATCCATCAACTGTGTCGTTCTGTGCGGTGGAATTATAGAGTCTTAATTTCCCTTGTGTTATTCTTCTTAGTTCGTGTTTAATTTTTTAATCCCAACTTTTAAAACTGAATCTAAACTATCTATTTCAAGCACAAAATTCAGACTTCATGTGATTAAGCTACGCTGTGCGCTTGTATATATTCTTTGCAAAAGCAACTCAAAATCAAATGTAAAAATTGCAAATCCAGTGGTATAAAGTAATATTATTAAGTTATATTTTCAAGTGAACACTGGGAAGATATACCACTTACATTCGGATTGTCCAATATAACCAATCCATATTACCGCTACCATCCAGCAATATTTTATAACCCATGGATGTTGATGCATTGTGTTATTATAATAATAAAAAAGAGATTATAATTTATACAGTACTTGCCGAAGGACAGTAGTGTATTACACTACTGGTTTCGGCTTCAGCATTGCGCGGCATAACAGTAACCTAATACAGCAAAACGCAACAGGCAAAACAATAATGTCAGCAGAAAACTTTTCCAGCGATTCCAAAATACATATATCAGTGATACTGTCGCGAACGCGATCGACTCCGGAAAAAAAGTAGCTTGACCGTCAAATCACGGTCGACAAAAAGCGTGTTTTTGAATAACTAAACTTCAGGACATAGACAACAGATATCAGCATGTGCAAAATAACAAAAAGTCAGTCTCCAATCTGTCTTTCGGCCGACAAAAGTTTTTCCGGCTTAATGACGAGCGACAGTTTTGCTTGAGTTTTGATTATGTCGTTCACCTGGATGGAATATTAGACAGCGCAAAATCACAGCAGCGGCTGCTGTGTTATGATTGGCATTTCAGCTTGAGACCGGCAAAAAAACCTGAAGCGGTTATGTAATGCCGTTGATCATGAACGACTATTGTTCGGGTGCTGTGTAGTACCAGCGCAGCGTAATGTAGTGTCTTATTATTGTGCCACGGTACGGTTTAGTAAGCAGTATTACAAAACATGTATGAGCGACACTCGCAATGAATAAAGAGAAGACAAAAAACCAAAATACCGCGTGGTATTTACCAGTGTTTCTGGTTCATTAAGCAGATCTGCTTTTATTAACCTTAATTGTTATAGAACCATTTTACAATTAGTCAGCTACTTTCAGCATCGGTTACTTCTGTTTTGCCATCAGTGCCGTTCTCAACTCTACTTATTTTTTTGCCTGTAAACGTTTTGAAATTCTCATTGGTTATACAGTTCGAAAAAAACATAGCACTTACACTGATGGTCGCTTCTAAATACTGTACAATATTTCAGCAAAATTTTTCAATCTGCAAAAAAATTATCGGAATTCTGCAGCTGGCTACGAGTAGTGTCAGACAAATATATGAACATCCATATTTCTGCTTTCGAACGAAATCCGGATTATGTTGTCGAAGGGCCTTTTAGTATCAGCAGTCCAATCCATTATTTGCTCCAAAAGTTTTAATATAATACAATTATTATTATGTTTGGCTAAATTCTCTTTTAGCTAAATTATAGCTAGTAAAACGACGCACACGTTCTCTGCTATCATTCTCAGTACATTTTTACTTTTAATGTGGTTCTTTTTTACAATTTTATATAAAGGAAGTCGTCAACCCAGCCGAAAATCAACATCGACAAAGTGAAGTTTTGGTTCTTATATACACAAAAGCACGGATGAGTGGTTTTGCCACGGAAAAGTGACTAATCGTGACATATATAGATATAACGTCTGTCTTACGAGTACAAATAATTATGTATACGGGTACATTCTTTATTCGTGCTATTTATTTCATCATGGCAGTATTGTATGATGAGCATGGTGAATTGTGTAACTTTTGGTTACGATGGCTCAAGGCGCCAACAAATCTTCTTCAGCTATGTCCGATTTCATAAAATCCCATATTCCCTTTAAACGGAAGCCATTCTGACTTAATTATGGGTGCACAATTTTCGGCTAGAACGGTTTGCTGAAATCATCCGTTTCGCGTAGGAGCGTGAGATTTGGTCAGCAATTACAATAGATGCGTACGTATACGGTTCAGAATCTAAACACTGACACTCACCAGCGCTCGTCATTTCGGTTCTCGGACGCATGAGAAAGATTTCTTCTTCGAATGCCGTAATTCATGCTGATCTAGATCTTAGTGGTACAATAAGATACTTTAAAAGGATAGGTGACGTATTTTTAATGAATACGTAACCGGCTCAACGAGCAACAATGACTTTGATGTGTCCTAATATTTGTTTTAATTTATCGTGCGTCAGTTGCGCACCAGCTAAGATTATATGCGCTAATTTTATTCATATTACCTGAAACTAGCATTTTTCAATGGCAAAAGTTTATTAAACGTTTTCTATATCAATTTTTGAACGCTAGGTAATCGCGCAACTCTGAAATGATGCTGAACTTTTTCCCATATATATCTGTATTGTACTTACTTATGTTACACTTTGGGTGTGCATTACCGGTATCCTGGTGAATTACCGCCATAGCGCCTTATAATAATCGCCATTAGCTGGACAGGCCTATCGATACTCGCCGGTGCATGATATTGTAATTATTTGTATTAGATTAGCTACAGGTAAGAAACCGTATACGTATTACTTGCTATCTCTTTAATCGTGCAAAAACTTCAAGTGGAAGCATTGTAAATGTTTTGTTACAAAAAGCAAAGAAGCGAAACCAGTCAAAACGTTTAAGTAGAATTTAGGCCAAATAACATAGATAATTTGAAATTGTTATTACCAAACTATTACAAAATTTTCAAGTTCAAAATTTACAAGTTCATACGATATAGGTAAACTGTTAATGTATCTTGAATTACAATTTTACCATCCGCTTCCCTTTATACCTAGCGGAAGGTTTACAGTATCGGCATTTATATTTTCGTGCCAAAAAACTTTGGTTCCATCTGACTGACAATGAGGATGGAACGCTCCATCCCAGAGATCAATGTCACAATTACATGCGCAAACGTATACAAGTGAATTAGATACTGTCGTGATGTGCGCATTGTTAAGGTAAAGCATTCTGCTAACAAAACATTCCATCGCAACTACCAATGGGAACAAAATAAAAATTCTTTTCTTAAGTCAAGTAACATTTACGGCCTATTGAGTGCCGATCCCGTTATCGGCACTTTTCGTCATAACAGCAGCTCCGCTCTACTATCTGATGGAGAAGAGCAAAGTACTGCGGAGGCCCATGGAGAGGCGCTTGGGATAATAAAGACTGTTAATTTGAATACACACTACATCGGCGCACTAGGCTGCCGTTTTCCCGACATAGCCGTTATTTCTGGATCAACGTCTTGACAGCAAAGGACAGAAGTAATTGTGTTCCATCTTGCCGGAAGTGGTTCATCCGCTCTGTTAACCGTTGCTTTCAGTTTGACCAACTCGCTGTCGCAGGCATCAACTGCCGGCGCAGCAATCCCACATCTTTGGCGCATCAATACTTACTTGCAATAACTGCCGGTAAAAGGTTTATAAATGCTTTGCATTACCGTATAAAAGTGTCTCTTCTTGTGTTCAAGAAGCGCACGTTTATTGCAACTATTATATGCTTTGCGGTGTCGATTAAATTTTTTTAAGGTAATTACAATTTCATCGCCTGCGCATATATCTTTATAATAAGCAAGCTTATGATCAGCGAGTGACTGAACTTTGAAATACTATTTTTTGTCCGGTAATAATATAATCATCATTATTTGGAAGAAATGTTATAATTATACCAAGTTGTCACTGCACTTAAGCGTCATTATGTTCTTTGAATGCCGATCAATGACGACACTGTCAATCGGCAGCACAGTTACTGGGGTACAAGATCCCCGCGTACTACAGTCTGCCATGGTTGCACTGTAAATTTCCATTTCCACACCCACTTCAATTCAGTTAGCACATGGTCCTTTTGATGTTATGCCTCTCTCCCTGGTTTACTCAAAACTTCCCTATTTTTTCGGAACAAATTAAATACGAAGGGACCAGAAGCGCAGATCAAATCGAATCAGTGTCATGAGAATACATATATGTACATACGTACCATGCACTGGAGACAATACGGCGGGAGACCGGCAGAAGAAGGAAGTTGTGCTCTTAGGATATTTGGATAAAAATCACGATAGATGATCCAAGTAACCGTTCTTCCTGTTCATCACTGATCAATTATTTGGCCGATTGGTGCGTGCACCGCCAAAGTGTTGCCATAACATTTCTATAGTGTTTTGCTTTGTAATTCAGGGGCTGGTGCGTAGTGCCCATTCAGCTTTGATAATATTGCCAATTTAATCTGAAAATACATTGCCAGGCGGATCTAGGGATGACCGAGCTGGTTGGGAAAAAACAGCCGGAATTATGCCTGAAGCTGGCATTAGAAGGAGAGAGATTGTGCCGAGCTGGGGATTTACGCAAAGGCATTGACACCTTCATCCAGGCTGCCGATGCCGGTACGGAAGATGCATCCGTGCTAAGCGCTATCTTTATCCAGCTTGGCAATGCTTACTTTTATCTTGAGGAGTTCGATAATGCACTGGAGTACCATAGTCGGGATTTGGCGTTAGCAAGGTTCGTATTTATATAGCCTGTATAATTATTTGTTAATATTTAGGAGATTTGCCTCATTTAAGGGCACAGTCTTTCAGAGAAAATCTGGTCGTGTATCAATATCTACGATGACAGCTTATAAATTAACGATATAAATTTATAACTTATAACATCTTTTTAAAAATGGGGCTTTGTCTGAAAGATTTTAAACAGTATTTACCATGCATGACCGGATTACTGTATTTCGGATCTGTAAAATACTAAAGACCACGAATTTTTCTTATAAGTAGCGAATTTCAACAGCATTGTTTATCTTTCAACCATATTGCAATACTATTTTTTTATCTTCTTGCTACGATCCGCTTTTGATTGGCGTTAGGGTATAATACTACGTTACGTTGCCAGTTGCCCAGAAAGGTAAAACTATATGTAAATCGCAGCATTTTAAATTCCAGCTGCTAATAATAATATGTATTTAATTCTTATAGTGACAGAAATTCTTTCCAAATAATACCAAAAACCATTATTAAGATTCTTACGTGATGCAGTATTCAGAAGCTTTAATTTGGTTACCCTTGACTAAAAAGGTTTTTCGTTAATTGTATGTATTTACTGCTGATCATGAACACGCTGTGCATGCGTTGTACGTACCGTATTTATAGACTGAAATAGTCTATTTCGTTCAAAATGTCTTTGCTGGATTATTGTATGGGTTATTGTGCTGTATTCACAACTTGAATGACTTCTTGACATGCGTAATGAAAACTGATTTACAGATCATTAAACGACGAGAAAAGTGAAGCCCGGGCAAGCGGAAACATTGCAACGACTTTGAAATCCTTAGGACAGTTCGACGAGGCCATAGGTACCGCATCCGCACAATTTATCTAAATACATCATTAAATGTACTGAACGATTTATATGTACAACTCGCCAACGATAACAGTGTCCACATGCTATGTTTTCTGTATTTGACAGCTTGTGCGGAAAGGCAACTGGAGTTATACCGCAAACTCCGTGCTGATGTAAGTTTACTTGTAAATTTTAGTTTTAAAATTTGAAAACAGGGAGTGCTTTGTTAATTGTGTATTCGACAAGGTCACTTAGCGGCTTCCTTTTGTTTCTATTTTCAGCCGCGAGCAACAAGTCGCGCCCTGTACAATTTGGCCAACATTCTGCACGCCAAGGGGAAATGCAAAATCAGCCTAGGGGGCCTGCTGGAACGGCAGGAGTTGCCGGAAGACGCTGTGAAAAACTTAACGGCTTCCGCCGACTACTACCTGTGCGTGATCCGCGTCACCCGACCTCTTTTCAACTGGCCGGCTGTCTCCTTTCAAAAATCTAGGTGATATATCTGCTGAACTATGCGATGGTTTGTTTTTAGGGAAAGCTATGTGATGGTCAAGGAAATGCATGATATTGGGGCACAGGGACGAGTGTGCGGCAATTTAGGAAACTTGTATTACATTATGGGAGACTTTTCGCGAGCGGTGCTTTACCATCAAGAGGTACAATATCTAATGCAAAACACTGCTTCAGAGCGTAAATTTAAGAATTGTCACCACATAAGGGTATATTAAATTTTGTTACTGCTGTAAATCAACTACATATACGAAGTTATTTTCAGATTTATTATTTATTTACGTGTCGAAAACGTCGGTTTTAGTGCAATACTTAGACTTGTACTTCTGCCTTTATCGGATATATATATTCTCCTTTCCGCGATAATATTCTCAACATGAACCAATCCAGCAAAATTACTTGAAAAGCTTAATATATAAAAACTGTGATTTATCATATGCATTTATGCAGTGAAAAAAGTACTGTAACGAACAAACGCAATGTCAACAGAAAGTGTTATGTGACATGTAGAATGAACAACCAGAAAACATGTACAAAAGAATCAAATTGTAGTACAATAAATACTAATGTACAAATACTTACTCCAGTACGTACTTATTTAATGCTTTGTATATAAGCCGTATATACAGCGTGCAAACTCCCTTAATGTTTTAGAAGAGTGGTTACCCAAAGGCAGGAAAATAGCCCACACTTTAAATAACCACAACTCTATAAAGCCGTAGTCTTTAATTTTTAAATGATAAAATTATAATAAATATTTTCTTACCGAGTGCATGTTAAATAATTACATAGTCTTCGCTCATAACTTCACATTCCAGTACAAGTGGAGCAGCTATTCGATGCCGATAATTTACAGCGACTGCTTTATGACACGTGTGATGAATAAAATTTCTGCTTGATGAAAACAAAATAATGGAAAAAAGGGTCGTTTAACCTCGAAGTGGATGCTTTCAGAGGTTAACCTTGGCCCGGCAAAGCCGGGACGTGCAAGCGGAGCGCCGAGCCTACACCAATTTGGGCAACTGTCATATCTTCCTGGGCCAGTACTCCACCGCCACCGAATGTTATCTGTAAGGACACTAAATTTTCTCCGTAATGTTATGATTGCATTCAATTAGGAGTGTTGTTGCTATTTACCATGAAAACGTTTCTACCGCTCTTTACATAAAATCCCGGCAAGAAAAACGTCACTTTCAGGAAATCGCTGGCGCTTGTTGACACGGTTCGGGAGCAGAATTTGGAAGCGCAGACCTGCTATAATTTAGCCAACTCCTACGCCCTAATGCAGGATTACAAAACGGCGGTCAATTACTACCAGCGCCATCTGTTTCTGGCCCGGGAATTGATGGATATCGTCGGAGAAGGCCGGGCCTGTTGTTCGCTGGGGGCAGCCTATGCGGCGCTGGGTGACATGGACAAAGCCATCAAGTACGCCAAAGAGCACCTAAAAATATCCAAAGAGGTACTTTCCCCAGTTTTTTGCCTGTCCTTAGAAACTAGGTCCACAGTTTGAGTAATCCAGCTTTATCCTTCCATCTTCAACATAGCGTGTAGCGCAAAGAACTGTACAATACACGCGTACGTACCCTTTGGTACGATATATGTACAGTGCGCGCGAGGGAAGACATTTGGTTTGCCGGTAATTACGAAAATACAGAACAACCTACATATTAACAGAGCGATTCAGGGGGAAAATTTTTTAATTATACGGTTCCATCAAAAACTTATTTAACTTTCATTTGTTTATAGCTGATTTATACTTTGATGTATGATGGCAGTTTGTGCAGTCAAATATTGCCATTGTGGCGCACGTGTGATTACCGCACTAATGTCCAATAGTAGCTGTTTTATTAACAATCTCACGTTTTATCAGCTATGTATTGTTTGTAGCAACCATAGGGTAAAACTTTATCGCCATCGGTGGAGCACTAATACTTCTAAAAATCAAATTACAATGCGGACAGGACTGGGACCTGCAACATTTCCGTTAATTGCACGTATTTAATAGCATATTTTGAATAGCATATTTTAAATATTACCGCAATATTAGTATCGGTAAATTCAATTGCTTAAAACTGTGTAGCAAGTGCTCTATAGTTCAGATAGGAAAGACACTAAAGAGTTTGGCGTTATTGCATTCCAGTTTTCGAAACGATTTGCAGTCTGAGCATTGTCCCTGAAACGTTTTTTTTTTATTTCGCGGCAGTCTAGTAAATAATAGCTTAAATAGTTATTAGCATGGTCTGCGGCAACAACAACCACCGGCGTATCAGGTGTACGTACTAATTAATTTTATTAAATCTGGGCATTGGATAAAGGCACCCGAACCACAATAGCACCCCAACACAGCTCACAGGCGCAACCGCCTCCGTCGTCCTTGCTAAAACAGTCCCCCTCCACACCAAAAAGGGTGGACGGGCGGAAAAAAAACGATTTGCTGTTTAATTATTACGCCGCATCAAACTCAAATAAATATACTAAACAGAAACTCACAACCGCTGTTCTACAATCGAATAGGTATACCGTAGTGCATATGAAAGATCTACGTGTTTCTTACGCATATTCCCCTTCTTATGCACTACGAATACACTATATAGTACACTATTCTCCATCATCGAGATATACAATACATTCCATCGACACAGCATCTAAATGACTTTTTCAGCTGGACACTGCCCGTCACACTGGTACACCAAGTAGTCCAGTTTCGCGCCCAAGTCAGAACTACGCTGCGTTAACCGGAATTACAAGCAGTTTTTCTAATTCTGTTTTTTTCAATTGTGACAGACTGACAGTCACCGCTCGAAGTACAATATTATATTATTTAAACAAAAACTTATTGTCATACTTGTACTTATCCGAAATCACGCACTATCATAGCATTAAATTTAATAAAAGTACACACTGATAGCGCTATTGGTACGGTTTTCGTGCCCACTCACGCACGCACCGGTAAAAAGTGATAATTATTATTATTGCAAAAGGAGTACAATACAATTAGTTAGTACATTACGTTAGTTAGTACAATTTCCAGTGAGGTTAATGCGTCTTAGCACAGTTATGCATACAGTAATGTCTCGTACAGTACAGCAGTTGTATTTTATTTTTACTTAATGCCCAAGAACAGCCATGGCGTGCTACGAGATCGTTGCGATCTCGCGTTATGCATATACTCGTAACAAGTGTATTAATAAATAATTCCAGGATTCATGTGACATTCTCGCGAACGCCCTTTCCGTTGTTTTGATGGCTATTGTCTCATAAATATTGATACTGAGATAGGAAAACATATGGAAACGGAGTAATCTGGGACTGACCAACTGTTATTAACTGAGTAAAAACAATAGCAAACGGCAAGCAGCAATTAAGGAACTAACGAAGTTCACGTGAAGCTCCCTTGTCTACGTTACGTTTAACGATGGGCGCATTGTTTCACTTCGACAGAGCCGTCATGGTTTTCTGTCACGTGTTGTCTCTTTTAAGCTATTTATTATAAGCTTCTGAAAATTGCGGGTCATTTATACATTTCAATGTTGTTGTAGCACAATGTCCCTTATAAATAATGTTTGACCTGACTCGTATTGTGCGTGCCTATGCACAAACCTTTTAATACAGCTACTGAATGAAATCTGTGCGCTATTTAATGTTTTACTCGTAAGAGTTCTCCGATCTCGCACTGATATCTTATGAAAATTGTTACGCTTATGGTAGTGCGTTCCTCATTTGCATCTGCAAGTCGATCAGTTTACATTTGTTAGTTCCGAATGCCGAGAAAGGATCGCGAGGATTTGTTATTGTAAATCTTAAGCAACAGCCCCGTTGTGTTAATGAGCAGAATTAACGCTCGTGCTAGGTTTAACGAACTCCTCCTCGACTTCTTCCGGTCGCTTAAGTGGATCCCGGTTACATGCACTGTGCTTAGCTCGCAATTAGAGCATCCCTCAGTAACCAAGCCGGCATATATGCGCAGTCTCAGTAAATTCGGTCGACTAATGCTTTTTCTTTTCGGCTGGATTTCTTCTAAGTATATATATACCCCGGATGTTTTTTCTCACTTCACGGGTGACTGCCGGCACTCGGTCCCTTAACGCGCGGCACACGGCGCGCGCGGCCGCAATTTTTTTTTTCCTTCCCCGTCTGTTGTTGGCGCGCTCGACACGAGGCTACTTGTGTGCCCTGGCAGTGTGTGCGCGAGCGGCAGAGGACGAAACACGAGATCCATCTGCGTAGGCACTTTGTGGCGCCGGCTGCTGTTGGAGATCATGTACAACAGTTGGTGCGACACTTGGTGTTGTGGCACTGTAGCGGCGGCGGCTAAGGCGTATATATACACACATATATGCACGGTATTCCCCCTGCTTAACCGGAACAGATCGGATGCGGATATGGATCGATGAACGAAGATCGCACTGACATACACAGCACAATGCATATATATGCAGCAGTAGCAGCGGCCACCCACCCAACCTCAATTTGCTGTTTGGTGCGCGCGCACAAAACCCCAACCCAAACGTATATATGTGATTCACTGTGTATGTGTGCGTACCGCGCCGGGAAAATGTACAACTGAGCCTAACATATCTCTTTACTGGGAAGAAAACACATATTCCATAACCCGCCGCCTGCAATTAGATAGCGGGCTTCTTTGGTTAATACATAGATGCGTGAGCGTGTGTGTGTGTGTATCCGATCGACAGGCGCGCTGTTGAAATCTGTGGACGTATAGTGTTTATGTAATAATAGCCCCGGATACTGTAATCGTTCGCCTTATCCGCCGACGTGGAAACGTCTCGGGATCGTTGAGCTCGGAAACGCCATCCGCATTATAGGTAGATTACTGGTTTCTATTTTGATAAAATTACTGCAGTTTCTGTAATTAATATACCACCGCTCTATATATTTCCCTGTCGCACATTAATACAGTAATTTGTGGTACCTAGTAGTAGCGAGAGCACTGCCGCAATTTCCCGGTATTTAAAATATAGTACTGCAATAATCTGTAGAGTAAAGATAAAATTTATCATTTGTTTTCTCGAACAAAATTCTTCGGCTAACCTCAATCGCGGTTAAGCATATGGCGGACAACAGATTCTGTCCATGGTTGACGAGCAGGATCAATAAATGTGTAACGAGCTAACCAAATGCGATTTGCGTGCATAATATGCGAATTTCTGACGCATTTTTTCCCATGTTTCACAGGAATTAACGAAGCATGAAATTGCATTAACAGCTGCGGAGGTTCGCATTTGCTCTTGCGGTTAGCCGAGTCCCTTCCCTAGTTAACTGCAAAATAATCCAGTATGCATTGTGGTTGCTCGCTGATAGTAGATATCGATGAGCAACACAAATCGCTTTTTCTATAATCGACTTATGTGAGTTATGATAATGGTAGCCGTTACAGCCTAGCATAAAAACATAAAATAAATTGAAATATTACAATCGGTAAAGGGCATCATTATGTTTTGCCGGTGAATCGGCTTCCTAGAAAAGCTTTTGAGTCGTGTGTATTTGATTGTTAATTTCTGCTCATTCGGCTAGATTTCGATCGGTTCCGGCACGTAGAATGGTTGTTTTCCTAGTGAATTCCCGTCGTAAATTGCTTGAATCCTCTTCAACCATCGAGCATAGACCGGGGCTGCTGTGCAGTTATCCTTTCCGTTATTACTCGCTGCAAAAATCAAGTGTTCAAGTGTTGTTCCATAAGCGCACAAGTCAATATGAATGAATTTATATAGCTAACAATATTTTTTTCATCATCCCGACCCACCGGCCTGCACACACGCGCCGGGTACAATAGCCAGTTGTGGTTCTCCCTAGTCATCATCATGCGGAGGATATTTGACAAGCAAAGCACTTTGTCAGAACTGTGAATACTAATTGGCTGGGAAACTTTGACGCATGCGCACATATATGTATGCGCTTATACATAAGTACGAAGGCCGTTGCATGGGTTTATGAACACGCACTTTACCCTACATATGAATTGCTCCACATATCGATTGGGGAATTATTTTTTACCCTTTTGTTGGACGAATTTTGAGCGCCGGCATGAGAATCCATGTATGAAAATTCCGAGTGGTTTACGCTAAATACATTTTAAGGTTTCGTTGAATCGGGAATTGTCACAGTTAGGGTCGTACTTGCTGGCAAAAAAATGTTTACATATGTATGCTGTGCAGGTCATAATTATAGCAGCATGCGTAGGATATCATTTTCGGCTTAAGACACAGCAACAGTCACTATCATAACAACCATTCCACAGAGTTAAATTAACAAACCATTTTGATACAGCTAGAACTATTTCAGTTTTTCGATTAAATTTTCGAGTACCATAATATATCCGGGTTTGCATATACTAGATTCAGATTTCTTTGTTATACAAGTTGCAAGTGATCGCGTCCACATTATATTATATATAAGTGTACAGTGTACACGGTAAAACAATTTCGTTGTTTTGTCTTTCCGAGGCGCCAATTCTTATGTCGTAAAACAGGCATAAGCGGCACCTGTCGGCAGTAATACAAATGCCCCGTGAATATAGCCTCTGTTCTCTATTTTGTACTTCTCTTATTACAGTATTGTTTGATAACAGCCGTTTTTTTTGTTTTACTATAAACAGATATTTAATGTTTTACTTTGCTGGACGCTAGTGATTCCTTATTTTAAATGTTTCATGATTGTTAACCGATTATTTTATATAATTCCACCTCAAGCATACATTCTCATTGTTTCCTACTGGATATAACGGGAAATTAATGTGTTGGATGATTTGGCAAGCCATTTGTCTATGGGCCAATTATGAATGATGTTGCTATCATTTAGATATTTTTTTCACCGCTGATGTACGCAGTAAATCATACAGCTGGCCAATCAATATCTGGAATCGAAACGCCACAAACAGTCAGAATGTCTACACAGTACACACACATACAGCCTGTGAAGTAAACGTCCTTATAGCAGATCAGTTGGGATCAGGATAGCTTAGACGAAACGTGCACTTCCTGGATTCTGTCATCGTATAGCATATCAGTCGCAGAGCTTATGTGACAGGCTAATAGCAGCTTATTAAAGCGCCAGGAAATTGCTGGACCGTCTAGGATATCGTTAAACTAATTGTAAGGCTAAAAGGTAAATATTTCCCAGTTCCCAACTCGCCACATAGCGTGCAGCAATCCGCATTAGAAAAAGGGTTTTTGTAGCATGAAATTATGCCCCGCAGACCTGCGGTGCATGCAGATACGGTATTAGTGGCACGCACGTAATTAAATGCACTGAAGCACACGTTGTCAGAGCATCGGCCCATCCGCAAATTAATTTTTTACTGCACAAGAAAGCAAAGGGTATAAGAGCCTGATTTTGAAAAATTGATCTTACACGTTTACTAAGATCCGAGAAAAACTTTAAATATATTAGCAGCAGTAATAAAAACTTGGTCTGTTGTTGCTTCCAACAAAATAGTAAATGAATTCGCTTTTATTGAAGTAGGACGAGGTTTACAAGTTATATCTGTATGTGTATGCCCGCAATCACACACAACTACTGCAGATCTACACAACTAGTAGTACTCGTACTCTGTACATGTGCCTACAGCAGTGACTAAGTATAATACCCGCGTATAAATAATATTACTGATAAATCTGAACTATCAGAAATCTTGAAAAATTTAACTAGCGAAATCCGGCGATTCAGTTTAATAAGCTATCTATACCTAAATTCGCAAGTGTAATAATAGTATAATAATATGTATTGTAAGAAAATCGTATTGCGGATAACCTAGCCGTACAGTACAATGATTTTACAACCTCAGTTTGGTTACTTCCGTATATTTACATGTTTGTTATACTCCGTATTTATTATACTTATATTCCATGAAAATATTTAATACGAGCATAAGTTACGGTTAAATAAATACTTATACAAGGATGCCTTGCTAGCGCTCGGTTTTCTTATCTGGCTCGCGCATCCGTCCGCTGAGCCGGCTGCAGCATGCGCACTGAGAACAATGATGATCCATTTGTTTAATGACATCGTTCTCAGCCCGTTGACTAGGCGTACATATACGAGCCGTCGATAGGACATTTTGGGAGTAGGAGCCTTTATGAGTTCCGGCTGATAAACGAGGAAGAATCGATTGCTTCCTCTCGTGCTGGCGGGCATATGTAACGGGTTGTTCTCGGCACGCCCGACAAGTGCATCAACTTCACTATGTACATAACGTGGGATGGCTATTTGATTCACTGGAATGAATACGTGTCTGGCTGTATCGGTTTGTTTGTCTTCCTGTGTGGGCTAACATATATTAATTTTAACGAAATTTGCAGTCTTTCCTTATAACTTGCATTCGGACCAAATGACGAAATACAGCTATTAAATCGCCTGAATGAAGAATTAAATGCAAACCAGCCTGCTACGCTTAAGGTCATCCGGTCCTAACAAAATTTTATTATATAATTTGCGCTAAGATTAGTGGAGAATTAAACAACCACTCATGTGTACTCCGTATTCCGTATCCAAGATTTTTTCTGCATTGACATAACGAAAACAAATTGGCATAAACGTAACGGGTATTAGCAGTAAATGAGAGTTGAATTTCGTTATGGAAGTTTTCCATCATCTGCAGCCGTATAGCTCTAAATCCATTTCAGTGTTGACGGATATGTATACGCAGATGTGCTGTACAGAATAAGGCGCCTATAGCTCATACAAAAACCAGAAATTGCTCTCCTAATCTCTTTGGCCGCTAGCAGCGGTGCATGGTATTACCAGCGTATAAGGGAGCTAATTGATCTAAAGAAGCCAGTTGTTTCTGACACAAATGCAATTTGCCATGACATGTGTAATATTGCTACGCCAATAATTCCTTTGTTGCAGATTGGCGATTCGGCGGGATATAAGTCAGCGCAGAACCATCTGATCGCTTACGCCCAACCGCAGCCTGCAGCTACTTCCGGTGGATCTATTGAAGGTATGTTCCTTATGCTAATCACTGTACATACAACATATCCACCACAATGTCACAGTGTCAGGCTGACAGGGAGTTGCGCGCGCCGCGCGCTCACGGTCTCTTCCTCTTCCTTAACAGCAGGCAATAAAAATCCATTCTATCTCCCAGTCCTAATCGTCAGCCATACGAGAACGTCTTTGTATTCCACCATACTCCCACACTTTCATAACTAGCTGCGTCTTGCGCACAGGGGAAGAAAAATATTCATATATATGCATACACGTATATATATGTATATATGTGAGCGCGCACTTGCGTATATATATCAATCTATGTCGCCAGTGTTCTTTATTCAATCATAGCGCGCGCTCTCTTGGCTGCCGCGGAGTAAATCTGTTGTTGTGACTGAGCGGAAACATGTTTGTGCCGATCTACTGCACTTCTCTGAGGATGCCATTGCAGGGTGATCTTTCTTGTAGATGGCGGCAACATTGAGGAGAGTCTGGTTGCCCGTATCCGCCGTATATCCATGGAACATATGGATGCGCTGCAGCGCGGCTTAGCATCTCATGATCATCAGCCTCAACGCTCAACCGATCCACACCGTACAGAAGCTCTTTCTGGTGATTTCATTAATAATAATCGGGATAATAATCTCATCAATCTACCTTCCAATTCTCCTGATCTAATCCGTTCGCGTGCACGTTCCCCGTCGTTTCCGGCTGCTCCGGTTTCGTATTCATCATCACCTAAACCTGGTGCTGCCAAAAATAAACGCCATTTCTCAATTGCACCGTTACAGGTATATGATCCGGCCGTGGCACGGAATGCGTCACTTTCGGTTCAATCAGGCGTTAACATAAATAAAATTGAATTACTATGAATAACAAGAGAATTTGCTGGAATTTAATTTAGGTGCTATTGAGCATTGTTTTTTTTTCGTGCGTCTTTATCGTAAACTTAATTGCACAGTTGGTTGTGAGTTAACCATCAAACGCAACGAATCGATTTGCGTATGTATACGTGCATCAACGTCACAAAGGTTGACGCTGCGCTGGGATAGTAAGATATTTAGTCATAAGGATTAAGATTCGTACGAGTGAATTTCAATGGATAGATTTTTCATTGACTGTTTTGTGTTTATTGTATAATCACCTTAGAAGGTTTTTGTCGTCCACTCAACAAATAGTGCAAAAATAACATTTCATACAGCCTTGGTAGCAAATATTCGGTGGCCATTTTTTATTAAGTATGGCAGTATTTAAGCCATTTGGAAAGTATGAACGGTACCTTGAAAATAAAGTGAAGGTAGCGCTTTTTGTTTAGTTGATAAGCTAAAAATAAGTCTATTGAAACAGTCAAGTGTAATATTAAATCATAAATATTGTAATTCTACAGCAGACTCCAGATGTAATATTTATTCAGCACAACGACAGAAGAAGATCACCAGGCTCGTGACAAGATTTTATTTGTGCAGGAATTTCAGCTTGACGAAGAATTTTTTGATTTCCTAAGCCGTGCCCAAGGTCATCGACTGGACGATCAGCGCTGTTCTTTCCGAGAAAATAAAGAAAATCAGCAAATAAAAAATGGAAGTGCTAAGACAGGTATGTAACAAGTCTAGCTGGTATATTTATATGCGAGTACATATCATACTTAAGTTTGATTGCTTTCCATAAATAAATTTATACTCACCTATTTATTGGACTGTTGTTACGGGATCGTAATCGTGCGTAGTTATGGATCGATAATGTCCATACTTCGTAAGGTTCTATTTGTTTTAGCACAACAACCATCGTTGTGTTTGACCATGCTAATTTTGGGTATTATCTGCACATTTTGTTTTCGCCTGCTCCTTTCAAGTTACAACATCCGGTTTGCTTAATCCCTTATTTGTCAAGGATTTGGTAATGCAGAATTCGTCTTCCATCTGACGTTAACAAACCTCTGAACTTGTAAAATAACACAACTCAAGCAACCCTTAACACGAACTTTAAGCAAAGCAGAAGCTTTAAGCTAATATGCTTTAAAATAATAAACGTCCAACGTACACCGAAAATTCCATGATCGAAATGTACTGGTACCCGTTATTCTTTATAAAATATGTACACTTTTGTAGCACAATTTGTTGAGTTACTCAATAAATTTCTTGAACTACTTTGTATATAAGATAGATTTGTACCTGCGTTTAAAATATACTGGACCGCGTGATTAATACTTCATACGGCATCTTTTAGCTGCAATAGGCTTAAAAAACTGCATGCGTGATTGCTCTTAAAATGGATTTGATTAGATCATAACGGAAGAAAAAAAACGCATTGATTGAATTCTGTATGTGTGTTTGTTTCTTGGTTAGGATTGCGCAGTACAGGCCGATCCGCCACGACTCGTGAAGAGTTGATGGACTATATCGCCGGCATTCAGAGTCGACGGCTGAATGAGCAACGAGCGGAACTCCCTCCTCCTCTTCCCAGAACTCCTGTTTCCGCACGATCCTACTCCCTGCCAGTATCCACGCAGCATATAATTATACAGGATTATCCTCCGACGGCGAAAGAATTCCAGAAAATATTGTCTGGACTTCCCGAAAACTCCTTCCTAGCTGAGTTAATGGCGGCCAACAATACGGCTGCCAACTGCAATGCCCCGGCGTCCGCCAACCGCGTTCGCACTGACCGCGAAGCGCTTCCTGACTCCTTTTTTGACATGCTGATGAAGCATCAGGTACTTAACAAAAATAAAAATTAGCTACTCAAAGCCAAAGCTAAAAATATACCACAAATTATATAACAGAGTACTCGCTTTTTATATGCTAACACTTTACACTGATATCGATTATACTGTGTATAGCAGAGCCAGATTTTATACCATCACATAGGTGAGTGACCTCAAAGTTTGCAAGCACGTTTCGGGCAAGTACTGCTTGTGATCAGGTCAAATATTGCGCGCAGTTTTTATGCAGTATGCGCATATGGCGTAATTTTGGTTAATAATTCGACGGGAGTCACAATACCGCTCCTGTTGTGGTTTTTAGTGTTTTGTATTCGTCTCTTTATAAAGTTTTCTTGGCATTCACATCACGTTTGTTATTTCAGGGAGCCAGGATGGAAGACCAGAGGGCCAGCATTTCCTTGTCTTCAAACCGGCCTCCCGTACCGAGGCCGAAAGGATCCGGGCCATCGGGCGCCGACGACAGGCCGGCACAGCCGAAGTAGTCCACAGATTTCTATATGACATTGTCAAAAAGACAAACTTTTGCAGCTTTCCCCTGACACTTGACCTTTCTGATAATCAAAGGAGTTTTCATAAATCGGCTAGTATGACGGATTTTGCATAATACTGCAGTCATTTTTTGTGTACGTGATATGTTAAAGTATCTGTATGTATATAATGCAAGAGTATTCCTGCTTCAGCTGGCACACGACTAAACGTTTCTTGCGGCTACTCACTTCTAGTTTTATTATACAGATTTACTATTGGTTTTGTTCTCTACAGATTTTCAGCAAATATATACACTTGTTAGCATTATTGCAAGATTTCAGTCGTTTTGACATTTATTGATAGTAAATGCTTTTGACGAAATATAAACACTTGCGCCCGTTCTCAGATCGTGAGTGATTATTAATCAAATCAGCCATATCTCTAACGAAATTCATCGTACATGCATCATAAAGCGGTAATTCACAACAACAATATCACAGATTTTTAAATGGCCTAAACCGGTGTACAATTAGACACTGTACACCTTTGTGTGCGCTAATCGGTGCATACGAAAATTGCACCATAATAATGCGTTTACAGTGCAGTTACTGAATTTCCTGACCATTATTGCACACGTGATGTATCACACACCCATGCGCCTGTGTTGTCTACAGTCCGAAAACTGGTAACCATCGTTTAAATGTAGTTACCCCAGCTCCTGTACCCGCCATAATTATCATACACCGGTCAAAATGTAGGCAGGTATTTCGTCACAATAACGAAAGCTGCTGCATTCGCATTTCTATTATCTCGATTCCCGGAACATCCCTCCAAAAGGTTATCCGCACATAATATTATTTACAAATCCATGAGATTACTGTTGACATGCGTCAGGAGGGATCAGCGGGTATAGACGGCAGGGATTCCGGCGGCCGATACGACGGAGGAATAGTGGTTTCTTACCCTGGCTCAATTGTAGTATTTCGCGTTTCAGTGAAATACTGAAATTGAGTTGGAATTGAGTAGCTGTGTGGGAATGGGCGCAACTGAATTGGAATGGGCGCAACTGAATTTGAATGCCGAATAAATGCATTCATTTCCTTTTTAGGTTGGCCGCCTACCATTTCCATTCTGTGATGTATAATAAAGTTGTCATATAACTTGTAATATTGTACATATAATGCAACAAAAATTGATCCCAAATCAGAATATTTTTATCGTTTCCGGTAGGCGGCCTACTGGATTTATTCATTGTCCAACTATCAATGATCGGCTGCATATCGACGGCCATTGCCGTTACAATATTTTTTTCGTAGTTTCTTAGGTTCTAAGGTATTATAACTGATTATGGTTTAATCTTGGTGTTACAACTGTTTACGGTTTACTGTTATTGGATACGTGCAACACATGTATTCTCATCAAATCACCGATCATTATTGGGAGCTGGCCTGCTAAAAAAATTGCAGGATGTAGCAAATTTTAATTTTACAAATAAAACAAATATTCAAATTGTTAGTAACTGAACAGAGTCGGGTCCGCCAGATTACGTATCGTCCGTCGTATACGAGTACATGAAATCGTGAATACTATATTGACCATTGACGCCAAAATAAAATAGTAACTCAAATTGCAGAGAACATCAGACAATTCTGCCAATTAAACAATGTAAATCGATGATAAGTATTCACTGCACGAACATATACCGTTGGCTTACTAAAAGACGTCAGTAGAATAATCAACGACAACCGTCTAAGAACTGGCGATGTATAGTCCGTACATACTAGGCGTTAGCCGCTAAGGTTGCGTCCAGGATCTCTTCTGGAATGTAAATACTCTGGACCAGCACTTCCGTCTGGCTTTCCCGGTCCTTCAACTGGGGTTGTTCCAGCACTTCCGTCTGGCATTCCCGGTCCTTCAACTGGGGTCGTTCCAGCACTTCCGTCTGGATTCTACCTTCCCGTTGCGCGGGCCGCTGTGGACGCAAAATATCATAACATGTGGGAAGTGGAAGATCCCTGTTGCCGGCAATATGTTGAGGAACCGATTTGTGTTTCCACAGCCCGGTTACATGATCGAAATCGATTGATGCTCCCATACTGGTACAGTTGATACGGGAAATTGCTTCATTATGCACAGCAATGTTCTGTATAAGCGGCAGAATAGGAATTGCTTTTATTATACACGTGTTTTTAATTGGACGTTTACCACTTACAATCAAGATGGGTTTCAGGATCAACTGACAGTATTCAGCGGGATGGCGAAAGCGGCGTCGACAGTTATTACGCGAATACTGAAACGTCCGGTTCAGTTTCGCGCCTTCAAATTGGTTTGCTAGGCTGCCAATGCGTTCAATCGCCGAAAAACTATAAAACTCGGTCCAGAGCTGGACATGGTCAAGGCGTTGGCACTCTGTATCACTTGTACCAGTGAAGCGCTGGTACAGGAGATGCCCATATTTTGCCAGCATCGTGGTGACCGCGTGACATGAATCCGACATTAAAACCGTATCCTTTCCAGAATGTTCGCTGACACTGTCATCGGATTAAAATGATGTTATAATTCTAGTTATGTATTTTTTTCATATTAACAAAATACCGCTACATTACGTACATTAATTGCTAAACCGGTGTATTCTGATTTAAAGAAAGTTTATGACGCGCATTTTAAATAACTACTGTCATAAACAATTATATTTTTACATTCTCCCATTGATATGTAATACTAACCGAAAATAAAACTTTTCCTGTTCAGCAAGATGCGCATGATTCTGTAACAGAGCATCCCGATACTGAACGTTACTTTCTTGACATTCCACGTCAAACGCTACAGTCGTGAACCGATTAATCTGAGGATCATCAAAAATAGCTTTGATGGCTGCTTTCTGGTCCTCCGGTAAGGCGGATGGGAAGACAAACTAGAACAATTATCAAACCCATAAATGGAATATATTTTTGAATAAATGTGTAAAATGTAAAAATTTATGTTGTGCATATGTGTCATTTTTGTGTCACTATTAATTATAGAACATACGAATTATTGAAGATGTACATGTCAACAAAATCTTAATGCTCTTACGTGCAGTATAGTTCCGGCCGTCGCATGTGTCACCAGATACACTCCTGCGTGGATGCGAAATCGCTCTCTCGTGACCGGGTTAATATCGGAACAAGTGTAAAAATCGGTCATGTTGGTGTGATATTCCAGTTTACTTTGGTCATTCGCCTGGTCACCATCGTGTTCGATGACTTCTTCGAAATACATTTTCAACACCGCTCTGCTATCAGCAGTAGACTTGTATCGTTCCTCCGTTACGGACGTGTCCGGATCCATTCCTACTATCGGTAGAATCGCCGCTTGCGCATTCCGACTCTGCTGACCGGTAGGGGAAATTTTTGACTGGTTACTGTTCTGAGTCGTGCATCCGATTGGAGCAAAATCCATATGTACAGTGTGATAAGTCAACCGATACAGACTTATTGTAAGGCGACGCTCAACAAAGAGTTGACCCCATGCACATGACTCCTATAGAAATAACTCTTGATGAGAATAATATTTACTTTATAGCATGTACTTGTTATCTATAACACGCAGATAGGATACCGAACGGGAAACCAGTAGCAGTTAAACTAAAATTTGTCGAGCATACTTTCACACTAACTTATAGTATACGATTGCCCATAAATGCATACGTACATGAGTTCTACAATAAGACAACGACATGTACAGTGTATAAGAAAATGTCATTGCAATTTGGTACAATGCGGTTATATAGGTTGAATGGTTTAGGTTTAATATTTACGTACATATGCAAAATCCTGGCATTTCTGTGTAAACCACTGATGCAATGCCACAGGCTGTCGTCTGAAATACTGCACATCCCCGTTCGCTCCTTGTTTCACAAACAGCCATTTGTTTTGATCGACGCTACTAGCGCTCAACGGTATCAGGACGGAATGCAGATCCACACGGGATGATAGTTCTAGTCAAAATGGGAACATCTATGTTAACACTTTTCTCATACAAATTTTACCTTTTTGTCACATACATTAAGTTGTATAATAAGAATGTAAATACCTGGTAGAATGTGTGTTCTCAGGAAGTCTTCCCTTTCTGCGTTAAAAATCCAAAATATAACAAAATTATGACTGATTCGGGGATGTCGTTGGAGAAGGTCGAAAATATTCCAGTGGCGTGCTGTATCGATTTCCAATGCACCTGAAAACGATTCCGTTCTTCTAAAGAACTCTGCCAAACCATTCTGCGTCAATTTTGCGCGTGTCGTAGCCAGCCACCAATGGATCCGATCGCATCTGTACATGTCTTCCAGGAACGCATGCAACTGGCCAAATCTTTCACCAATGTCAAAGTGAAAATAAAAATCGCTTATACTCAGAGGAGACACAAAATCATCTGCGAATTTGCCCCAAACACACTTCAACCCGGAACAGGATCACTTATGTCGGAGGATCTGTCGAACACAAGATGAGCACTATACTGCATGCATTTGCCGCTGAAATCAGTTCAAATGACTGATGGCCGTGAAAAAACGAGTCTCTGGTCCCAATTGTGCCAACGCCGACTATAAAGTGTGCATGATTCGTGTCTGCAATGCAGTAAACAGCATCTGTAACAAGTAGTTCTACATGTACAAAAAAGCCATTATTATTTACAATACAGCACAAATTCATCGTTCCGACTGATATATATATATATATATATATATATATACAGATGCCGTACATTTCCTACGGTAGCGCTCAGTGTTGATGCAGTTCATCCTTTAAATTATTAAAACGTTCTGTGGGCACACCGGGCAACCTATCAGAAACTCTTACTGAATCAAACTGCTATATTTCTTATTAAGGTATACAGATAGTATACATAAGTGGGTATTGCTGAAACAATTATTGGTAGGCGGCCTACCAATAATGATTCTCTAGACCGAGTGATTTTATTATTAACAACAACAAACGTGATTACTATTAGTAGTAGTATACACTTTTACTGGAACAATTTCCGGTAGGCGGCCTACCTTTCCTTTACTTATTACATAGACCGGTTGACGGCGTTGAGTTAAACAGTTTCATTTGTCGAGGAGGCCCGGAGATTCGATAAAAAATCAGGTGTAATTTAATTATATAAAATCTACAAAGTACTGGTAGGCGGCCTACCAGTAACGGTGGATCTGTGACAACCACCAGCTCTGTCGCCCTGGCTCGGGATCACGGGATCATACAACACATGTATGTCCGTTTCGCACTTTGATGAATATGATTGGATGAAGATGTTTGGGAAGAGATGCAGAAGTTCCGTTCAGCTGTCTGCCGTATGTTCGCAGAGAACGAAATGGATTGTGTATTCATGGAAACCGCTACGCGTCTTAAGTCGCATCCGCATATGCAGATTGAATGCATTCCGCTGGATAAGGACAACGGCAGCTTGGCTCCAATGTATTTCAAAAGGCTATTCTCGAAGCGGAAGGAGAATGGACACAGAATAAGAAGCTGGTCGATCGGAACCGGATGCACCGACCGGTCTAATCCGGCATCGTGAACGTGATGGAACGCCGCACTGCGCTCGGGAAGAATGTAAATCGGGATGGATCCCGTGGCGGTGAACTGAACATGTGTGTTGCTGCCAACAGGAGTGCCACTGGATGCAGACGATGTCCCGGTGCGTTTGTTGCAGTACTTGCAGAAAAACAATGCCGCAAACAATCCTAACAGGAGTGCTATGGCCATGACCAGCAAAGTTATATCTACCACGTTTACTGATGTCATGTTATATGTTAATTACAACCGTAGCAAGACAGTCGAGGTGTCCTTCGTCGCTTAGCTTGGAAATTAAAATACCAATGGAACTATACACTGTATACGTCGTAGAAGTCGTTACACAGTTTTCATTATTTACCGATATGACCATAATTATATAAAGCATCTTCAAGTATTTTAGCCAGTACGTTGAACTAATTTTGATAAGATATCTTTGTTCCAGAATTCCAGATTAGCTGCTGAACGCCTGAGCGAAATGATTCAGTTATTTTACACCGCTGAATTAAGTCGAGCTAGACGGGTTTTCCCCGTGAGTCACTAACCATCTCGTCATCATTCACTGTGGAAATCCTCAGATAATTTACTTTTTTCTTTATTACACGTTAATTTAATCTAAATTAGAAACACACAGGTAGAGAGCACTTGTCCGAATACGCAAGAGATGTTCACATTTAAAAATATCTTTACCGTAATAATATCGCAGTGGAAGTCAAAGCGTTTCGCTAGGTCAGAAGGTTAAATCTGAATTAACGAAGGACGCCATTTGTCAAAAAAGAATCGAAAACAACAAATTACAAAAAATAGAACAACAATATAAAAATCTTAATAACACAACTTTCTGGATACTTCAGTAAATATCCATTAGCGACATGACCTTCAGGCCACTTTGCAGCTCCCCGGCAGAGATATCCTGGTTAGCATGAAAGCGAATCACGTCCACTTCTTGATACTGAATATGTCCATTTTTAGAGAAATATCCCTGGATGCCTGTCGCTTCTAACCATACGAACGGCGCGATGGCACTCGCTTTCAAAGTTATTTCAAAGGTTCTCGATGACTGGTGTACGGGAGAAATTCCTTTGACCTAACCAAACAGCAGAAGATTTTAGTCGATTAGCATGTAAAGACAACTGTGCAATTAAGCTAACCTGTATCGATGCTTTCCGAATGGTTGCATTTTTCGGTGATCCCAAAAACAATACATTTGGCACTGTCGAAAAATTTCCGTCCAGTTCCACCATAACAAAACAGTTGGCAATTCGCCCGGTACAGCCACTTCTTTTAACCAGACTCTGCACTGTTTCTTCATAAACAACCGACGCCGTCTGCGGTTTCTGATTAACCGTTACGTTGATGCTGGATTTCTCGTTAAATCCATTCGTAAAGTCAAAAATTCGGATGTTCATCTGATCACTAATCTGCTCCAGATGATCATTGATTAGGCTGATACGGAAATAACCGTCTTTGTCAATGTATGGCGATAACAAGACTGGCTGAAAGAACTCCTTGGCATAATAATGCAGCATCTTCCATTTGCCGCCAAATTCCATTGACGACCACGACGGCGACGGCCAAATGCTGTTCAGCTGCCAGTATAGCGCACCCATCGTCAAACCGGACGAATCGGGATTCATCATGTTCCGCATGCGTCGATAGAATTCCGTTTCCGTTTTTATTCCCATGGCTTGATTTATCTGTTTTACAGAATAACGTCTATTGAGAAACCATACTAAAACAGATTTCACACAAATTCATACCTGCGTCAAGTACACAAGAGCGGCAAATTTCTCCACAGAATCGCTGGGGGAAGGCACGTGAAAACGCTTCATAATTTCGTACAGCATTTCAATCTGACCAAACTGATGATGCTGACGATGATTGGCAAAATGGCCGAAATACGACAAATCCGATGGTAGAGCATATTTTAACAGGGTTTCCATTGATTCCCAAGACTGGTAGCCGTATTCGGAGCCGAAACGTGTCGGTGGATAGATTGTCCAATCCCAAGGATCAACCAAATAACTGTAGAAATGTACTAAAACAAGCATGCAGCAGCGTATACAAAGCTTGCGACAGTCCAAGGCGATGCAAAAGCCAGTGCTTTGCCGGGAAAAAATAAATCTGTAGATGATGCCCATTCTAATCCAATTTTCTTTAAACTTAACTGCGCCATGAAAACCGTACTGATAAGTCCATTCTAATTATGCTGAAGTATATATTAAGAAATGCAGTAAAAAATGTATAGCAGAGATGCAGTGCTTTTACCATGGCATAAGACTATCACTATCAGTAACTATCTGTAGTACAATTAATTACTGGTATTACTGTAATCCTCTGCCTTGGTATTATCGTGCCCAATCAAAACTATTCAGAAATAAACTGTACTCCTAACGACATTAATTTATAATTTACAGTAAATGTACAGTAATTTACAGTAATTTATAATTTACAGTAAATGTTCTCTCGGCTGTTCTAATATTAAAGGCTCAGAAATACGAAAATAAATATTTACCATCGCCATACAAGTTACTATATGGATCGTCCGCAATCCAGCCTTCTTCCTCGCTTAGTTTCCCGTTCGTCGGACTAGACGAGATCCATGGTCGTCCGTCAACAATCTCATATTTTCGATATTCATCCCGTATCGTATCGACGTACAACTTCACATAATCCGCTTTAAAGGTTTTAAAAGCCAGGGATGTTCCGTACCAGTTCGTGGCCAGCGCCGCTTCGTTCTCGTTATTTCCCGCCCAAATAACAACGGAAGGATGATGCTGCAGCCGGAGAATACTGGCACGGACTTCCTGTCGCACTGATGCTAGAAAGGACGAAGTGGTGGGGTACATCGCACAGGCGAACATAAAATCCTGCCAAATCATAATTCCTAGACGATCACATGTCTCGTAGAATTCTTCCGATTCGTAGTAACCGCCGCCCCATACGCGAAGCATGTTCATATGCGCAAGCACTGTGGAGTTTAAAAGCCATTGAAGGTAATCGGAAGAAATCGTATTCTGGAAAGCATGAGCCGGAATCCAATTTGAACCTAGAAGTACAGAGAAACATACTTCTACTGTCAGTAATTTCTGCAAAAATTTTAAACCGAGTCACATTATAGTATTATACAATGCACACAATGCATACATCTATAAGCTACAATACAAAATTAGTTATGAGAAAGGAGAATTAGGAGAAAATCGGCAGCCAGAAACCAAAACCTAATATGAAAAGGTACAAATCAAAGAAAAGGGTCCTTAGCGATATATTATTATATTTACCTTTGCTCCATATTGGAACACCATTCACACGGAAATAGAAGGTCAAGCCGGTCGCATTTGGCTGCTGCAAGCGATCTTGCACCAATTCTACTTCTCGGAACCCAATAACCACATTTTTAGACGATTCCATATTCCCGCCGTCATCCGCCACCGTAACTTTCATATTATACAACTTTTGACCGCCGTATCCATTCGGCCACCATCGCTCCACGGGTTCTTGGATATCAAAACTGAGCAAAACACTCGCATTACCCGCACTAAGATCTACAGACTGTCTGCGAGTAAACTTTAGCTCAGGTATATCAAATCCCAAAACGGCTTTACTTGGCGTATCAGTCGTGAGCAGATACGCTCCCACGGTCAACCGCCATGTATTATTCGTTGACTCGAAGGAAGTGTTGACCGTGACACCTTCGATCAAGGCCGTGTTAAAGGCGACTATGGAGATATTTCGCCAGATGCCCACCGTCGGGAATGCCGGCCCCCAATCCCAGGCAAAAGTACTCTGTGCCTTGCGGATAAAGTTCGGATGACACTCCCCGTGCTGGACCGGTGGCGGGCACGCCGGTGGAACAACATATCCATGATCGAAAATGTGCCGGTAGAACTGATCGGCGGCATATTTGGTGGGCGATGTGAACCGCACAGAGATTTGGTTCAACTTACTTGTCTATTAAAAAAATCTTGTATCAGTTTTATCGTCGAAAAAAAAACAGGACTACAAATTTTAAAAGCCGTACCTTTAGTGCTGCTTTAATGTCGAAAAAATACTGGACGAACTGATTGTCCGATGCTCCTACGAGTTTGTCGTTAACATACACGGATGACACGGTATCCAGACCGTCGCATTTCAGTAGGACCTTCTTGTGCGCGGTGACATTCTCTGGAACTAAACACAACAAACTTTCATATTTTAGCCATAAAGATACAGTACAGCTCGTACCGTTTATTACTGGTTTTGAACTATAACTGATAACTGATTAGCACAGATATGGACAATTTGGTTTGTTGACCCTGACAAGAGATACTTCTATCTAAGTTCATCAACAAACGACAGGGCAAAAGGTGTACGATGTCATGACAATAATTATTATTATGTATCTATATTTACAAACAAAAACAAAATCTGATCGGGTTAGTATGGATAGTTTGATGGCAAAAATATTGTCATTTAAAGTAATTTCACAAACCGTGACAAGCGATAACTAAACTTGCAGAATGTGTCACAAACGCTTAAGTTAGGCTCAGTTTTCATTTTGAATTGAGTGATTCTTTATCTGTTACGCAATACGCACCATATACCTACCGAAATTTCAGGCTGGCTACAAAAAAAGGCACATAAAATTAAGCAATCAGGAGAAGAAATCCGAGAAATTTGAAGCTTTTACCGTACTAAAATTTGTGAATATTCGCCTCCGTAAGTTAACCCGATAATTATTTTGAGCGCTCGCCAATCATTAAATTGTAGAACAGCAATTTTTAAAGCTACATCGTGTCAGAAATATGTTTACTTAAGTACAGTACTAAGGTATGTAAGCCATTGCAGTAACCTTGGAAGTCGCGCCAGAATGACCAATCCTCTTTGCTGACCCACCGGTACTCAACATCGTTAAACCGATAGTACGGATCTTCCTTCAGCGTTCCATTTCGCCACAAATCAGTGTAGATATTTCCGGGTACGCTTGCTTCGAATGTTGAGGAATCTAAAACATACATCAATTCGGAGTTCGGGGTGACTTGGAAGTGCGCACGATGGCAGCTTTGAGGTGAGCGTAGAGAGTAACGTGTACAAACGGTATTACAAAGTACTAAAAAGGTATCGTCGCGTGCAACAGATGGCTGTTTGGTTATTACCCGGTTTACTGCTTCGCGTCAGCCAGTATCCGTTCAAATCTATTGCAATCCCTCCATTACACAATGGCAACGATGAAAAACATATGATAAATAAAAACCACAAAAGAAATCGCAGAGACATGGTGTTATTCGACTTGCTTCTCCACTCGCTTCACACCTGTAAATTGATCCAAAAATGCGAATTTGCGAAACGATCGAAGCACGGCATCCGTTTGCGTATTCCCCTCCTTCTATTAATTCTATACCTCCAGAAAACGGTAACCGGGATTCATAACCGGTAGCCGGGAAATTATTAACAATCTGGCGGTTACGAGCCGTCCAAAGAAAATAATGTAAAAGTGATGCAGATCTCTTCTACAAAAATTTAATCGATAGCATTTTGACGCGATTCCAAAGGCAGAATTCTCGTCAGTTAATTTGCTGTTTTGATTTTGTTTTACCTTATGGTTAGTTAGCTAACGTAGCGAAGCGGTTCCAGTGTCTGGTAAGATGGGAGAAATCTGAAAGCCCCTCTCACTCATAGATCGTTACGTTACGAAATAGCCTTCATTTTCGAAGTTTACATTTTTGATTTTTAATTCGCGCGAATTTTCATTTTTATGTTGTTGAGACTCGTAAAAATCAGAATAAGTATAATTACATGCACAATAGATCACTTTTATGGATATTCGAAAGGGTTAGAAGCAGTGAGTCGGCGGTACGGAAATTTGGATACCGATCTCGGAATACATCGTGTCAATATGGGATCTCATGCGGAGGACCTGGCCAAAGTAGTGGCCAAACTGACATCTTCCGATGTGCAGTTTAAAGCTGGATGTAAAAAATGTGGATTCCGTAAGTGCACGGATTTTGAACGGCAGAAATTTCTCAGTAAATAATACCCTGACTGTTCTTCAGCCGGTCACTTGACATACCAGTGTCGAAATTTCATCAAATCCAACCCAGCGTCAGACGTGATTATGGACGTTAGCAGCACGACATCCCTCAGCTCCGAAGAGGAGTTTGTGTCTCCCTTGAAGAAATTGGCGCAAGGTACGAGTGTCAAGCGACGGCAGAAATCGCAACTATAGCGTGGACATCTTACTTTGCAGAAGAGCTCAAGGCGCAACAGAAAGAAGTACGCAAAAGGAACAAAAAGAAAAGGTATTTCTGCCTATTTCCACAGGCTTTGACACTCACAGTTTGACTTAATACTGGCACAACAACTGTAACAGTCTGTACGCTAGTATTTAATAACTTGCCTTGTTGTTGTTTATACTTTAGACGCTCATAATTCCTTCATAAAATATTGTTGACTTTTGGAAAGGTGAAAATTTTTTTCAGTATTTTTCCCATACAATGTTAGTCACGTTTTAAAAATTTCAGATTTTTTGAGTCCTTCTATACAGTGTGAAGTGTGAACGTTTATGGAACAGTAACATTTTCAGTTAATAAAAATATTTGTTTTTAGGAAGGTAACGATTTGATTTGAATGACTTGACATACTTTGATTGTATTTTTTATCTATAAAAGCTTGTGATCTTTTAGAAAACTGAAGAAATTCAGTTCGGATGACGAAAGTGACGAAGGTGCACCAGAAGCGCGGTCGCGCTCTCGAAAGCACGTTGAACGTCCGTCGCGATCACCGCATCGACGCGATCCCAGCTCCGTGTCCCGTTCGCGTTCCGAATCGCCGGGACGGTTCAAGAGTGCCAAGCACAAAAAATCCCGTTCGAAGAAGAAGCGTTCTCGTAGCGGCTCATCTTCGCGCGAGCGTTCGAAGAAGAAGCGCACCGAGCGCAGTCCATCGTCGGATTCCGACCGGAAACGCAAACATAAAAGCTCCAAAAGCAAGAAACGCCAGCGCAGTCGAACGCGGTCCAGATCACCGCGGTGGAAATCGTCAAAGTAAGCGGCATGGTGCTCCGTACGGACCGTCCAGGCATTTCGGTTTTATTCCTTTTACGTTTCGCTTTTATTCATTTGGGTTTAGAATTTTATTCAGAGCTTTTATGTTCGCTTTGTAGATGGCTTGAAAATTTTCTCAAGCACTGACCAAGAATTCTGGCGCTGCCTTTTACAGCTGATAAAAGATTTTTTGTATCACTGCTGGCGCAATACGATGTCTATGTTAGTGTGCTTATTAAAACGTCTGTTAATTTGTATTGAAGTAATTAAACTATGATTCTCACTGTTAATTGTGTTGTTAGCGGATTTGTTGTTTTACAGCTGTATTTGTCAGGCACTTTGCTTTTTTTTGTGAATTCGGAAATTTTGGTGAGTGACATACATTTTTGTATTACTTTGTACGTGTAAATAACTTTGCGGAACTGAAAATGTGTGATGAAATGATCAGTTAAATTTCGGATCTTTTTTGTGTGATCTTTAGAAGATTCCCTTGTGTATCTGTACAGACTCTCGCGTACATGAGATGCGCCGGCGAATTTACATTAAATATTTAAAACAGTGCATCCGCATTTTAATTGTGGTTGTGGGCTCTCGAATTTTGATATCGCCGTTACTTAAAGATACAACAATAAAGGAACTTTTAATTTCCTATCAAGTAGCAGATAAACATTGATTCCGTGTGCAGAGCCAACAGACTCGAGAATAATAATGTTATTAAATTGTCCACGCAGAATAACATCAAAATCATAACCAGAATGTCTATTTGCTTAATTGCTAGCTCACGTTGGCATGAGCAAAGCGAACGCACATTATTATGAATAAACAAATTAGGTTTAATTATGGAAATGCTTATTGCTGCAATCGATGATGGGAAAATCTATTAGCATTTCCGTCGTTAGTTTACATAAACACCGGAATGAAAAACAGCACGCGATCTGCATGGTGCACATCGCTAAGCGTTAAAAAAATCCTGATGACTTTTCTGTCGCCGCCTGTAGCAATAATAATAAACCAGTGAATGCCGGTGATGACAAACAAAGTGTTATAATGAGCCGCTAACTTCCTACGCGAACATTACAACTGCAGAACGCGGAGGCTGTAAATATGGAGCATCACTTTTGATTTCATACGTCGGTGGTTGATTAAATCAAAATCTGCCGTTTATAATCGGGAAATAGAAGCAGCATTGTTCGGCGCACAATATAACTGAGGTGTTGTAATATAATTACACATAGAAGTATACACAAGTATTACACACGTACTCCTACCGCAGTGCCCGCCCGGTATTCTTTCGTCTCCCATAAAAAGTGACCACTAAAAGCCGGCTATAAGTTCGTTGGCTTTAATGAAGATCTTGTGAAAAAAAATGTAAAATATTGTACAGCTGCAGACATTTGTAAAACATATTTAAACCGGAAACTACTCAAGTATATCTTATTGTAGTCATCGAAATCGTTTCTTTATTCGCTGCAAAGAGTGAAGACGTGACAACTTCAAAATGACCATGCATATCGGATCGTGCCCTTTCCTTGTAATCATTTTATCATTGATATCGATATGCACAAAGCCAAATACTGCGTCAACGTTGGTAAGAATTAGCCCAGTCAGCTGTGGTCCCATAATTGATTTCATTGTGGCATATTATTTCTGGTTCATTAAAATTGTTTTATCTGTACATACTTGTATATAGATTACTGTACTGTACAGAGTACAATACATGCAATAGTGCTTGCTGCTTTTTTGTCAAGTGTTCGTAACGTTATGTGATACTGTATTAGCTAAAGGTATTTACTATGTGCTTGCGCATTAAATTATTGCTGCATTTATTTTTCCGTCTTGCAGGTGAAACGTGCCGTGACCCCACAGAATCCTCCAGTATGGGATGCACTATCCGCTCTAAAGGGTGTGAATAACGGTCGTGCGTTAACCACCGAACAGATGCAAGAATTGTTCTATACCGCACATCCCGGAGAGGACTTCCCGCTGTTTTCCCAGATTCCCCCCGTTAATTTCGACTGCACCTACTACAATCAGCCGGGATTCTATGCTGATACCGACGTTGGAAGATGTCAAGTTTTTCACCGTTGTGACATACAAGGAAACCTGACCAGCTACTTGTGCCCAAACATGACCGTAAGATTTCACATTACAATAGTATAAAGAACATACGGTATATATATACAGTAATAATTGAATTATTGTTGCATTCTATTGACCAGTTTAATAATATTCGCACCGTACACTACACAAGCACTCCATAATCCATATTCGACCGAAGCGTAGCGAAGGTCCTCTATGTTCAGCGTTCATGAAAAATGTGGTGTCTGTCGGTCACCGCCATCTATTGCACGTGTGCGCGGCGTATTTACTGTGAAATGCACGTATGCGCGCTGGCCGTATATACTCAAGGCGAGTGCAAACGGTGGTGTCTGTCGGTCACCGTCATCTAATGCACATATGCGCGGTCTTTGCGCTGTCAAATGCACGTAGGCGCGCTGGCCGTATATACTCAAGGCGAGTGCAAACGGTGGTGTCTGTCGGTCACCGTCATCTAATGCACATATGCGCGGTCTTTGCGCTGTCAAATGCACGTAGGCGCGCTGGCCGTATATACTCAAGGCGAGTGCAAACGGTGGTGTCTGTCGGTCACCGCCATCTGATGAACATATGCGCGGTATTCCTGCTATTAAACTGCATACATACACGGTCACCCACCGCCATCCAATGCATATTTTTTACGGTCACCACATACTGTGAAACGGACACATGCACGGGCCCAATACTATCAAAAACCAGAAATGCTGGCTGGTCGTATATGCTAGGACCGCGTGTAAAATGCGGTGTCTGCTGGTCACCATCTCTCTATATAAGGTGTCCAGAGGCGCGGTAGCCGTAAAAAAATTCTGTGCTGCCTACTGGCGTTTAGAAGAATGACATATTTATCTCTTTGATAATGCAAGGTAAGCATTAATTTCTGTATTCCTATCTTAGCACAACACATACTTTGCAGTTTGCATTGTGTTTGTCCATCGGTCACCGCCACCCTACTTAAAAGGGCAAAAGGCGCAGTGTCCATTTGTACTCGAGGCTTGTGGCTACCGTAAAGTGGTTTTTCGGTAACCGATACAACGGTACTCTCTTGCCTTTGCACTATTTGCTGCTTAAAATCATTACCTTCTGAATAATGTAACCGCTCCACGAAACTGGGACACAAAGTCTGGAAGTCCGGAAATAGTCATATACTCATAGCTGCTTGGTTTGACTAGCGCACTGCCGGCATGCCCAAGCTGCATCCTGATCTGACCGTAGGTAGTGCAATTTCATGGAGGGCCGCAGCAGTTTAACGTGCAAATAATCCTAAAATCGCATCTTACAGCCACTTTATCTGGAAAATATTTTGGTATTTCGCCAGAAAAGTAACCGCCATCTATTCGAATGGCGATCGAGCAAAACAAACAAGAAATTGAAAATTGAAGAAAAGAAAGAAATTTGGAATTTGCATTAAATATTGTCCAGAAACACGTCTATAGCCGGCCGGTTAGACCATGCATCCGCCGCCCCAGAAGGACGTTCATCGTAACTGAGACCGTAAATACGAGTACATGTCCCTCCAAGTAGGCTTTAGTTTTGCACAATGTTTTTCAATATGACCGGCAAAAATATCCAACTCAAAACTTTTGCCATATTGCGAGAACACCGGAATATTGATCTGCCTGGAAGACCTCACCGGTCTCATGGTTGTACTCTACAGACACGGTACATAGTATATGCTTTAAAATCGTAACATTCATTTTACAAATTTTTGATACCAAGTAGATAAAAAATATTTATAAATTTACTCCTACGCTTCGGTCATACAGTGCCCGCCGAAAGCGAGTGCACTTTCCTAGTATATAGTACGTACCATGAGCTTTAGTACAATAATACTTCGGCAACGGTAATGTTTGTTTTACACATTGCATCAGTAAATACGAGGAGGGGGTAAATACACGGGATAGACAGAAAAAACGGCAATAATAAGGGATAACCATTCGTGTTGTGCAAAACGGCCAGCCACCAATAGAAGGCAGTTCAGTGACACAGTGCAGAACAGCCGTTGAGACTCCAGTCTCGAGCTGTTTCTCCGTAGACTTCTATGTTAAATTCAACCACCTTCATCTTGCACATTTCAGAACCAATCCTCACAATCGATAGCTCAATCCGGACAAGAAAAAATTTACAAGATTTTTGATACCAAATAACTCGCCACTTATTAAAACTGAGGCAAGATTGAGCCATTTGAGTTTCTCGTAGACTAAGCATAGGAATTGGATGGTTTGCTTTCACGGAGCTCCTATGCTTTGTCTATGGGAAACTTAAGTGGCTCTTACTTGTCTTGTTTCTCATAGATCACGGCTTGCGTGGTATCGAAAATCTTGTTAATTATTTCTTGTTCTTTTAAGATATAGATTGCTCGGTTTGATTCTGAAATGTCACGCAGGTGTTTGAGTATAACATAGGAGTCTACGGAGAAGGCAGCTCGGGTCTCAAAGCCTGAATTTTGTGTAGTGTCGCTGGACTGCCTTCCCTTGGTGGCTGGCCATGCTGCACAACACGTGAATGGTTATCCCTTATTATTGCCGTTTTTTCTGTCTATCCCGTGTATTTACCCCCTCCTCGTATCATTTGTGTCCTCAGTTTGCAATTTGTAATCATTTACAGCTTTTCAACCAAATAACGCTGGTGTGTGATTGGTGGTTCAATGTTGACTGCTCCCAATCGAAGCGATTCATGGACTATTCCAACAGCCGATTATACCAGGGCGAAGATGTCCATTTGTTAGACGACCAAGACGTCATGACAGCTTCCGGGGCAATTGCGCAATCCGGATATGAGCGACCACCGAAAAGAGGTCCCAAGCCAGTACCCAAAGCGAAAAAAGCGCCGCCACCCCGCCCACTGAAGACGACGGTCCCGAATACGGACCGGCAGAGGTCATACCAGAAGGCAATGCTTACAGCCGACCCAAACCTCCTCCACCGCCACCCAGGGAGACACCCAACCCATACGCACCTCCACCACCCAAGAAATCACGAGTTAAAAATCTTTACAAACTAGGAAAGTGCACTCGCTTTCGGCGGGCACTGTATGACCGAAGCGTAGGAGTAAATTTATAAATATTTTTTATCTACTTGGTATCAAAAATTTGTAAAATGAATGTTACGATTTTAAAGCATATACTATGTACCGTGTCTGTAGAGTACAACCATGAGACCGGTGAGGTCTTCCAGGCAGATCAATATTCCGGTGTTCTCGCAATATGGCAAAAGTTTTGAGTTGGATATTTTTGCCGGTCATATTGAAAAACATTGTGCAAAACTAAAGCCTACTTGGAGGGACATGTACTCGTATTTACGGTCTCAGTTACGATGAACGTCCTTCTGGGGCGGCGGATGCATGGTCTAACCGGCCGGCTATAGACGTGTTTCTGGACAATATTTAATGCAAATTCCAAATTTCTTTCTTTTCTTCAATTTTCAATTTCTTGTTTGTTTTGCTCGATCGCCATTCGAATAGATGGCGGTTACTTTTCTGGCGAAATACCAAAATATTTTCCAGATAAAGTGGCTGTAAGATGCGATTTTAGGATTATTTGCACGTTAAACTGCTGCGGCCCTCCATGAAATTGCACTACCTACGGTCAGATCAGGATGCAGCTTGGGCATGCCGGCAGTGCGCTAGTCAAACCAAGCAGCTATGAGTATATGACTATTTCCGGACTTCCAGACTTTGTGTCCCAGTTTCGTGGAGCGGTTACATTATTCAGAAGGTAATGATTTTAAGCAGCAAATAGTGCAAAGGCAAGAGAGTACCGTTGTATCGGTTACCGAAAAACCACTTTACGGTAGCCACAAGCCTCGAGTACAAATGGACACTGCGCCTTTTGCCCTTTTAAGTAGGGTGGCGGTGACCGATGGACAAACACAATGCAAACTGCAAAGTATGTGTTGTGCTAAGATAGGAATACAGAAATTAATGCTTACCTTGCATTATCAAAGAGATAAATATGTCATTCTTCTAAACGCCAGTAGGCAGCACAGAATTTTTTTACGGCTACCGCGCCTCTGGACACCTTATATAGAGATGGTGACCAGCAGACACCGCATTTTACACGCGGTCCTAGCATATACGACCAGCCAGCATTTCTGGTTTTGATAGTATTGGGCCCGTGCATGTGTCCGTTTCACAGTATGTGGTGACCGTAAAAATATGCATTGGATGGCGGTGGGTGACCGTGTATGTATGCAGTTTAATAGCAGGAATACCGCGCATATGTTCATCAGATGGCGGTGACCGACAGACACCACCGTTTGCACTCGCCTTGAGTATATACGGCCAGCGCGCCTACGTGCATTTGACAGCGCAAAGACCGCGCATATGTGCATTAGATGACGGTGACCGACAGACACCACCGTTTGCACTCGCCTTGAGTATATACGGCCAGCGCGCCTACGTGCATTTGACAGCGCAAAGACCGCGCATATGTGCATTAGATGACGGTGACCGACAGACACCACCGTTTGCACTCGCCTTGAGTATATACGGCCAGCGCGCATACGTGCATTTCACAGTAAATACGCCGCGCACACGTGCAATAGATGGCGGTGACCGACAGACACCACATTTTTCATGAACGCTGAACATAGAGGACCTTCGCTACGCTTCGGTCGATAACTGAACCTGTGTTCCTGTTGGGATGATTTTCATTTGTTGCAATCTCATTAATTTTCCCCTAAATATAATAAACTTTATTTACCCTTTCAGATAGAGCAAATATCTTTAAATAAAACTCAAAACGGTAAAAAGATGGTTTGATATAGAGGAATGCTTGAAAAAAAAAACAGCTTCACAGAACATACAGCAAGTAAAAAGGTTTAATACAGAACTTCGAACACAGTCACGAGGTTTGCATAAACTGGCTTAGCACGACTAGAACACAGTTCCGGCAGCTAACGCGCATCCATCACGAGACGAGACCCATCTTTGGCTTTGAGAAATTCACGTGTCAAAAATTAACAAAACCCGATATTCAACGAAACACGAAAAATAAAAAATCTTAGACGAGACCATAAATAGATCTTCACAACAGTCCACCATCTAACTGTTGATTCCAACACGGGGATGCACATTCTGCAGTGTTCGCGGTGATAAGCGCGATAGAGGATCCGACGCACCCGGTGTCGTGGCTTCCGTGCTGCCGTACAGGTTGACCACGGCCGTCTGCGATATGGCGCCTCCTTCGTCCTGCGAGAAGGCATAACCGCGCTGCTGAGGATGGTGTACCGGCGAAGGATAACTGAGCGTGCCCAGAAGTGTGTCATATTCCGCTGTCGGCTGCGGTTTCACCATATTGACAAAGTCATCCAGATCTCTGACACCCAGGCCCTCCATGCGGCGGACAGTGTCCACCACGTTAGCTTTATAAGTGTTGCGGAAGGCTTGGAATAAGATGTCAAACAGGAGAGTAGCGGTGGGGATCAGAAACAGACCCATCCAGAACAACCATGAACTACACATAGCTGCTGCCTATAAAAACAATAAATTTAGTGAAATACAGTATCGAGTCTATCGACATAATTATGGAAATTCCTTTAACTGCATCCGTAATACTAAACAGCACCTATGTGAATATCTCCGATAAAGAAGTTCTTTGTCGGAGATATTCACATAGATGATGTTTAATATTACTAGTTAGTTATATTAATTTTAGTTAGCTAGTTCTTTAAAAGAACTAACTAACTAAAAAACGATACTACTCAAGAAATTCTGCAATGCGTATCGCAGTTACCTGTATCATATATGACATCTATTTGGTGTTTTTATGATATTCTCATGCCGAAACAAAAAAGTCCAACATTAAATTTTGATACATTTTACATAGAAGTCTTTTTAATTTTTTCAGTAACAGCAGAATGCCAGTTTTTTGAAGGTAACTTACAATTCCCACAAAATCTTCACCAAACGTCAAGAAATTCGGCCATAACTTAGAATAGATGGGCAAAAAGATGAACCATGACGCGATGCTGCCCCAGATGCCAACATGGGTAATCCACGTCCACGAGCTGGTCTCTAAACCCGCTTTCAAGCACACCACGACCACAACATAGGTGAACGCTGCAGCACCGAATAAAAATCCTCCCGAATTCTGCCCGTCACCCCAGAGCACATCGTGATGGAAAATTCCGTACGTTAATCCAAAAATAATGGCAGCATGTACCAGCGCGGAAAAAATCCATCGCCAAAACACTGAATAGGTGAACAATTCACCGCTCTGTGTAGGGCCGTATAGAGCGGGATAACGCATTCGGCTTTCTGCCGAACAGCTTTTATCGAAGATTCCGATTACAAATGGTGGTGCGGCAGTAAAGAAGATGTTATATAAACCAATGGTCCATCGCTCGAAGATTGTCTGACCGGAAAATGAGCTGATAATGGCAAAATAAAACTGCATAATGTACAGGCAAATGTTCTTGTGGTAACAGTACAAAACCAGCTTCGATATGCGCTCGTAACTCCAAGCTCCATGAACAAATAAAAGTTTCTGCAATACAATGTAATAGTTAGTCAAAGTCTATGACCGAAGTATTATCCAAGACTCTACGAACCCAGCCTAACAAATCTTCCACGACAAAGCAAACCTTCTTATAAGGTGCAAATAAAACAAAACGCATACACACTGTAACAATACAGCGATATAAAACAGTACACCTGAATGCCGGTTTGATCTCCAGTATTAAGTTACCAACTTTTCTACTCATCAAGAATTCGATGAACAACGTCCACAATTTAAAAAAATTCAAAAATTTATACAGATCCCAAAACGCAGAAAAAATTTTCCCATGCGGGGAATCGAACCCCGGCCGCCGCGGTGAGAGCGCGGAATCCTAGCCACTAGACCACATGGGATGCTCCTATACACGGTTAACAGCCTATGCCATACCACTACTAATCAATCGCCAGATCAGCCACACACAGAACAGCCAGATATATTTAGATTTTAGCACTACTGTACCAATACTGAGTCTACTGAAGGCGAGTCATTACCGAAAATAAATGGAATAAGCGGCCTGTAATGTACTCGTAGCTGGCTGTGGCACATCCAGCGGCAACAAACTTTCAGCTTGCAGATTAAAAGCTGCTGCAGATTACTGTATCCTGCACTCCTCCACGACTACGATAATTTTAAAACCGAAGCATTATAATGATGTACAAGTACAAAATTCTTACACAACATATCGTCAGCTCCATCGCCGATAGCCAATGTTATGTTAAATGTCAAAATTTGTTGAATTCGGGAATCTTGATAAAAAAACTAACACCACATTACCTGTAGAAATCTAAATTGACCAATGGCATAGTCTGAAGCACAGACAGCCTGAAGCCCTTCTTTTCCGCTGATTCCAACTCCCACATGGGCAGTCTGAATCATAGCCACATCGTTAGCTCCATCGCCGATAGCCAACGTTACATCCTTCGGCTTATTGGTTCTGACCAGTGCCACAACGTCGGCTTTTTGCATAGGAGAAATCTAATAAACAGATGCACAACGTGACAACGTCACAATAAAATGTAAGTAATGCCAATGGCCCCACACTGCACCAGAAAGGTGAAAAACACTTACACATAGTTATATTATTATACTAGCAAACCGCAATCTCAAAAACAATCAAATTTTTCTTTATGCAAATATCAAATTTATTAAATTAAAATTGCGAATATTACTGCTCAGTTTAACCCTACAAAATTGCAGCGCTCTCAAAGCATTAACGATTTCCAAAACTCAATAGGCGCTGCGCCATATAAATTATTCGCAATTTTCAGACGCACCCGGCAGCATATAACAGCTTTGCAAGACACAGCAATATCGAGGAATTCCTTTCGGAGGTCCATTGATAACGCATAATGCAGAGCTTTTCCATCAACTATCAATCCGGCAGCAGGTTCTGCTCGATCTTGCAGATCGTTCCGAAATCGACTTAAAGCCTCCCGTACACGATCTAACGAAGTCTCATTCAACGTGAACAACAGCATGTTCTTATTTAAGAGGTTGCAAGCATGGCCAATGTTAATTGCAGTCTCCATTTTATCTCCCGTCAATATCCAGACTCTGATGTTCGCTTTTGCCAGCTGCGCAATGCAGTGCGGAACTCCTTCCTGTAAACGATCTTCAATGGCTGTGGCGCCGATCAGCTGCAAATTCCGCTCAATGACACTGCAAACATCGGCAACCTGAAAAAAGGAATGCCTGACACAATGATTTCAAGTCGTCAGCAAGCATATTTCTGACTTCTTACAACACACTACGACACGTGGTCTGAATCGCACTGACAATAATTAATTACGATAAATAACATCTTTAATTTGTCTTATTCAGCAATGTCAATGCCTACGAAGACTACTCCGCCACCAGATGTTTGATAAATAAACAGGCCCCATCATAATTATCAAAGGAAGTATACAGTACATACACTTTACATTCTTACATACACTTTACACAAAGGAAGTATACATCAAAATTAAACAAGAAAACGATCTACCAGGCAGCGCAGCAGCGCCATGCAGAAAGATCATACACCTACTGTAACAATTGTAAGTAAAAATTTACAGGTAAACTTTTAGTAATCCACCTGAAGTTGGCACTCTACTCCATGGCAGTATTAACTACTCTAGATAATAACTGGTATTAACTGGCAGTATTAACTGCCGGTAATGCTCATCGAATATTCCCATTTTGATTATGGCTCCTACAATTTACGTTTTTTGTCATTAACTTTCACTAATAATTACTCCACAAAAACTAGCTAGAAAACTGGACCGATCTTATTAATTAACCAATGTATGACAAATGAAGACTACTGTTACTATGACTGTATCAGCGGTGAATCGTCGAAATGTTGATTCATAAATTTGCGCTACATCCAATGAACCAAAATCAATAACGAACAATGCACGGAATGGCATCGTCATCACGCGCTTCCTTTCAGAAATCTGCTTGGTCACTTCCAGCAGTTTCGCTCTGACATCATTTTGTGCTCATAGCACAATAACAAACACAATACCGAAACATATATAAACCGGCCAACAGTCGCACTCAAAATCACTCCATTTCAGTCGGATCCAAGCGAGGAAGGCCTACAAGCACCATCGACAAGAGAAAAGCAACGCACTTTTATATCAAGGAGAATGACCGAAATCAACATTAACCTGATCCCACCCCGCTCACACGGACCACCGGGCCCCCATGGACCACGGGGATTTCGACCGTTTGGCCGCCGGCCGTGCTCTCCCCGACCTTGCGGTATGGCGCGGCATTTCCCTCCCGGACCACCGCCATTCGCTCCACCAATGCACCGAGGCCCACCGCACCACTTCCCGGCTCATGGACCACCCCCACCACCACCCTTTTTCGGTCCGGGCCATCGTTTCCCTCCGGGGCCTTTCGAGGCCTTTCCTGGACCGTTCTCTGGGCCCTTCCCGGGCTTTTCTCGAGAATCACGACCTTTCGGCCCTAGTGGCAGATGGAGATCACCGTCCCCACCACCTCGTCCCCGCTGGTGAAGTGTTCCTAGCTGCCTTTCCTTAATCGCCACAAAAAAGCCTTTCCTTAATCGCCACAAAAAACTGAAAAAATAACCCGCTCCTACATGTATCCGCGCCGCCCCTTCTAGATATATCGCCTCAAAAAATTCTCCACAAGAGGACCAAAACCACATAACCTTGCTTGCAAATATTCCAAAAAAGATAGCCCTGCTTGCCTCCACTGATCTAACGTCTGTAATATCCTTATACACATTTCATGCCATTCCCTGCTCCGCTTCGAGGGACCAAAAACATTCATATATCGGCTGGAAATGACCAAAGAGCTCGAATATTTCCTCGCTTTATCCCTGCTTCCTTGTTTACTGAGCTCACCTCATCTGACTAAGTTGTGATAAACAATATTGCAAAATGTAAAAAAAAGCGCTAACACGTTTAATTCCCGCGATGATACCACCCAATTATATTGTGGTTGAGCGGAGACTCTCATGTTGGAAGGCCTCCGCGGGGCGAGAGTTGGGCAGGTAACACCCTGGCGAACATCCAACATAAACCAATGAAAACCAGCAAGAACGATTTTGTTTCTGTGTTTTTGGTTTCAACATGCTTGAATTTAAATTCAAATTTCGTTGATACAAACGCTGACTGAAAAGCAAATTTATCGCATTCGCTTGACGCGAAGATCATGAATACTTAGATATCCATAAAATATAAATAGCCAGTTTATTTATTTGCTGTAATCATGTGAACAAGTTTGTGCTGACTAGAAAAAAGTTACTGACATAATTTTGATCGTAAATAAACAGAAGCACTCTGAGATACAGATCTGAAAGTTACAAACAGAAACACGTTCAGTTACACATTAACATGATTTAGCTCACCTTTTCCTTTCGCTTATCCAAAGCGGTAGCCGCCAAAACAAACTGCTTTTTCCATTCCGTGTAAAATTCCGGCATGACTTCCGCTGTAGCAACACACAATGTACGGAAGCCCTTGTGTGCAAAATCCTCTAAATCCTGGATCGTTTTATCGAGATACGGTTGGTGTGGGGCCAAACGGTCGCAAATAACCGAATCGGCACCTTTGCACATGAGCAGTATCCTGCCTTCCGGTGTGCGAACAATCACCGACATTCGTTTCCGATCGCTGGTAAACTCCAGAATATCCAAGAGTTCATACGTCAACGTCTCATATCTTCAACAACAAAAAAGCTGTTTTCATCAAATATTACCATTATTAAGCAGCACCATGGGCATCTTTTCCCCATGCAGATATGCTCCAACGCAAATTCATTCAAAAGAGCCGGTTCGGCCCGGTAGTTTCCTATCTCTTCTATGGGCGATTTTCTTGTAGGCTTTATTGATTACACCCCATTATGTAAGGAAAATAGCATCGTAATAGAGCGAGCTTAAATGCACTGTTTCGTACCGCGCTGCTTCCGCACCGGAGGTGTTGCTCCTTATTCGTACAATAATATGATTCGTGTCTCGCTTCATAAAAGTGTAGTCCAAAGATGCAGCGGCTTTAACAAGGGCGCTCTCATCCGGTGATGCCGCTAAATAAATGGGTTTGAACGGGTTTTTCGGATCGGCCTCGCTGACTACCGTATGGCACACAGAGATGGTTAACAGGAACTCGTGAATAATCCTGGAACCGGCATTATGGGCGCGCAGGCTGGCCAACATATTAGTATCCGAGAACGTCTCGGAATGGGTGTTGGCAACACCATATACAATGCCACCAATGCTGCATTGCCGGAAGATCATGTTATTCTCTGTTAATGTCCCAGTCTTGTCCGAAAAAATATATTTGATCTGCAATTAAAGCATTTCTACACCGGATCATATGCGAGTTTCACATGATTCAGCCATTCATAAGCGCATGACCATTAATTGCATAGCATTGTTCAATCGAAAAGAACATTGAGAATAAAAAAAAACAAATTAAGTACTGCAGCTGTTCAGTTATTTGCATTTACAATAAAAGCAAAAACCAGATAAAATCATATCAAAATAATTACAAAGCTGTGAATACCTGTCCAAGATCTTCATTTAGGTTCGACGTCCGAGCAACCGCAGGCGTGTTCGTGGTGCTGTCATACATTTCCAAGTCCTAAATGATAAATTCCAAGCTAATAAGATAGCATTATGGTAAATAAAAATTCCAAAAGTTATCGATCGAAGTGCACAACAACGAGCAAAGGTAAAGATATCTTAGCGTAATTAACAAGTTAACAGCCACTTCTCCGCAAATCAACTTACCCAACTGACGAACAGTGTCTGAACAAATCTCACCATCTCCAGTGTAACTTGTAGGCTGATGGGAATTAAGTTGTTATAAAGAATGATAAACGTAAGGAAATTAAAACCAAAATTTTGATTATCCAACAGCGGGAACAAATACCAGTCCTTGGATTCGTGGGTTGATCTCCAGATCGCGTTACCGATGCCGCTCACCAGACAGACGATAATCAGCAGCGCAAACATCATTATAATCTGTCGATTAGCGAATTCATCCAGCGCCGATCGCTTCAAGCGCAGAATTGCTCCCTGTTTGCTGTTCTTCATCAGCTTGCTGTCGTGGCCGGTAAACACCACCACGCCGTAGATCCATTCCGTGTTCTTCAGACGCGATCCTCGTAGGAGTAGCTGGTCAGGCCCAAGGGGAATCGTGTGACGACCGGATGGGCGAATGTTACCGGTGAAATCATACAAATGACGATTGGGCGATTCGCATTCAATCGTTCCATCCAACATCAACAAGTCATCTTCTACAAAAGCAACAAACATCCTTGACGTATTCAAAGCAAAATAATTGTAAGGAAAGATGTCAATAATCCAACAAAATCCTACCATGCTTTTTTACAATGATCTGTCATTATTACAAGAATGGATTTCCGCATTATTAGTGAAGCTCGGCGTCATCGTATTACCAGATTATCAATCAATCAGCTGATTATTAGCAGTGAAAACTCTAAATGACGCCGTAAACTTGGTAAATCACAGGTCTCACTGACATCACTGCGAAGTTGCTTCCAAGACGAATAAATTAACCGATTTATTTATAAAGACTACAATTACACAATTTTTAATTTACAGTATTAAAGTATTAAATGCTGTGAATATCATTGTCGATTTTGCAACTTATGGACAAGAACACCGGAGCATTTTCCATATCTAATGCCGAATTTCATTCACAATCTTTTGATTAAGTACTGTAACCAACTGACCACCGAAAGTGTAATACACTTTACTATTTATTATACACTATTTAGTTTGTGAGCATACAATATTGAATCGGTTCGTAGAACAAACGCATGTTTCCTTAAACTCATAAAAAAAACGTCCCCGGAATCCCGACAACTGTTGTATTGCACTATTTTTCCATTCCAACACTCATTTCGCAAATCGAAGGCAGCAACCGGTATTGTACGCTTTCTGAACAGCAACAGATAACACACCCCTTTGCTACCTTTAAAACTTAAAAATTTTAAGCAAATCAGGGAAACGGAAATTTGAAAGGCCATATGGAGCACCGGATGTTGACCCGGGAACATATGGGCCGCCGCTTCGCCGCCGAACCAGCATTTCCATACGCAATGCACGTAACATTTGCAGTGCTCTCAAACCACGTAAATTTGCATACGCAGCACACAAAACATAAGAGACCGGGCTATTCACTGCATTTACCATAGAGTAGGCATTTCAAAACCTACACCTTCGAAAGACGGCAGCGCGCCCGCCGCAGAATAAACTACGGCAAAACCGCGACAATATCGATCGCACCGGAAGCGACGATCAACACGTTGTGCCTGTATGCAAATAAAAGCTTAGAACAGTTCGCATTTGGTCTCTCACGTCACTGCATAGGACGTGACATCAAAATTCAAATCGCTAATGAAAGCTTACTAATGCTGCTAAAGCAATTTACAGCCAACAATCAGACACTGATTATTCAAACAATGTCAACCCAAAAGGTGAAAACTGCAATCTTAAGAATTTAAAAAGAACGGAAAAAATTTGTTATAAATCCATATATACAACGGCCTTTTGCAAGGCTTTCGAATTGGTCAACAACTAAGTAATAAATCAAAATCTAATTACTTAAATACAAAAAAATATACCTGTTTGTAACTGGGCTGTTTCCGGAAGCGCTAGCCGCGTTTTCAGGTTGGTTTCCCCGTCCAAATTTGATGTTTCAATGTAGCATATCCCTTGTGGTTCGCTGGACGACAGCAGTATGAGATCACTGGGAAATTCCTCGCCATTGCGCACTTTGACAATTTCACCGACTTGGATTTTCTTCCATGGAGTCAGCTGGAAGGTGACGGACTGCAGCGACAACACTTTACGGTTGTTAACGTCCCCATCGGCCAAACGCCGTTTAGTGTCTTCGTAGATTTCTTTACAGGCGGAAACAAACAGGATAAACGACAGCGGTACCAATGTCGTCCAACGACCTAATAAAACGCCCATTATTAAAAGGTGTGATAAAAACAAGCAGTAACCAATACGTGGTATAAATAACAGTCAAACAAATAGACGAAAACGCCCCGAAGCGATAAAAATTCAGAATTACAAACCACGTTCAAATCAGCTGTGGCCTGTACAAACTGGTCATAGATGCAGATTAATTATAACAAAGCACAAAAACGACGCAAAATTAATATTATTATAATTAATTCAATAATGTTATTATAATTAATTCGGAATAATTTAAAATTACAGAAACACAATACAGAACAGTGAACATAATACAGAGCATGTCAAGTCACCAAACACACAAATGCCAACGTACCTGTCGGAGAAACATCAGGTATTTGTTGCAGCGCAGCAATAAACAGGAAGAACGCATTGGAATACCTGCGGAATGATTCGAAAAGGAAAAGCGGAATGAATGTCAGCGCATTATACTTGGTGGTGCTGACTTCATTGGAGCAGAACTTGGGGATGGGTGTATCGCGGGATGGACGTTTGTTGTTGATGAAGAGCAGGCGCGTCGTGGCGGGCTGTGTGTGGCCTGTGGGCGACGTGGATCCCGATCCCCGACTGCTCTCGTCCACCGAGATTCCTCTGGCGGCCCCTCCTGCTTGTCCGCTGGTGCCCGAGATGTTGGTATACTGCGTGGGGAAGACCATGGTTTAGTAGCACAGATGGCGTAGATCTCCAGGGCATGGATCCGCGGATACGATTAATTGTCCACTGTAGGCATCACCACACGCTGGAGAAGTATCCTTGGCAGAGGGATTTATACCCGAAGAGCTACACCTGCAACTAAAATCCAGGATGTTTCTAAACAATATGATAATATCTACCAGAATTTAAGATGTTCTTCTCAATCTTTTGGATAAAATGTAAGAAAGAGTACAGCAAAAATAACCAAAGCTCCGTATGGGACTTGAGTACAACAAAACTGCATCTGTGATCTGGTTGAAAATGATAAAATCACAACATACGCCAGGCAAAATCAAAATGCATTCACAAGGCAAGGCACAAGCTCCCGTCTATATGGCTCTACGGCTTGAGTGCATAGTGCTTCCGTCAAGCGTCAAAGAATTGCACTGGCGTAAAAATAAGGGTTAAAGGGTGGACCTCTTCAAGTAGTCAAAACGAAAAAAAGCCCATATATATATACAAGAATCGGCATAATTTTATTGTCGATTGATTACATTGTAGTGTACAACGTCTACAAGTACAAACAGTGGAAAATGTATAACCAGACTGGAATACAGAAATAATCATCATTAAATTTTGTAAAATTTGTACGTATCGTTTAGCGACTTCTGCTGTAGCCGCACCCGGCGCACCGGTACCGAGTTCTCAGAATGTGCCTTCACGACTCACAGTGGTCAGCGCGAATGCTTTGAAGGACAATGTTCCCCGTTTGGGTTTTTGATTTTCGTTTTAGATTTTCAAGTGCAAGTAATGCTGTTTATTCTCTGAATGAAAGCGCATGTGCAGTAATTATTATAGCGGAATTATATTATATCGAAATCATAGAACTAAGAACTAACAGTATAGAACTAATCGTAATATAGAAGCATAATACGTATTCTGTAGGTGACTTTTGATTGTTCCGAACTTACGATAGCTGTTAGTTATCCTTGCCGTGCTTACGTGCACGTTCACGTACGAAAGGAGAGAACGTTCACAAAATTAAACAATGAAATTCCTACGCCCAGAAATAAAATGTAACAGCAATCTACATGTACTACGCAATTAGTAAATAAATCTAATGAAACACCACAAAGTAAAAGGAGAAGTTTTATTTTAAGGTTTATCGCATGCGCACGCGCAGTCATGCATGAAACAAGTTGTTGGAAATTCAACCGATTCTTCGTTATTCGTTAACGGGCGTTATTAATGCGCTTTCTCGACCTCGAAGACGAGCCTCTGCTTCTATCGGAATCGAACCTTCCGTTCTTTAGGGGTGTCAAAAGACTTTCCGACTATTTATAATGCAGACTTATGAGAGGCAAATCTGTGCTGGGAAGTGGGAACCGGCAGGAAGTGATTAGCTATTATATGCCGGTATCCATTGAAATAAATTAATGCCACTGGAAGCAACTCAGGCGACATCAGTGGAAGGAGGACCAAAATTACATCGACGAAGACTGGGGATCGTTCTTCCCTGGAGCGGACGGATTTTCCATATCGGATCAGCTGCGTGGGGCCACATGTGAGCCTGCGGTAAGTTCCATTTCCGCTCCGAAGCCATTCGCGTGATGCTTTTGTGTAAGTACTGCGCTTTTGTAAGCTATTTTGGGAGTTCGCTTAACACTTTTCTGTCCTGCTAAACAAGAATAGGCAAAATTCCCAACAACTTTACTGTGCCGACTCGAGACTGTCGCAAGACCGATAGTAGTCCTTTGAAAACAAGGTCATGAATTTTATATACAGGATTTCCATTAAATCCATTAGATTTTAAAGAAATCAGGCTTGTTATGTGGAAGTAGAACATTTCATCAAATATTAAACAGATTCATCGCATGTCTTCCATTATGCCTAATTGATTTCGCGTAGGGTTAGGATTTAATGTTTCCACCATATTCTGTACCTCTTATGCGTTGCAGGACATTCTGACAGAAATTTTGCTGCTTCGGTCAATATCGATCTTAATTTTCGAGATTAAACAAACATCTGCCGCACAGATTTTGCTGACAAATAATTTGTTAGTAAATGTATATAGTTGTCGCATACCTGCGTCTTAAATTCAAAGCCTACTTTAATAAAAATTTCTTCCTTTTATATATCATTAGTGACGTACAATCATGCAGAATGATTTTTCAGTTAGATTATGGTAATTTGTGTGCTGCACGTGTACAGTGAAATTTCACAGCTCAGCTCATTCTTTTACATCTTGAATTTCCACCAGGAAATGGTGCCGGGTTTTACAATGCGACTTTCCGCGGTATTCTTTGATGCTCGGAAATCGTGGCCCCGAGTCAAACTAGCGAATCGTTGCTTGTCGATGAGTGCTAAAGCAATAAATGCTGGAAATTCTATTGTATTCAGCGAGTGAGCATGTTAGATTCGCTACACGGCATACGAGGGCACATATTGAACCGGCAAAAAGGAAACGTGATGTGTTCATTGAACGTCGGTTGCTGCTGCGCGCTCACATGAGGAGGACTCGCATTCGGGGCATTCTGGCAACGTTGCTCTGTCTCTCCCACGGCACCATCGTACAGATACAGCCCAAGTACGGTACTACAATATATATATCCACCCGGGTTCGGCAGCGGCGATTGGTGGGTAGGGAGGATGTGCGTCATTGACTGATTATCTTCCGGTCGACTGGGCTGCGTGTGTGCACAGTGCCACCGAATAGGTACAGGAGGCCGACACCCGACTGCTGCGGTAATTGGTAATCCCAGGATCCCTGGTGCTTTTTAAACGAGAGCTACCAAGAAAAGACTGCGCTAATAGTAGGGATTGTGGGGGGAATGTGGAAATTTTGTACCTAATCACCAGCATACACACTGCGGCCAACTGCATGCCCAATAATGCCGTGTGGACCGCGGCAATTGGGTGTCTGCCTATATATTTAACGCGGTGCTGCTCTCGTGGCGGGGAAGTTGTAGAGCAGTGCCCTGTGCAAGAGTGAAACTGGCAGTTGCGGTTGGGACACTTGGTTGTTGTTTATTTTAGACATGCGGAGGGATGTCAACATGCTACCGGCAAAAAATAGTCTCACTTTCCCTGTGCGCTTGGGTAATTACATGGTGGAGAATGTTGTTCTGGGGAAAGGAAATTTCGCTGTTGTTCGGATGGGAACCCACATTCCAACCGGCGAGAAGGTATGAGTTGTCAAGTAAATTAGTTCGGCTTCTAAACTCTGCATGTGCACACTGCACAGTATAACTACATACTTTGTATTTTGCATTTTGATGCAGTAATGGAGAAAGCCAGTAAGCCAAATTCAGTGTAGTATCAGTTGATTCAGTTCTGATCTAAATAATCTTTATTGTATTCGATAAAGCTTATAGGAATTGCTGGTTTTGTACACTCAATCAGGAACGGTGATATGCATATTACTTAAAAATTTCTTTAATTGTTGTTAGGTTTAATCAAGTTTAAGCAACACTTTTACAAAAAAATTTGTGAGATTTGTGTGAGAAAAATTTGGTCTGGCAAGGTTACCTTGCCAGACCAAATTTGGGATTCAAGGATATTTTGAAATTTGGGATTCAAGGTTATTTTGAATTTCGAGATTTTGTATAGTATTACAAGCAATTTGTGACTTTAAGGACTGTTGGTGAGATTTAAGTCTTGTATTGCTGCAGTAGCAAGCTACCATTAATTTTGTCGATGTCGCTTCCGCTCTACCGGTAGTGTACGTGCAATAAGTGTATGAGGACTTGTATTCTTATTTAATACCGTTTGACACCTTTCAATTTCTCTGATTGGATTTCTTCCTTACTTACATTTTGTTGCACTTCTAGCATTTGGTTTGCAAAGTTTAAAGCAATCAAAAGTTTTTCGTGTTTATTATCACTGTTTGTATATTTTTGTGTTCTAATTATTCGAAAGCTGTTACGTGGGTGATAATGACGCGTTTCTATTTGAGTATTCTATTCGAAAAGTCAACCTTCTGCGAATAGATAATTTTTTTTGCGTATTATTAAAGCATTCTATATTTGGGATGGTTATAATACCGTACAAAAGACGCGCCAATTGCTACTTGTTGTACCCTGTACTGCTTAAATAGTAGCAACGGTGCCGGGGACACACCGGTAGTTCCGCCGTAAATAGTGACAACTATTTCCGGAATGATCACGCTCAGAGAGCTACGCTTGACTGGGAAACGTGATTAGCAATATTTTGTTCCGGGAACCGTAGATGATTACAAAAGCATTGTCCTCATTCAATCAGCGGGATAATGTGGAAAATAAAAGACTAACCGGGTAAAGTAGGAATTAACTTGGAAGGGAATGCACGTCAGTCAGCAGCCATAGACGATAATAAATCGGTAATTTCACGACAGTGATGGTAAATCACCCAATCTCGTGACGCGTGCCAGCGAGGATAGGAGTAATACGGTGTTATTAAATGTTGATTATTTGTTCCAAATGTCCTGCTCACGCGACTGCACTCAGGGAAAATGGAGGATAGCGTGTGGTGCGCGCCTTTCTGTTGGGTTCGTCGAAAATAGCTCGACGCATATTGACGTGTAAATCAATACGACTGATAGGGGAGGGATAATGTTGGTGCAGGCATCTCTCGTGTATCTGGGCTGAACTCGAGACAGTGACCGTGTACACATATACATACATAACACTCCAAGGTCGCTACTTGTGCCTGACTTCCGGATTGGGAACAGATAGCCGGAAATAGTGATGAAGACGCGCTATTAGACAGCCGGGCTGACGTCAAAGATGCTCGTTGCTTAATGTTGCCGTTAGCTGTTCTTCCCACGGCAATCCGCTTAAGTTTTGGCTTATGACCTCAATCGCAACGGCACGAGAGCTGCGGTCGGCTGCGCACTTTTTAATTACCTTCATTTCCTACTATCTTGTACAAACAATAACAGCAGATTACAAAAGACAATTATCGTCAGCACGACGTTAAGCAAGCTTGTTTTATTACATCGTATGACGCAGTTGACTCTCCCCACAACCCTCTTAGCCGAAAATTCGTGATCAACCCAACGTTGTTACCGAAGCAGCAGTGAAATATAAGGAATTAGGTTTATCGTGCGCGCCATTACCGGTTACACCTACTGGTTCGATTCCAAAATTTGGAACCAGTAGGTGTAACCGGTAATACGTACGAAATACGAATACAATACTGTATGTACGTCACATCTTCATAAAAATTATATATGCCCACGCATTGCTAACGAATTGTGTAGTGTGAAACTGGCAAAAAATAGGTTTGTTACTTACTTATTTAGTGATGAATTCTTTACGACCACACCTGTATGTTGCTCACAGTTGTATTGCTTGGGAAAGGGGCGAGATATGCCTCGCTGAATTTATTATACACTATATATACGAGTACTACATTACATTACAATCTATAGGCTGCTTTTTGATTACACGCGTAGTAATTTTGATTTAATTGCGCTTGGAACGTATTTTCTAGTTAATCAGTTATGCACAATAATATTTCTGAATCAGACTAATACTAGTACATAATGACCTCACGGATAATTCATACAGATATATGTATCTACAATAAATTTCCATGGTTGTTAATATGTGTGTAAACGGAAGTAGTAACTTTGGATTTCCGTAAATCTTGTGTGCTTCGTAGGCTTGCATCAAACTATTATTGCATCAAGAGCTGCGAGAAAGATTTTTTAAAAGTTTGAGCAGTAATTGCACAAATTATCACATTTTCGCATTTGATATAGCACAATGGGTGAAAATGACTGAGCCGAAGCGGAAATGAACAAATATGGAGAACAGCTGTAGGATCCTAGCAAAAATACTTTTCTCGTCTGATTTTGTATATTTTCAGGTGGCAGTTAAAATTATCGAGAAAAAGAAAATAAGTCATGAAAATCTGCAGAAGGTTTACCGAGAAATTGGAGTTATGAAACGGCTGCGGCATCCTAACGTAATTCGACTGTACCACACGCTGGAAACCGTGGATTACGTCTTCTTAGGTACTTGTACTGTAAATTAACCGCGTTAACATAATTGCTATTATCGTGATTAGTCTGATTTTTGCTTCGCCCTTAGCTTAGTTAAATTATTTATTTTGCAGTTACCGAATATGCAGAAAACGGTGAAGTGTTCGATTACATCGTTTCCAAAGGTCGATTGAAAGAAGATGTCGCTCGCAAGTTTTTTCGTCAACTTCTGGCAGCCATTTGCCACTGCCACACCCACAGTGTAGTACATCGGGATTTGAAAGCGGAAAATCTGTTATTGGACTTCCAGATGAATATTAAATTAGCTGGTAACGAGCTTCACGTGCTACGCTTTCATTGCGGTATGCCGGTAACCGGATATTTTCTATGGGAATAGATTTCGGCTTTAGCAACATCCTGACACATGGCTCTACCATGACCGAGTGGTGCGGCAGTCCACCATATGCGGCACCCGAATTGTTCCAAGGAGTTGTTTATGACGGTGTCAAATGTGATATTTGGAGTCTTGGCATCGTGTTGTAAGTTTTACTAATTAGAGTTAATAACGTTAATCAATTTTCTTCGTTGACGTGTAATGACTTATTGGAATCAATTTACAAGCTTCCCAAAAACATTTTAATGTAGCGCTATTTGATTCAGTTTACCAACATTACCGCAAACGCGATGTATTCGAGCGGAATCAGTTCAAACTGGTTGTTCAGGTGACATTTCACCGTGATGCAGTACTTGTGAAGTCAAGCTTCAAGCTCTGTAATTCCCGGCTTGATGTAGGTACGTTTTAATATGTGGAGCGCTTCCATTTGACGGCGACAACCTCAACGAAATCAAAGCACGTGTACTGAATGGGAGGTTCCGTGTGCCGTTTTTCATGTCGCGCGACTGCGAGAATTTGCTCAGGTTGATGCTGGTTATCGATCCCCACAAACGCTGCAACCTGCAGACCGTTATGAATCACCGATGGGTCAGAGCCGGAAATTGCGATGTGATTCAGGATTGCTCCGATGAGGATTATGGCTTTGAGGATGGTGAACTCAACGAGTACGTGAGAAATACCTGCACTTAATCAATGAACGGCTTGACAAAGGTCTACTGGTTTTTTTGCAACATGGCAAATACTTTTGCCATATAAGCATTCAGTATTATTTGTGCATTTGTATAAAATCATGTACAATTCTGACGTGGACATCGAGCCATAGTCATTTTGTGTACGTGATAAAAATGACACATGCACATACATACGTATATATGTACTTTTGTTGAATATTGAACGATCATTTATAACCGGTAATTCACAGTTTGCGTAAGTACAGATACGCAATTACGTATGTATCAAGCATTCAGTAATCAAATCATGAGCAACATATGATATAAATTCAGCCCTGTCATTTGTATGCTTCGCATATTTTTATATTTGCCGCATAATTTATCCGGTACACGTTTGAATACGCAGCACACCTTGCTCGCATACATATTTCGCATTTTCACAGATTTGTCCTTGATGATATGGAAAAATTAGGCTATCACCGCAACCTGGTACGGCACATGGTGATGAGTGATCCATTCCACGACATTAGCGCCACATACCATATTCTGAATGACGCATTCAGTCGCAAGCTCAAAACCGGTGACCGCGTCTTGATCACCCCTATTCCCATCTCCTGTGATAATACTTCGCGGCGCTCCAGCATTACCACCGGCATTGTCGAACGGGATGCCCTGACACCCAGTACGAGCCGGTCCAGCATTACCGGGGGCATGCATTCCAGTCCTCAGTCGACCATCAACGTGGATAGGAAATCGCCGGCTACGTCCCTGCCACGACGGGGTAGCCTGCCGCAGCATATTCGCTTCTTCCAGCCGTCGGCATTTTCCGGTGAATCCGAAGAGTGTCTCCTGGAAGCTGCCGAGACTGAGGAAGCCGCAAGAATCGAGTCGATGCAGAAATCTCCGATGCACTTGCAAGTCCCTATGAATCGTAAGTGCAAAACAATTTTTTTAAGTAATGGAATTAAGAAAAACAAAGCAATTTCTATAAGGTTAGATATCAAGAAAAGTTCAGGTTGCTAATATTGACAACATGACCAAGTCACGCGCAGCCTTCGCAGTGTTGTAATGTTAAAATTCGTTAAAGGTTAAAGTACTGTATTTGACTTTGTCTAGGACAATTAATTTAATCCCGTAAATGTAATCCTGTTATTTTGTTTACAGCTTTGCTTTCGCCATTTGCACGAAGAGCATCCGAAGGCACACCCTGTCTACCGTTGACCGGTCACATTCAGCCCACTCAACCTTCCGGCAGTACCGACAGCACCGCCAGTTCCGCCCTCCCCTACCATTTACAACGACTCTCCATTGCCAGCAGCAGTGAAATGGAGCCGGACCAAGATGCCGTCCGCCGCTACCTGGCTTCCCGTGGTGTCTCCAAGCGCCACACCGTCTCCAATACCGGCGGTAAGCGGCCTTCTTCCCATTTTGCCGCGCTTCCTGAACATCGCCGCTTCTCCCCAGTGCGTCGCCACAGCGAGCCCCACAGCATTGTCACGCCCCAGCAGCGCTCCTTCCTCGAGAAACTCTATCTGCGCGCGGTGTCCCCGATGGAGGAGATGAATCATCTCCAGCGGCAGTTGGATTCCGGCCATGCCTCCCCCTTCTGTCACTCTCCCGTCTCACCGGCCATGAGCCATCCCTGGCATTCCCAGCAGCATCTCTGCCATTCACCGTCCAGTCCCAGTAATTGGCATACACAGCTGTCGCCTGATGCACCGAAATTCACCCGCTTCCCTACGCTGGTTGTGACCAATGAGTACGGGGTGACGCGACCGTCGGGCTTTGCGGATGACGCCATGCCCATGACCTTTTTGCGACCTCCAGCCCCGCCGAAGGCATCGCTCAGGCATCCGGCTGGATCGGATGCCCCGTTGCATAGTTTGATGTTGCCCACGACCACCCTGACGTTACCGGTTACGAAACGTCCTGATAGATTCGGAGGCGATAAATGATATTTTTCCAATGCTACACCATTCCATTATTCTGATCTTCTTTGGCTTATAAGAGATATATTTATTTGTTCAACGAATTATTTTTATATTTTGTAATGCGCCGTAGAACGTCTGCATCTACATATATGCATATTTTGTTTTGTCTTCTATCTCTCTTTCTTCTAAATTGCTGGCTGCTCGTGATTATTTAGCTATTCGCTCACTGTCAGTTGAACAAGAAACTGGTGCTTGCCGACGACTCTCCGTTCTGAATAAATCCGTAAACGGAAATGGAATAGTTACGTACTGAATGCCGCACTACAGGTACAGGATCCGTTACCAGTTTGATTCGTACTGACGTTTCTCTCTGTATAATAGCTTTCAGCTCTGTTATACGAATTATAGCGCAATAACGAGTCTCCTTTCAACACTTCTATCCATAAGTTCTAACATCGTAAGTAATTAAATGCTCATTAGGTTCATTAAGGGTACCGGTACAAAGCATCGCTCGCCAATAATTTTCCGTTGAAGCACTTGGTCAGATATTACAGTGAGCAAGTAGCCTGAGGTTTTCGTGAAACCTATATCATCTGTATTTTGGTCTTATTAACACTGTAATGTAATGACCCAAAATTGGCATGTTTGCGAGCTAAGCGTTCAGGGTAGGATGTCTTATGCAAGTAGTTGTTAATTTGTGATTTTCGGCAAGAGCGATCAAAGTTAGCGCTTGATGTTCCTTTCTGTATTTTACTACTGAAATCCCTAGACTCAACTGCTACAGGACTACATAGGCAATCGGTTCAAAACGTAAGAATCATGAAATCAATTTTCGTTGTTCAAATATTTTCGATGTGTTCGTTGATGAATTACGTGGAAAGCGGAAAAGGTAAGTTGCATTTTCATGGCATGATATTGGTAAGATTATAATGTTATTAGCAGATTATCATTTATATCACCGTCCCGGCAATATTAGACATTTACTGATGATTTTATTTATTATCAGTCAAATGCGAACCACAAAAAATTTTGCAGTAACACTTACACTATGCATATCTGTAGTTACGAAATTTACTTATGCAACGTATCAAAGTGCGAAACGACCTACGTACGGGGGAAAATTTACCATACCATTACTTTTCCATCTTTCCGTATCTTCGAATTTGTTTACTCAATGAAAAGTACGAATTCATAATTTTCTTTGCTGTGTCAATACTGTTATTAATGGTAAGTGAGAGTACTGAACTCTTGTATAGACATTGGCAAAAAAAACGCACACAGCACATCCGACGGTGCGTCAGCGGCCAGCCATTGTCGCGCGTCTTTTAAACATAAATTAATGCACCAACGTCTAATAAAGAACAGCAATTACAATTTTGGTATTGACCGCGCCTAGCTCGTCGACATCATTTCCGGGACAAACGGCAGATTCTTGGAGATTTCATTGCGGCTCGAACGACCTTGACGCCCTACATTGACACGGATCCACAGGGCGGCTCTTGGCTGGAATCTGACCAGTTCCAGCTGACCCAGGCTCCGATGGTCGACCCCTTCAATCCGGACGCTTCGACCACAGAATCTCCGGAAGAAGAAACTGAGGAAGAGGAAACCACTGTCACCTCCGCAGGAGGAGCATCGGGAGCAACCAGGATCAGACAAGGTGGACCGCGAATCACCACGACCCCAAGACCGACAACGACGACGTCCATGGTGGGTTATCTGGTCAGCTCACCTTATCCCTACGTTCCGGATATGCCAGATATACCGTTCTTTGGATCCAAATTCAACGGACCCTGGGGGTACGGTGAAAAAATCTGAACCTTTAAATATTCACCTGCTCCGTGAAGATTAATCAATCGCGGGCTGAAATCCGAATTTTACGATGGATATACGTACTATACTCGTATTAATGTCAGTATAAGTAGCGGGTCGGCACGTTCGAGCGAGCTGCTGTAAAGTAATAAGCACAAAAATTGTCATCTTCTTCCGTTTATTTTTACAGTTTCCCTCTTGGGCTTTATCAGTCTTTCCGAGGAACTGGACAATACATCAACCACTACAATTATTACCCGCTATCCTACTTTGGGTCCGCTTTGATCCCACCCCGTTACGGGAAGGGCTAGCGCTGTGAGCATATGTTTGTGCGTTACTGCCTTACCGGACATCCTGCAGCCTCCGCACCATGAGGTTTTTTGAGAAGAATTGTTGGATTTTAATGGCAGTTCGTTGTCACTTCTGTACACGATCCAACGTTATAATATTAGTTCAGAACAGAATTATATACTTCTATTGCTGTTGTTGGTTAAGTTGTCTCATTTTTTTGTAAAAGAACAGCAGCGCAGTAGTACTGTTGAACCTACATAAATATTTGTGGTAATCGTTCTTAGTATTAAAGAATTCAGATCATGCGCTGCGAATTATGAGATGCATATCTGGCAATGGTAAAACATCTGCAATCCTGAAAATTAATATTAATAGTGTAAGTACTGGTAAAGTAAAAAATTTATTCTGCGACTAAGAAAAGTTGTCGTTGGGGGCGAACATCTGAGGAAATACTTACTGAAATAATTACCAGTATCAATCCTTAAAAACAGAATTTAGTGCATATCGCAACACGTTCAAAAATTTTCCAAACCACTTCCGGTGGAAACCGTTCTGACGTCATGGTGGTCACCGCTGCGCCTTGAAAACTGCTCAACCGATGCGTGGGCGCTCACTACGCTGTACGTGCACAGGTCAGTTTTGCTGCTGTGACTGGTACGTTCACTATGTATGTTGGGTTGCCGTTTTATAATATGCCTGTGCAATGTAGTGACGCTTCCGCAGTTATGAGCTGTGACTCATATGTTACAAGGTTGCCGGCTTCCCTCTGACTCTAAAGCGGCGAAATGTAAAATAGACTGTGTGGGCGGACTTAAGCAAAGCGCGGAGAGATAAGGAGCGCACTCGAAACGGTTTGATTGGCGGTTGGGCCGGCTGCAGGCCCGTAACAGGTTGCATGTATCTGTGATTCTGATTCAGGCATGTTTATCCATCCGTTTACATTTTCCGATGATTTTCAACGGGCTATCAGTCAGTACAGCTCAAAGGTAGCTCCACATTTTGCCAAGGTAGATTTTTCTTAGCTTCAGCGTTGCTTGGCGAGTTCCAGACCGCTTGATTTGGATACTTTTTGTGGTTTAGTTACTGCTTTTTTCACCGCTAAAATCTGGAAGTGGTTTGACCAGCCGAGTAGAGAAACTACACTGTCCGCGCCGTTCCATTTCTTCCGTCGGTGGTCGACTCGCCTGTGGCCTGTGACGGTTTAGGGGCAAAATGCTTGCTCACTCCAGACAACTGATCACCTGCTTAGGTGTATTTCTGGCCTTATCCTACAGGACAGGTAAGCGCAAATCTGAATAAATGGCTTAAACATCCTTTTCAAAGAATGGATTAGCACACAGAACATTAGAGTAATTCCGCTGTCCCGCATACACTGTGGCCTGTGCCACTTCTCTGTGCCTAACAAATAACAGGTGGTCATATAGTTGCCACTTCCAACGGCTGGCAAATTCAGAAAATTATCAAATTCCTCATTTCGCTGCCTGGGCCATAGCGGAATGCGAACTGTTCATATTTGTCTGTGCATTGATAAAAAGCGATAAGGAAAGGTTTATGGGCTGATTTAATGTGCTGGGTTGGAGCACTTATTTTCGCACGGTATTATACACCGGCGAACCAAAGGGACAGTCGGGTGACAAATGGTTGATTTATAATGCAATCAAGGAGGGCAGTACTGATTAAGGGTAAACAGGAGGAAATGGGTGTTTTGTTTCGCGAGTTTTAGCTAAGAGTTTATGATGGTAGTGTTTCCGTCGGCCATTATCGAGTTCCTGTGCTGGCCGGCCAGACGGCAAGTACTCGCCGTTGTATTGTCCTCCTCTGAGGAGGTCAGAGACTTTTACTTGTTGGGATCATGGCTGTGACCTACATCTGAGGGTTGACCACTTGATGGCGTCTAATATTGTTGTGCTTTTCCAGGGTAATTAATACTAGTTCCCCGCACGTATTCTAATTAATCATCCAGTTACTAAAGCTAGCATCAGGAAGCTTGTTGGAACTCATACATTTTATTTAGCAACTACTTTATTTTCATGTAAAATGCATAGTTGATGTTGCTAAAATTGCAAATACCGCTGGGTCAATCGAGAATATGATTGCAAAAAAAGCAATCGCCTTTTAAAAATTTAAAATGATCAAACTGGCGCCGGTATAACGCCGGTTTACGAGCCAGTACCGGTTTATCTGTTGAAGATGACCAGTTGGCTGCAACTTGGGGCGATATGTATCTTTATGGGTTTATTAGCCATAAACAAATTTGCATTCTCTTTCTCAAGTGCAGCATTCTGTTGCTTGGATTTTGCACCATAGATTAGGCTCAATAGCTGTCCTTGTTCTATGAATTAGTTATTTCAGACGCTTGTTGATTTTCGATAACGGGCAAATGTTGAGTCATGAAATTATTATTTATATAGTTTTATCAGCCAATTTGCGTTTTTGCTGACAGAGAAATGGCTGTTGACAGTTATATGACAGTCCGTCATTTGCACATGAAGGCGATCAATTTTGTTTACGACAGAAGAAGAACAAAAAATTGTCATAAAAATGATCAGTATGGAAAAAAGTCGATTTTACATCTGATTGAAGGGTGAGTTGAAAAATGCACTTGTGTTGATGGCATGTGCACATGGCACATCTGTATGCAAGGTTGAAGCGCAGAAGCCTGTATGTGATTATTGTGTTCTGTCATGCTTATCGCATTGTAAAGATTTATGAGAGCATATCTAGGTGAAATCACCGAAATCCGAAACCAAAGGATAAGGAAATCACTCGTCAAGCGCAAAGCAGTGGAATTCGCCTTTTATTGTAAAACGCGTCTCTGGCAAGGCTTCCTTATAAAGGAAGCGCACGTGAACTATGCAGAACAACACAGCAAAAAAACCTGACACAAATAGCGGCGATCGATGCCGGCTATTTTCCGTAATTCATGAATTCTTTTTTATTAATGAACATCTGTCACGCTTTCCGTTCTTGCTTATCCCCTGGCAGTGTAATCGATAGGGAATACGTGGTGATTAAGGAAACTGGTTCGGCGGGAGATGATTTTTCCGCATTAGTTTGGATGGTAATTAAATTGTTGTTTGCTCTTTACGGCTGGTGGCCTAGTTTTTGCATCTCACCCAGAATGCGTGGTATTACCTGCTGGAGATAATGGTTGTGTATATGCATATAAGATGAATGTGTTCACTGCCCTTGAATGGAAACTGTTTAGTAAATGAGCGGTTGATGGAGATCCAGTTTCCACTGATTGGCCATGCCGGCTCTCATTGCTGACGGTTTTCCTAATCCGCGGCTTGAATCTTGAGATGTGGCGTTAATAAAATGGTTAAGTATTTATCGTTCCTTCGCTCAGCGACATGACTTTAAATTTTTTCGCATGCTGAAAATTTTATTTTTTTCTTGTTTTTTATATTAAATTTAGAGCCTTTTTCTTCTATCCATATGGTTGAAGTTTAATCATCCCCGTATGATGTTATTTATATTTACTGAATTCAGTAAATATAAAATTATTCGGATAATGTTAAGTAGACGTCCAACGGTTTTTTGACATTCGCTGGAGCATCGGTGCACTTTGAATATGGCTTCTGAAACAATCCTCTATAAAGTGATGGGGACGACTTGTTCCCAAATTATGATTGGTGATGTGAGGCTGGTGCGGCTTTCTCTGTCGGAAGTTCCAGCAATAATACATAACAGACCAGTAAAACAGTTTGAAGAGTACAAGTGGTTGTCATAAAAAAATGTCATGTTCAATTTTTTATTGATGTATGTCTTGAGCGTCTCCGTAATAATCATTTCTTTTGATATGACCAGACCCGTTATATCTCTGCGGTTTAGGTTCGTTTGCTGTGCGGTGTCTTTGTCCGGCTGATAACATTTTCGATTTGTTGAACAGTGTCCGTTTCCATTGTGTGTTGATTCTATGCTAACAGGCGTTTTCTTTTAACTTTTATTGATATGCAATACACACTGTTTGTGTATTTGGGTAATATTGCGTAAAAAACGATGTCCGATCAGTTTAATCGATATTTTTCGTGCTATGCAGTTGCTTCACAGCCCGTAGTGCAAAAAAATAATTGGGAACCACTAACCAACCGGTTAATCGTGGAATATTTTACGTTGGCGCTAATCGTGAAGCCCATTGCAAACCCGGTTGGTTTTGTTCTGTTAATACGTGGATAATATATTTGTTCAATAGCAACATTGCTTGGATAAGGTAGCTTAATCGAAAGAATGTCATGATCAATTTTATAATGAAAAACAAGTGGGTGGTTTATATGACAAATTTAATATCAATTACATTGGTAGCATAGTGTATCCCGCCGCGGGCTGCGTATCGCCACCTAAGATCGTTTTTCCTTTACTGCAAAGGTATTCGATTCGATATATAAAAAGATGTAGTGTTACCCGTCCGCCAGGTACGGAATTTCATGGACAAATTGTTACATGGCCGGTATTGGTTTTTCTATACAGTCATTCAACTGTATCCTTGAGCTGAAGCTGCAGTCCAGTGAATATAGCGCCAATTTTTTTCCGCTTTAGCGTACAAGCAAGTGTCGTTCGTAATCAACACATGATTCACAATCAGTATTACAATTTACATTCATTGTTAGTTTTCTTAGCTTCGACGATGCATTCTAAAAAGTTTTTTTAGACATAAAAAAATACATATACAGTAGTGTATTTAAAACTGTTTTCGCATAGGGTAGATTTTGCCATTCTGGTAAGTACATGTATCTCTGTGAATTGTAGTAGTAACATAACATGTTAGTAGATGCATGTCCTTTGCGAAATTTTGATGTTTTGTAACGGCAGGCCGATTGGCACTCCAGTGCACAGGAAACGGCGAAAATTCAATAAGTTACCAATATCCCGGCTTTTGAATTATGTTTCTAGGACAAATGCCGCTTGTCCACTGGATTTCAAGCTGCTTTTTGTAGTGGGACCATGGTTATGCGGATTATTTCAAAATCGCATTTTCTCGTCACTTGTAAGCGCTGTGAATGATCATGTCGATACTTTGGCATGAAAAGACAAATCTCTTTCACTTGATTTGCCGCCTAAATTTTAAATGATTAGTGAAAAGCGGAAAGAAAAGCATTGCTAATTTCATTGCCGGTTTACGCTTCACTTGGCAGCTGACCAGCCCCGGGGATGGGAGAGTTTTGTTAACTTTGCTTTTTGTAGTTATTTCAGTGAGTTACGTCGTATCGGTTTGTGTTGCGCTGTAGCAGTATTAAATAACGCTAAATAGTAAAGCTGTGATACCGATGCAACGAGCAATTCCATATTTTTCAAAGGCATAGTTCTAGTCTTACTGTTGTATTTTATAAATGCAGTAGTTCACGTATCTTCGACGACACAAATTGAAATTATCCTCTTCCTGCTGTAATAATAATAAAATCAGTCATTCCAACATCCAGAAGGTATCTGAGGAAGGTGAGCTTATTGTGTTGGACTTGATTTACTTATTTACTGCTTATACATGAAATTCATCATCAGAACAGATTTAAAAATTTCGTGATATTTTAGGTCTCGGTCAAATAATAATGATGGATAGTTGCGCAGAAGTTTGACATTTCTATTCAATGCCCACCAGATTCACATAAACGTCCATTTGCTTAACTTGACAAATATTATCTTTTTAGCGCTTTTAAAATGTCCGGTTTCTCAGTGATTGTCAGCATTTCGTGAATATAAGGAAATTCTTTCCTTATATCGCCTTTATGAGATTGACCACGATGGTGCGGAAATTTAGCAGCACCATAGCAGCGCTGGACTACATGGTGCGTTCCCTTGGCGAATGCCGGTCGAAATAACAACAAATAATTTGCAGTATAATGCTGCATTATCTTTTGTTTGAATCAAAATTCTGCAGTTAATCGAAATTCGAAAGTATCAGTTCCTCGATGCGCTCTTGGAACTGGATATTACCATTTTAAATTATTGGTTACTGGACGTTAAGAAAAGCGGTGCATTATGTATACAAATGCATTTCAAATTATTCGCAGAACTCATTGTTGTGATTTGGTAGTCTAATAGTGATTCTGTCCATTACGTTATATGTTATGTATTGTCTACCTGGGAACGTGAAACGCCCTGTATTGCAGGAAAATCACTCTCACGGACACGTGCTGAATTATGTTATCGCGCCTGTTCACATATTTCTTTTTAAGAACTTCGAGAATTTGTTAACAAATTAAAATTATCCTAATTAATTTTGGAACAGTGTTTAAAAATCGTAGGTTCCGAAGCATTCAGCTAAAATTATACAGTGAGCTG